CAGTGTTGACTTATATTGATGAATCGTGCAATAATTTTTTCAATAGCAATAGTTTGTTTTTTTACTGCGACGTAGTGAAAACCGAAAGGCATTTCTCCAATTAAAAAAGGTTAAGACAAAAAAGGAGTTTTGTTTAAGACAAAACTCCTTTTAACATGAAAAATATACCTTATATTGAGTTTCATGTGAAGTTAGGACATGGTGTTAGAAAAAGATAATGTTAACTAGAGTGGGAGTATACATATACAGGTATAGAGGTTTAAAGTGAGCCTTATGAAAAATACACTTTTGATAACATCACATGGTGCATCTAAAGGCTGCCCAAAATCTGCAGGAAATCTATGGCATTTTTTATCATTTGCAAGCTTTTTTGAATTTTGTGGCATTTGCTTGCTTTTGCAGAAAATTTAGTTTTAATAAGATCATGAAGGGACAGATAAATAAATTCAGTCTCATCAGATTCAAAGAAATCAGACAAAAATACATCAGATAAAACAAACTCAGGTGGAGTGTGAACTGGCACATTGCCATATCATTTTTTGTTATTTTGTTTACAGTAATATTACCGTTATTTATGTATAGACTTTCATGCTGCGGCCATTTTAAAAGCGAAATTGAGGCTGCGATGGGAAGAAACCCGGAAGTATCACCTGGAGTCACACAGGAATGCTGTGTACCTGACCTATACCTATATTTTATCAGCGAAGAGAAAGTGACACAAATTTATCAGTTTACTGCCTTCCGAGTGACTCGTTTTGAATGGATAATGAAATTAAAAGGAGTATCAGACCTCATTTTCAGCTATGGAAATGGCACTAATTAGCTAACATTTTCTTTCCCAAAAGCTTTTGATGCCATTAATCAAACCCAAGTTAATGAGCTGATACTTTCACTATATTAGACTTGTCACAATACTGAATTTCAGTACTAAAATAAATAAAAAAAACGTCAATTTCCCGCTAACATTTAAGCCACTGTTGATCACATGCTTAAACACCACTAGTATATTTACAAATTAGCCATAGTATTCACCAGTGCTCAACAAAAATGACTGTGATTGGCCGTGAAGGTCTGATGACTTGTTTGATCTTCGCGGCTTTAAAACGCTCCAGTGTCTACATGTATATGTGTTTGCACTCGGTGAGGAGCAGTGAACTGATGACCTTTACGGCCAATAACTGGTAAATACTATAGCAAATCAGTGGTGTTTAAGAACGCGCTCAACAGCGCTTAAATGTTAGCGGGAAAAGGACAACACTATCAGACAACACGAGGGTGTGCTACAAATGACTGCATTGTTTTATCGCTCACCGGGTTACATGGGCAGAAGCATCGAAGAGTTCTCACGGTGTTTACCTGGTGTCATGAACTAAAGCCTAGGAGGATATATTACTCTTAAACTTTCAACCCAAGCTCATTCTGAAAGCCCCGCAGACGTTTCTGGAGACCACGATTTATGTGGCCGGAAGTACGTATGGCTGCATTTAGTTTTTTAAATTGCGTTCGATATGCGAAAAAGCGCACCCAGCGGCCTCTCGCGCATTCGTGAAAACAAAAAATGCACAAATACAAATCTCCCGGGACATTTTTCACAGTCTTCAGAAATCTTCGCAGGGCTACGTTTCGTTAGGGTTAGAAATTTTATTCCTATTATGCTTTTAATTGTTTGAATTAAACTTAACTGAATGATATTATAGTGATGTTTACACCATTTCTGCATATTGAAATTGTGGCAACAGCTGGAGGTTTGTATTACACAGCATGTTGTAACATTGCAATGTTTACAGTGCTGATCCTATACTTCCAGGTTTCTTTCCACCGCAGCCTCGCTTTCGTTCTTTAAAATGGTCTACTCTGAAACTTACTTAATTTAACGTTTTAATTCAAACAGTTGAAATAAACTATATCCGGTGTGGTGAACCTGCTTTTGCCATCAGTGTTCCATATCACTTGTTCTGAACTGCAACCATGTGCATCTGATGTCACATGCGGCCTGGCACCACAGCACTCCATCTGATTCCATTTCGTTGTTTGTTTGTCTGACGCCTTTTAGTATGATTCCCATTTGTAGGAGACCAGACACCTTTGTCATTTTTTAAGTGCAATTCTGTTTTGTCTGGTATCTAAAGCCTTAAAGTCCCTAAGAAATCAAAACTAACCATATGACTTTGTTAGCTCACATTAATAGTTTTTTGTAGTTTTATCTGTGCATGTCATTAAGAAAAAAAAAATGTTTATCCTTCTATTTATTAATTGAAATCTGAAAATGCACATTCTGTTTGTTTTAGATTAAATGATTACATGATTTTGAGGTAATGGGCGTGGCTTATCTACGCTGGTTCAACTGTCAGCTCTGACAACTAACAGAAATGGTGAGCAGGAGGAGTCTGTTAGGTTATAATAACTCTCCCCAATCCCTTTTTCCGATCTTTCTGAATGAAATGCATACTTTAGTACATCCAGTCATCTTGCAGTAGAAAATTAACAAGCCACACCCACTGCCCATTTAATATTTAGTTTCCGACATTCTGCTGCGAAAAATGAGCGATTGGTCCATATTTTAAATTTCAGTCCAAAGAGGTCATGTTTTGATATTCGATTGCCCTCACGCAGTCAAGTGAAGTGATTTTGCAGGTCAGAGTTCAACAAGCTTGAACTTTTTTATATTATTAACAAAAATTACAGAATTATACAGTAATATACAAAAATATATATGTCAGAGTGTACATACAAAACATTCAATAATTAAAAATCTTTTTTTTTATAAACAATGTTCTTCAAACTTGTGCAGTAGAAGAACAAGTGAACAAAATTTGGCATTGATCCGGTCCATTTTTTTATGCATTTGAAGTTTTTCCAAAACAATAAAAAGTTGTACAAGGAATGTAAATTTGTTACATATATGAACATAATAAATGCAAATATCAAAATTTTGTAATTTAGTAACTTTAATATGTTATTGGTTTTCCTTCTAAGAAAATTGTCCATATCCCCCTAAAAATCCTTGTGTATATACAATCACAAAACAGATGGACAATAGATTCTTTTTCCATGGAACAAAAATCAAACCAAGTTTGAACTTTGCAACGCAGCGACCTGCAAAACTTGTCGCATGAGCTTGTGCTACCGGTCTGACGCATTCACGTAGGTATGAATGGAAGTCTATGGGGAGAAAACTCCAGTGTGACAACGGCTTTATAGTCTAATGCATGATGACAACATATCATTGTATGATAAAATATTCAATTTTTGCTAGTAATAATGCAATAATAGATATTTAAATGTTTGCAGATTACTTGGTTCCTTTGTGTGGGACTGGAGTTACTCCAAATGCCACTTTAAGTAACCTAACAAACTAAAAGATGCTGAATAAAATTTAAATTTCATGGAATAAACATATAGATTGTATCTCATGTAAGCTTGCTTATTTTGCTCTCCTTCATGATCTAACTGAGATCTGTGATTTAAACGATGATACTTCTGGAAGTTTACATTTATGTTTGTGAATGCCTGTTAAAACTAGGATTCAGGAAACACCAAATGTTGAACTATATTTATAAAAACCAAACTTGTGAGATGATTGGCTATCAATTCTTGATCTGCCTGACAAGCAGTTTTGGCTCAAAAGTATTGAGCTTTTGAGATGGGAAGATGGGAAATATTAACCTGTTTTTGTTGATACTGTGGTGCAGAAATTAAGCTATAAGCTCAAAAAAGTACTGTATATGTGAATGTATGTTTTTGCATTCAGGTTTGTACAGCCTATACAGGGTCACACATATTTTCTCATTTGCATATTGTTGCTGAGGCCCTCAGTCAAAGCCATCCTTCATTATAACTGCAGTTTAAAATGTCACAAAACTGTACTCCTCTCCCATTTTCTCTCTGCAATGCTCTCTGTCTGTTGGTTTGTCTCTCCGTCCCTTTGTGTTGCCCTATCTGTACGTTATGATTGATGGACTGAATGATTGCCTCTGTGGCATCATAATGATAATGTTTATAATTCTATTAAGGGTAATGACCAGTCTGTCTGCTGTGCCTTTCATGAACAGTTAAGAGTGGTGGGAAACACAGGGCTATGTAGTTTTGTTTTGTTTGCTCTTAATATAAACAATCTTCATTTCAAAACTGCATGATGTGTTTACTCTTGTTTTATTTATCTAATATTTAAATTTGTTTGATGATTAGGGGTGAGTTTCCCAAAAAACAACATAACTCGCAGATGAACTATCATTGGAATAAGAACGATGTAGTGAGGAGTGTTTCCCAAAACCGTAGTTTCTCTGTTGCAGGTCCTTTGTTTGAACCACGTTAGTTATAACATAAAACATCTATACTGATGCTGTAAACGTGGTGGATTAACTACTTTTTAGAGAAAAAACACATAATTGTTTGAGCAAATGACACACTCGCATATAAATAAATAAATATATACACACATACATATATATATATATATATATATATATATATATATATATATATATATATATATATATATATATATATATATATATATATATAGGCCATGTAAACGACACATATATTACCTATATGTGTTTCCTTTACAAATATTTTTGTGAATATTCCATAAAAAAATAATTTAGCTAACACGTATTCTAATCTCATAGCCAATATAAATCACAAAAACTGTGAAAAGTTGTAGGGAACGCAATTGTCAATTTGAAGATCGCTAAAAGTGAACTGTAAAAATACTTTGTAAGCAAATTACACCTAAGAGAGACTTTAATGCTTATTTATTTTAATCATTTCAAGTTTAAATGTTAGGGGGATAACGGGGAGTAGAACACGACCAGGAACTATGCTTCTAACTACAGCTCTAGAGGTGTAGTTGCAAGTGTACAAGTTTGGGATGCTGTTTGCGAATATTTGTTGGAACGACGGATTTGGAAAATGCCAAGCCACGAACTATGTTTGTAATGCTGGAACATGCAAAAAAAAAAAAAAAAAAAACATCTTTCTCTCTTTTGCCTACACAGCGCTACAACCATGTCCAGGCCAGCGGGGGGCAGTATTAATGATGTCGCCTGCTTCCTGTCTACGGGGGCGGGGCCTGGGTCACCAACCTCAGTGTTCTCCGCCTCCAGCCAAGCTGATTGGGCGGCTAAGAGACTTGTATGGGTGCCTTCAGAGAAACATGGGTTTGAGGTAAGATTGCAGCTGATCAAGATTTTTTTGATGGCTAATGTATGGCTTTTAGACATGTTTATAAATGCATATGATACAATGCTGTTTATTAAAATGTAATGTGTCAGACATCGCACCAAAACGTATTAAAAGGTAAATAAATTATAACAGCACAAATGTTTCTGTAAGGAGTGCTGTGCGCTATTTGTTTAACTCTTTAAGGATACGTGCTGACTGACTGACAGGTGCGTGATGCGTGAGGCCAGCAAACATGACGTTTCACTTTACTTCAGGACTATTAAAGACATTCATTCCTCGCAAATCTAATAAATGTTGGAGACATACTTGTTACATAAATGCATTAAATCACACTTCAGCAGAGTATATCTTAGAGCGCACAAGAAGATCTGCGCTTGAGTGCAACGTATATTTGAGGGGGCGAGCAAACAAAAAGATTTGCATGCTCGTAGGCTATTTCATTAATGCGATCTTGAATTGTAAAACTGCGCTCATGACATTTGTCATTGAAATAACGCCACAGGTAGTTGGTAGATCTTAGTAAACCAGGCCTGCCGCCACAGCTGGAAAAAATCCTAGAGGAAACACTGCAGTACATTCAGTATTACAGCCAGTATGTCAGCCTTGACAGTTTATCGGTTGGCCACAAAGACCTAAAAATGGGTTTCTGCTCTGCTATTTACATGACATCCAATAGTCTTTTAAATTTTAAATGTAGGATAACAGCTCTGTTTTCATTCAGACCTGTATGACTTTTAATCCCTGTGCAAAACAATTTAAAAGAAATATTTTAGGATGTTGTTTTTCTTTTTCAAGGGATAACAAAGAGGAATCAAAGAGGACAAAAACTTACTATGAAAGTTCCAAAAATATTTTCCATGTGACTTATGAGCTGCATTCATTACCAGGGTTCGAAATTGCGATCGTTTTGGTCTCATATGTGCCCGAAATTGTATTTATGCGACCTCAAAATATATTTGGGAGCATTTGTGCGAGTGCATAAAATTGATGTCGTGCGACCAGTTTTTACAGCAAAATGTTCATCACATGCGCAGAATTAGGAGGCATTCACGCATTCAAACACCAAACGCAGCACTCAGGAATGCTGCAGTAAACAAAGCCCGCAATGCTTGCCCCACCCTTAAGCTCTTCATATTGGCCCACAGCACTAGAACAGAATGTGAATGGATTGGTTAATATCAGCTGTCAATCACTCAGTTCCGATGACTGGGTGCTACAGTCGCAGTCATTGGTCTGGATGCGAGAGAATGAAAACAACACTGACAGATTTAGTTTTAAAAACCTAAAGTTACAAATAATGGTACATCTGATTAGTGATCATGTGCTGAATATCAATCCAGCATTTACACTTTTCGAAGAGTGGATAAAAGACTTCCAGTGTTTAAAGTTCGCTATGAAAAGGACTAAAGCATTCACCGTAAAGCTGGTGGGACATAGTTTTCAGGTAACAGTGTTTGCCACTGAATCTACACATTTTAAGCACGAGATATTCTAACGTTATTTAATCCTTCATTAAATTATCATGATGCTGTCAGTCGTGTGACTGACACCGCGTTCAAAGAGCATGCATTCACTGAGATTAAACTAATATTGCAGCTCAGGAAAAGAACGTTACTGCTATTAAGATGTCGTATGCAAATAACAAGTTATATGTCAATATCATCTGTGCAATATCAGACAGAACCTATGAGAACAGCACAGTTATTATTGTTAATTCAGTTTATTTCATTCATGTCAAGCAGTGCGTGCAGGGCCGGTGAGTTCATGCAGATTTTTGTTTATTTGTTAGTTGTGATTAGAGTGTAATATATAATATAATCTGTTAATATAAAAAGTGTAGTAACGATGCTCATCATTTTTGGTGGGTACGACTAAATTTTGAACACTGGTGTTACCAAGAAAAAAGGTTCATTTTGAGCCTTGATATCTCTTGTGATCATTATTCAATAAGCAACTTGATTAATTTTTATGAGATCCAGACCCAAAGTAATGTTATTATTAAGCAAAAAGTCTTTTAAAATCAAATTTGATGCTTCTTTTTTGACCATGGAATTAGCTATTCTTTCAGCTATGTGAAATACTGTAAAGACAGAGTTGAATCTATCACATTACAAGTAACGCGAGTCACATAATAATATTACTTTTGTCAGTAAATTAATGCTTTACTTTTTTTAAAATAAAGTAAGGTTAAGGTTATACAGTGTATTGCTAATTGCAGAGCTCCTCTATTAAAGAAAGAAGAAAAAAACATAGCAAGTATTAAAAGAGATCAAACCTTAGCCAGTTTAGAAAAAGCAATGAAAAAAAATAACAGAAAAGTAACTTAACACAGTTAGGCGTTAGTTGTTAGCCATTAGCCATTAGCCAAGATTCTTAAAAAACAGCTATATAAAAACCCTTGACATCAGACTGTAATCTGCTGCTCAACTTTTGACCTTGCTTATGTTGTTGTTCTTCTAGTTAAAGTGTTAGATCTAAACAGCTACTTCGGAAACTTTGGTGCAGCCTGGCCCTCAAACAAGCACGTGTTTGAGGGCTTTAGTGCTTTGATATGATGCTCTATGAATAGCATAACACACTTGTTGAACCAGTGGTTGCTCAATGCTAGACATCACTGCTCTGCAAAATGAGGCCTCGTCATAGTGTCCCACATAGAGAATGTGACTAACTGCCAGAGAGAACAGAGACGGAGATCTCAGCACTTCCTGTTGGAGGTCATGAAGGCGGCACTTTATATTCTCTCTCTCTCTCTCTCTCTGTGTCTCAGTATATCTATTTCTGTTTCTCAACTACTGACACACTCCCCCTCAGACTGTCCGTCTCCATCAAACATGAATGTATTCTCTGTTTCCTACAAAGTGAGTATGCGTGTGTGTGAGAGTCAGTGCTCTGTAGAAGAACATTACCCATCATTTTAAATCTCTGAAGTGCAGAAACTGTGCGTTTATCTCACAGTGTTGTTTGAAACCAAAGTTTTTAAACACCAAAGTATTCTTGCTGGGATTTAGACATAGCGGGAGAATCTGAATGCATCTTTACTACTGAATGTCATTAACTCATTCAAGTCCCACTAGAAGACTTGTTGTACAGGAGAGGACAGAGGATCATGTTTAGAAGGATCCAGTGGGCATTTGCTTCAACATTGTAGCTGTAATTGATCACCACTTAACAATGTAAGGATGTGTCTCAGCATAGTATGTTATATGTTTAAACGTATTTGGACTGAAATCCCACTTTGCCGTGATCAAACCTCTTATCAGCAGAAAGAACCAAAAGTCAATACTAACCTTTGCAGAGGAGCATGTTGTGTGGACAGAGAAATGGTTATAAGTTAACTATAATGATGAAAGCAAGTTTAATTTATTTAGGTCCTAAGGAAAACATTACTTTAGTTCTTCTTCCGACATAGGTTCATTCTGAAAATGTCGCCCTATATACTTTTCTGGATATAGCAAATTATGTAGCCAGAAGTACGGATGACTGCATTTCATCTTTAAAACGAACGCTACAGGGTTGGATGATGCCATTCCTTTTCACCCTTACCAGCTTACCACTTAACCTCCCTATGGACGGGTTTCTCGCTGTTACTAGTTTGTCTAGTTAGCTCAAATGATAATAGAGAGTTTATTAGTATTATTATTTCTTAAACATATGGTTGAAAACAATTTTACTATTTTATTATGTAGACCTACTATTGGTTAAAATGCTGCATTTTGTGTAGACTTGGGTTTTGGACTTGAATACACTTTAAATTGCTCTTCAATGCACAGAACAGTGATGTCAAAATTATTATGCTAGACATAACCCCAAAATAGACAATTTCACTGATAAAATCAAATATTTGCCATTGTCAGATTTCATGTTGCATTATATTCAGAGTTAGTTATAATGCTGCTGACACTCTAAATATTTATTCTCATGCAGAACACTTACACTATGAATACAGGCATTCATTGGATCTACAGAACAGCAGCACGCACAAGTCTCTGTGTTTGCTATGAAAGAATAAATATCTAAAATGCTTGTAGTAATCATACTTCTAAATGCAATATGCTCATTTAAAGATGCACACATTTTTATTTAGCAATTTTTATTATTATGATATGATGTATTGCTAAACCTCTACCATCTATTTAAGCTGAAAACAGTAAAATAATAAAATGGCAGCCCTGAGTCCTGATCTAAACTTTTTTGAAATCCATGCTGACAAAGTTAAAGTTAAGAAACTCACTAAAATTATAGAACTGTGGAAGAGACTGGAAAAAGATCTGGAATGGATCCAAGATCCCAGCAAAGCATGGGAGAGACTAGTGGTGTCCTGTGAGAGGCATGTGATGTCTGTGACAAGCTAGTGATGTCTGTAAGAGACTACATATATATGGTCATACACTGGAAATGTGTTGTTCAAAGCAAGGGCTCTACACTTCCTACTAATATTTGACTTCTGTAACCTTCTAAAAATGTATTTGTAATGCTTCATACAAAAGCATTTTTGTTCAAGTGCCTTGGTTATTTTGCATTTGCAAAACCCTATTCTATTATCACTCAGTTAAGTAGTTGGGTTAAAAATACCCAAACATACAGTATAACCCAACTATAGGTTATTATAGCACCTTCCCAACTATGGGTTATTTTAACCCAAATGCATTGGGTTATTTTTTAGATTTGAAAAATAATGGCGAACGGAAAGAAAACCTCCGCATTTCGGGACTTGCGTGATCCTTTAAGATAATCAAAAATCACTGCTGACATGGTAGACTCTTAATCAGTATTATCTTAATCATAAAAGCGGAGTATTGGTGTCCATGTAAATGTACTGTTGTGAAAGTGGCAGATGAACTTGCAAGCTGTCAAAGAGAGCCCTATTCTCTGCTTCCATGAGCCCTCACATTTCATAAGTTTCACGTTGCTGTGTCAGACAGCTTGCTTGTAAAATACAGCCATACTTTAGAACACTTAGTTTAAGCAAATTTGATGAATGCAATCGTGCATGTTGATAAATCTGAAGGGATCCCTCCCCCGCTCACCGAGTCCGCTGTACTGCGCATGTTGTCTGTGTGTGTGTGTGTGTGCGTGGTCACCTTAGAATCCAACATGGAAATCATTTTTGTTTGTTATTGGCATTGGTTGTTTTGAAATTCAAATGGCACTTAAATGCCTGTGTTTTTATTTCTGTAATAAATATGCCGTTTCGTGATTAATCATGATTAATTACAATTCATGATTAATTATGATTAATTACCTAATAGTGTGATTAATTACGTTAATTTTTTTAATCATTTGACAGCCCATATACACACACACACACACACACACACACACACACACACACACACACACACACACACACACATACACACATACACACAAATGCAAATAAATGCATGTAGTTTTTGTACTTTATTTTAGTTTTATTTAAATTGGTAATTCATTTACAGCCAAAACTGAACTTTTCTCCTTACAATGATTACTTTAACCAAAGACAGTGACACATCTGCTACAAATGTGGGGTTGACATCATGTTCAAACAACAACCTTTTACAAAGAGCACATTCATTTGTCCTGTCATGATGCTTTATTCTTCTGCCTGTGTTTCTTTTGGTCAGTCTGCCAGCATTCGCGAGGAGCGGGGCGATGAGGTGGAGGTGGAGCTTACAGACAGTGGGCGGAAACTAACACTTCTGAGGGAGGAGCTTCAGCGGATGAACCCTCCCCGATTCAGTAAAGTTGAAGACATGGCCGATCTCACATGCCTCAATGAAGCCTCCGTCTTACACAACCTACGAGAGAGATACTATTCAGGACTTATATATGTGAGTGTTTCCCTCAAGTCAAAGTGGTGTTTTCAGTGATCATTAAGTCCTGACAAGTGCCTGAGAATATGCACTGCCATCATGTGTGCCTGGATTTTCTCTGAGTAAGCGAGAAGGATAGTGTTACACACACACAGATGCACACACGTGTGTTTGTTCATCACAGGCTCACGGTTCAAATTTCTGCTCAGGTTACATGCAGAACGTAGCCAAGAAAGTCTAAGCACACATGCACATACAAACACATACACACAAGATGAAGGTACTTTATTCATGACACATCTGTCAGTAGTGCCACCTGAGCCTAGTTTATTTTATCCTACTTGATTCAGAGATCAAATTTAAAGGAATGGATAATATCCTGTGGTCTCACACCAAAATAAAAGCTCAGTAGATTATATATATATATATATATATATATATATATATATATATATATATATATATATATTGCAATTGTAAATTCTAAATTTGTTTGCTTTTATTATTGTTTATTCATTCATTTTCAGCTTAGTCTCTTAATTAATCAGGGGTTGCCACAGCAGAATGAACCGCCAACCTATCCAGCGTATGTTTTACGCAGCCGCAACCCAACACTAATAAAACACCCATACACTCTTGCATTCACACACAAACATAACAGCCGATTTAGCTTACCCAAAGAACCTATTGGGTTCACCTACCTTTTATTATAGTATTATAGGTTATTATTTATTCCCCATGTTTGTTTGGGTTTTGTCTAGGTGCTTCGGTTTCCCCCACAGTCCAAAGACATGCGCTATAGGTGAATTGGATAAACTAAATTGGTGGTAGTGTGTGAATGAGAAAGTGGGTGGGTGTTTTCCAACAACCCTCAGTGCAGATATATATTTATTTGATATTTGATATTCTGTCTATTTTATAATAATAATAATAATAATAATAATAATAATAATAATAATAATAATAATAATAATAATAATAATAATAATAATAATAATAATAAATCATGTGATAATATTCAGAAATAATAATAATAATTTTAATAATAATAATAATAATTATTATTATTATTTGTCACGTATAATGAAAGTTCAGAGGGATCCAAGTGCGAGTTAACAAAAATAATATTTATTGACAAAGTCAAACAAAAATCAAGTAAGGAATGGTGCTAGTGCTAGGAGGGATCGGGCAGGAATCAGACGGGAAAACAGGGTCCAGAAAATAGTCCTCGGATCCTACGCACACAGACAGAATAGCACACCATAAGCACACATAACGAACTGACAAAGACACACAGAAAACGTGGCTCATATATAGACCTGAATATGAGCCTCAGCTGGCGAGCTCATCAGGCCAGCTGAGTGCCGTCATCACACGTGATCAAAACAAATACACGAGGAGAACAAAAACAAACCAACGTGATCAAACAGACACTCCGGAAAAGCGCACAAACCTGCAACCGTGACAATTATTATTATTAGTAGTAGTAGTAGTAATAGTATTCATTCATTCATTTTCTTGTCGGCTTAGTCCCTTTATTAATCTGGGGTCACCACAGCGGAATGAACCGCCAACTTATCCAGCACGTTTTTACGCAGCAGATGCCCTTCCAGCTGCAACCCATCCCTGGGAAACATCCACACACACTCATTCACACACATACTCAAACACTACGGACGATTTAACCTACCAAATTTACCTGTACCACATGTCATTGGACTGTGAGGGAAACCGGAGCACCCGGAGAAAACCCATGCTAACGCAGGGAGAACATGCAAACTCCACACAGAAATACCAACTGAGCCGAGGCTCGAACCTGCTTTGCACTGCTTTGCCCTTATTAGTACTTTTATTATTATACTTATAATGATAAAAATAATTAAACATTTTCTTATTAATATTATTAATAATAATAATGATCATTATTTATAATAATAATTCAATAATCATTATTTTAATAATATTAATAATAATAATTATTATTATTTTAGATGATTAATAATAATAATAGTAATAATAATAATAGTAATAATTATTGTTATTGTTGTTATTACTATAAAAATTATGAGCATTGAATTATTATTATTATTATTATTATTATTATTATTATTATTATTATTATTATTATTATTATTATTATTATTAATCATTAATCATTTATAACATCTGCAGCCTTGCAAGAATCTTGCAGTCTTGATTTTCTCATAAAATTTCTTGTTTTATTTACCAGTTTGCTAGCAATGCAAGCCATGTCAGTGCAGGCAATTAGTTAGTTTCATGTGCATTATCCATCAGGCAGTCATTGAACAGACTGTGGGCAGTATGTGGGTGGTCTGTCTGTCTGGGAAGCTCCTCCAAGAATAGTTTCTACATAAACAACATCATCATTTCTATTTGTCTGAACTGTTGTGTTTGTGTTCGTTGTCCCACAGACATACTCTGGCCTGTTTTGCGTGGTGATCAACCCCTATAAGAACCTGCCCATCTACACAGAATCCATTATAGAGATGTACCGTGGCAAGAAACGACATGAGATGCCTCCTCATATCTATGCCATATCGGAGGCGGCGTACAGGAGCATGCTGCAAGGTACCATGGCAACCAAACAACTTGCTGTAGGCTGATTCAGTTTGTGTGAATTTACACATACACTATTAACATATTTAAAAAAGAAGGAGCCAGTTTCATGTTGCTGCATGACGACTGAGGTGTTTCACACGCTTAGTTTCAGTCTGAAACCCCAGGCATGACTGAGACACTGAGATTTGGCATTTTAACCCTGGATTGCGCTCTTCAGGGTGTGTCTGTGGTTAATAAACTGGCCCAACCGGTGTATGTTTTTTTCAGGTAAAAAGAGCCATGTAGATTTGTCATAGGCCTTTAGTCATTTACAGAAAATGACATCATGTATATATAAATATATATATTTTTTAAGTTCTGGTATTTATTTTAGTTTTGTTTTTGTTGTATTAATCATTTGAATAAGTAAGTGTTTTTCATTTTGTTTAGTTAAAGTTTTATCAATTTTTATTTATTTTTTAGGGTTTTTTCACCTTCATTTTATAGTACAGTAGAGATGAGACAGGAATATATGGGGAGCAGAAAGAGGGAGGAAGGATTGGCAAAGGACATGGAGCCGGGAATCGAACTTGGGTCGCACGTCAGTGTTATATGTCAGCACACTCTACCACTAGGCTTTTATTTTATTTTATTTTATTTTATTTTATTTTATTTTATTTTATTTTATTTTATTTTATTTTATTTTATTTTATTTTATTTTATTTTATTTTATCTTATCTTATTTTATTTTATTTTATTTTATTTATTTATTTATTTTTTATTTAATATTTTATATATATTTTTTTCAACACAAGTATACAGCACATACAGATGGTTGACAGTTTATATCAAATATGGTAAATTTAATATTTATTTAAAGTCTCCCATTAAAGTTATTCATTGAAGCATGACATTTTTAACACAAATATGTTTTGTGTCCTTACACTGCTTAAATGTAACTCTTCACACCTTATTTCATTACATGTACATGAACCATAAATATGCTAGTTAGTTAGTTAGATCCCATTTTTACCAGCTATACCTGTTCCACTCAGTCATTTATCAAAAGTAAACAGCAGCAAATGCTACACAATAGCAGATAGACATGTAAACTATTTCAACACTTTAATTAATTTGATGATTTGGACAAGTGGATTTGATGACTACTGTAGAAATGGTGTACTGTAGGTGTGTCTTTGTTTGGTTGTGAGCAGTAAACTTAATGTAAATAACTGAAGTGCAGCCAATCATATAAACAAGCATACTTAAAATAGCTAAATTAAAAGGCTTACTGTCTATTATGGAGGACAAAGCACACATACCTTTTGTTGTTGACAATAGTGACTGTATGGCTAGTCTCATAATACTGTGATTTGCTGCTAGGGTACTCAGAGTATTGAGTACAGATTCTGATGCTTTAAGCTTTATAATGCATAAAGCATATTTTCCTCTAAAGACGAGTTCAGACTGCATGATTTTCAAAGTAGTCTTGTCACAGATGTTTTCACACAGCATGACTATCTGGGCTAGCGTTTTGTCGCTGTTCTGTTTACACTGCAAGATGGATCGACGACAGGTGCTTTTACATTGCATGACATTACAATAATAAGAATCGCTGACAACTTCTTCCAAACTACATCTCACAGCCAAAAACATGTAGTATATATTTTGTTATTAACTATACAATAAGAAAGAAGCCTTTTAATGGGGTAGAAAATGTACATATTTGCTCATTTAGGGAATTAGCAATTTCTCCTCAATTTTCTTTTTTAACTTTCTGTGTGAAACGTCAAATAGACACGGGTGCTCCTGTCAATCCTCCACTAGTTTTTCCTCCATTTCTTGGGTCTAAATAAACCGAAAAAGAGCACTTTTAACTTCTCCCCCAGCCTCCCGCTGGCCTGCAGGTACACACACAAAAGTGAATGCTGCTCTGTCATTGGCTGTAGTCGATCGCGGATGTTGTTTTCAGTCAAAACTCATTTCACACGACATGATTTGAATCGTATCGGCGACTCATCAGCGATTCTCTCAGATTGCATCTTTGATAGTTCATACTGTGTGACTGTCACTCACATACACGAGCACCGATTTGCCTGTGATTTCAGACATTTGTCGGTGATTTCTCAAAACCTGTCGGCGAGTCAAAATCAGGGCTAAAATCATGCAGTCTGAACTCGGCATAAGTATGATACTTAAGTGAAGAGCTTACCTTACCTAAGAGAATAAATTAAGGATGTTGTATATAATCCCTTAAACACGTCTCATAACCATTTAGGTGTGAACATGTCATGGTCAGAAGTAGCTTTAAAGAAAATAATAGATAGCAGAGATAAAAATAAAATTGGTATAAAAAAATGACTAACACTGCAATTTGGAAACATTGCAAATGATGCAAAATTCAACAAATCTCAATCAAGAAAAAGTTAGGAGCGCATATTTGATGCGTAGGAAGTTAAAATGAAAACCTATAAATCCATTACTTCTTTAATAAAAGTTAATAGGTCTACAAACTGCTGTTTATTGCAAGAAGTAAAGCTTTTTTTTTGTAAATAGGCCAAAATACATTCAAGGTCATTCAAATATTTTTTATTTTTTATTCATTTCCAACAAACACAAACACTTAGGATTGGTTCATAAGATCGGCCACATCAGCGAGTACCAATTGAGTCATTAAATGTGATTATCAGACGATAACAATCGGTGCATCCCTATTTGCTACATATCATGTGTCAGAAGGGGTAGTTCACCCACCAATTTACATTTTCTGTTAATTTAAATACTCTCGGGCCATTCAAGGTGCAAGTCTGTGACTTTTTTCTTCTGTAGAACATTAAATAGAACTTCTAGCCGGAACCCTTTTGTAATTTATACAATATTTATAATGCAAGTCAACAGTGAGTATCCCTTTAAGATTAAATAAAAAAAGTATAACAGGTAAACAAGCGAATCAAAGGCAATACTCTTGCTCCTTGGTGATACATTGAGATCATAAGAAGTGAAACAATACTACTCAAGAGCCCAATTATTATTTCAGATGTAGCATCTATCTTTCTGAGTAATATTGTGCACATGATTGTGATCAGATTCTTTTAAATAGGGTTCAGGATTCATTTTGATGAAATTAATTAAAATAAAAGATCATTTTATTGTGCAGTATAACACATATCCTTCCTCTAGTTTGCTGATGCTTCAGAGTGTAATTTGTACTGCTTGCAATATGGTGGTCGGTTTCTGGACCAATCGTTTCACAGACCAATCGTTTCACATTATACAACTTCAATGTTTTACAATACTTGTATATGCTTTTTATTTGTGTTTCTTTTTTGGCCATGAGAGATGATTACTATGGTCCCACTTTATAATAAGTGGCCTTAACTAATATGTACTTATACAGGATTTATTAGTTTGTTACAATGTACTTATTGTGTAAACACATGTATTTACTGTGTACTTATGCTCGATTAAATACATGTATGTAATTACATCTGTAATTAACTTTTGTAATTACTTTTGTAAATCCCTTCCCTTACTTTTGTAACCATCCCTTACACCTTAACCCACCCTTAAACCTACCCATCCCACCAAACCTGTTCATAACTCAACCTCTATCCCAACTTAAAAGCACCACAAGTATTCTCAAATACATTATAAACACAGTAAGTATGTTGTATTTATTTTTTAATTAAGTACATAGTAGTTAATGACACTTAATATAAAGTGGGACCATTACTATTGACTTGTATTTTTAAGTCACCACTAGTATTAGCTAAATAAAAAAAAGGTAAGTAAATTAACAGCACATTATCATTTATGAGTGATTTATCTCTTTAATAAAATTTGCCCGAGTATTTTCTGTCATTTAATGGGAAAAAAAAGAACAATTCTGTCATTATTTACATTATTTAAGTTTCTTTCATCTGCTGAAGACAAAAGAAAATTCTTTGTGAATTGCTGATTGCTAAGATCCATTAACTTCCACAATAATGTTTTTTCTAAAATGGAAGTTTGTGGGTCACAACAACCAGCATTCTTCAAAATATCTTTTTTTTTTGTGTTCAACAGAAGAAAGAAAATCATAAAGGTAAAACCACAAAAGGAAGATTGAATAATGGGGTAATTAAAATTTATGGGTAATCTATTCCTTTAACTTATTTGAAACTGAAGTCAGTGTTATTTACTATACCACATTATTATATTATTTAGAGCAGGCGTCAACAAACCTGGACCTGGAGGACCAGTGCCTGTAGATTTTAGCTCCAACCCTAATTAAACTAAGTATATTTGTAGCCTCCATACAGGTGTGTTGAGGCAAGTTGGAGCTAAACTCTGCATTATGTCGGCCCTCCAGAACCAAGTTTGTTGATGCCTGATTTAGAGTTTTAACCATTTAAGTTGACTTATGTTATGTAACTTGCATGTTCGTAACATATAACATATAAAAGAATGGTGATTTGTCAGCACTTCACTGAAAAAAGTGAAACTACTGTGTCTTTCATTCAAATGACATTTTTATTTTAAAAAATGTTTTTTGATTTTAACCTATTTCATTCAACTTGCCCTAAAGAGAACAAATTTAAACAAACCCCCTAGGAAAAAGCAAACTGAAAAAGAAATAATTGATTGGATTTACTACCTTTTTTAAGGTAAGTGGTGGCAAACAATTTATATGGACTGGATTGAAACAAACAGATTAAATGTAGTAAAGTTTAACTTAAAGTGTTTGTCTTTGATTCAGCCAATATAAATTTTTTACAAACAATTTCCTTAATAACTTTAGTTAATCCAATGAATCTTATTTTCTGTGTAGTATTTTTACTTTAAACCTGCAGTTTTCATATCATGTGACCACATGAAAAAGTTGCTGTTTATGTGCTATTTGGTTTTTATGTGTTCATGTATTCTAATGTCCTTCCTCTTTCTGTTTTTTTTTTCACTCAGACCGAGAAGATCAGTCTATCCTCTGCACGTGAGTTTCCACTGCCTGTGCCCATTGTATACATTTACTGACTTTTATTAGCACATGTCTAATTTTGTTCCAAATGTTTTCTTTTAAGTCACCTGCCAGTATTTGTTTTAAGAACTCTGAAAATAGTCCGATCAGGTTTTACAGCAGAAGGTCATTTATTTGTTCTGTTTGTGTATATGTGTGTGCAGAGGGGAATCCGGTGCAGGAAAAACAGAAAACACCAAAAAAGTGATTCAGTATTTGGCACATGTGGCATCTTCACACAAGTCTGGTACTCTGGGGCGACCCAAAGACACTGTTGTACAGGTGAGGACTGCCGTCTTTTGGGAGCAAAACTCTAAACTCTAAACTTTTGGGTGCATAAAAGCAACAGTTCCTGCTTTTCTGAAACAAGCCAGCATACCTATTTTTTGAGTTATTGCTTCTCTTTCTTTCATTCTATAATAATAACTAAAGCATCTGTTACGGTTCTCAGCAATAAATTGTAAATGGGATTAATGTATCTTAGATAGAAAAAAAAGAATACACAATGCAATAGTCATAATTACAATTTTAATATAAGTTTCTGTAATTATGTAGTTGTGTCATTATTATATTTAAATGATTATTTTATTAAATTATTACTGTATTAAATTACACAAACGCACATATATGATTAAAATTGTAACATTAAAATATACTAATATTTTACTGCAATTCATGTTAATTTAAGCATCATGCCATCGTACAGTTAAGGAAAACATTTAGAGACTACACTATAAAACCCAACTTTATTAAACAAAATGAGTGTAGGTAACTCAAAATTGACTGAAAGTTAATTCTACTCATTTGAAAAGAGTTTTATGTGGTGAATGTAATGAGTTAATTAAATACCTCATAACTTCAACTTAAATGGAGTAAGTTCACAGTACTCATTCAGATTTATTTTTAACTAGTAGCAATCGGTTTCCTCAAACGGTTTGAGTTGCCTTAACTTATTGGGTTTTACAGTACTCAATAGATTTGAGTTGTTTTCATTTATTGGGTCTTACTGTGCTTAAATTGCTTTGTTTTCTCAAATGGATTAAGTTCATAGTACTCATTAGGATTAGTTTTTGAACTTAAATGGTTTGTTGCAATCGGTTTTCTCAAATGGATAGAGTTACCTTGACTTATTGGATTTTACAGTGTACTCTTTGTGTTTTTGTTTACTATATTTATTCTGTACTATATTTGCTATTATTTTTTAAGTTCCCTATTAAGGTCTGATATATTTCTTAATATATATATATATATATGTTATTAGTGCTGTCAATCGATTAAAAAAAATTAACTAATTGATCGCACCTTTTTAAAAAAATGTGATTAATCGCGATTAATCACATTTAAAATACTGAAACTTGTAATTTTGGCTATTTAAATGTAAAATTAATGTAAACGCAAGACGAAATATTTAAATTCAAAATATATTTGTTTAATAGAATTTTTGTTTCACTTGTAACACAGATTTCTTCATGTAAACAACATACCCACAATAAACCATCAAGATCCTGGCTTGACAGCCATATTTATTACAGAAATTAAAACACAGGCATGTTAATGACATTTAAATTTCAAAACAATCAATGCCAATAAAGAAAACATTGATTTCCATGTTGGATTCTAAGTGGACTGCAAAAAAAAATACAAAAATACAGGAATTGCAGATATGGAAAATGAAAAATTATAATAATAAAGTATAGAATACAAACTGTTGTACTCATTGTAAAGTTTTATTGCTGTGAGTTGAGAACATTAATTATAGAGTAGAAACAATTTTGCTTAATCCTCCTTTACATTCATCCAGTTGCCAAGACTAGGAGTATCCCGCAGAGACTCCCAAATGCCCGCAAATGAATGATAATTTCTTTCAAACCGGTCATTAAATACATTGCACACCCCTCTCGCCCCTACTCAGATACGTCGCTCACTCCACCCCTGACACCCCTCAACAGGCCTGACACAGACACACACACAGATAGACACACACAACGTGCTGCAGACGTTTTGGCCCCAACGGCCTTCCATACTGGAGTGACTCCCCTCAGGTTCAACACGCATGATCACGTTCATCAAATTTGCTAAGCGTCCTAAACTAAGCGTCCTAAAGTATTATTGTATTTCACAAGGATTCTTACACAATGACACGAAGCATACGCTTTCGTTGCGTTTAATGAGGAAACACACTAAACTTGGAGGGCTCATGCTGAAAGGCAGAGTAATGCCCTGTCTTTGACAGCTCGCAACTTCACCAGACGTTCTGAGTACATTCACATAAGACACCAATTCTCCGATTTTAATATGATTAAGATAACATTCTTATTAAAAGTCTACCGTGTAGCCTTAAAAGGAACCTTACCTTAAAGGAACACCGAGTCACGAAATGCGGAGGATTTTCTTTCTGTTCGCCATGCGGTATCAACTTACAACAGAAGTCGAAAGTTAAAAATTAAACACCCGAAATTGCATGAAACTCTGGATAACCTGTGATGCAACTAATTGTTTTATACTGGAACTTGCCTTCAAAAAGTGCTTCCTTGGTCTTATCCACATTTATTGCATGTTGAACACACGTCCACCACAACAGGAAGTAAAAAAAACCTGAACTGCGTTAATTGCGTTAATTTTTTTAAACGCGTTAATTATTTCAAATTAATCGCATGCATTAACGCATTAATTTTGACAGCACTAATATATATATATATATATATATATATATATATATATATATATATATATATATATATATATATATATATATATATATATATATATATATTTTATTTTTATTTTTTTTCCAAAAAGATGACAGCTGGTCATAATCTTTTCATTTGTTTTGGTTACAAACAGAGGCAGATTTATTGATTTGGGGACCCTAAGCAATCCCAACTAAGGGGCCAAACAGTCTATTATGCACCCTTTGTACTTTTATTTATTTTCTATTTATTTGCATTGATGTTTTTTATTCTCTCCTTTTCAATGTTTATCTTTTTGCAATCTCTACATTTTAAATGATTTATTTTAACCTCCACTGTCCTTTCCAGTTAAAGGTTAAATAAAAAAATATCATAAAAAGAAATTGAAAAAAAAAAAAACTTTTTTACTTAAAAACTCAAGTGGTCCTTTTATGCATCGTTTCTCAAACACATTCCTGATGGACCACCAGCACGGCATGTTTCAGATGTCTCCTCTGCCTTTCTTCTTCTTCTTTTTGGTTTAATGGTGGATAGCAAACCAGCTTGAGGTGCATTACCGCCAGCTACTGTGTTGGAGTGTGAAACCTTAATGAGTGGAAGGATAACTCTACATATTCTCTATTGTTAAATAAAAGTCCAATTAAATCCTGTTAATTAAACCTGTACTTATCAAAAATTATATAAACAAATTGTATACCTTTGGCTGGTTCTATACATTTTTGAAAAGTTTCTGTAATTGAGATGTCTGTCATGTCCAGATCTCTTTATTTTTTTTTGTAAACTGGTTCCTGTCTCTTCTATATTTGTACACCTAATTAATACTTGTTCAATGGTTTAAATTTTTCCGCAATGACTGCAGCATTCTGTTTCCCTTTTCCCTATCTTGTACAGTGAGCTATTTAAATGGAAGTGACATATTCAGAGTCTGTCTTCCTGTTTCCATATACTTTCCTTTCTTTCCCCATGTTAGCTTTTATTTTATACAGATGTCTTTCCTTTGATTCAGATTTCCAGTCCTTTTGCCAAAGGTTAATAACTGAATTACTTATAATAGGTTTTATTTCTGTTTTACATAGCAGGATCTCAATTTCCAACTCATCTTTCTCCAATGCTGTCTTAGCCATCTTATCTACGACTTTGTTCCCCTCTACTCCTACATGGTAATATTTTATCTAATAAATCCTGTCGTGATCCAGAGGTCCCGCTATTCAAACTATTTAGTGCTGAATATGAGTCAGAGCATACCACCACACTTAAGGGCCGATTTTTCCTTTGCCTGCCACACTCATTACAAGTCTTTCATTCTCAACTAACGGGCTTAATCAGGTGTGTTTAATTAAGGAGACATGGAAATGCGTGGAGCTGGTGGTCCTCCAGGAACGTGGTTGAGAAACACTGCTTTTATGTGTTGTCTATACACCACATTTCTGGATGTGGGCCATGCCTAACGTTTCTTAAGTTACAAAACCATAAATGATGCCCCCCACCCTCACAAAATCTCTTTTCATTTGCCTCCTGTCTCTAATATTTTATTTTAATTTCCACTCGTCTGGGTTGTTCTTCTCTCCGTGTCTACTGTTTTTCCTGGGCCCTGCTGTTTCTTTCCGCTCTTCTTTCGTCTTCCTCTTTGTCCTCTGCTGTGTGTTGAAGATGGATGGTACTCGCTCTCTGGGTCGTGGCAGTAGCGCTGTGAACAGGGTGAGTGGGCGCTTTTCTCTTCATGACTGTCAACATCCGGAGCTCAGACTACAGCAGTTCTAATTCATGTCCTGCCACTTTAACCACATAATGTGCTGTGTCTAATTATTGTGTGTGGATATATTCACTGTGTTGGTTTTTTTGAGCCATGTTTTTATGATTTTGTTCATCAGTATGTTCTGTTTTTGTCCCCTGTGTGTCCTGTTCAACCACTCCATCTCTCTTTTTTGTGGATTCTAACAGACCGTGCAGTATGTGAGTATGGTTGAGCTCTAATGCTTCCTATGTGGGTCTTTAGGGGGCGCTGTATGCATATTAAAGCTTGCTATGTTGTTATTATGACCTAAATAGATCATTTAACTCTATATGGGTGAGAGCGAAACCTCGAAGATTAGATCGAGATTGTTTAGCCTTTTTATCAGTGGTTTTTTTTTTAGGTAAAGGCTTTTGCTGAGCTGCAATTTTATGAGTTTGCACTTTCAAGTGTGTGTGTGTGTGTGTGTGTGTGTGTGTGTGTGTGTGTGTGTGTGTGTGTGTGTGTGTGTTTATGACCGAGCTTTAATTTAAGGACAAATCTTTCCAGGCATCAGCTAATTTAGAATGTGGTCCATATTTTCATCACTAAATTTGTGGTTTAACGTTCATAAGATGCAAAATAATAATTGGCATGAAAAAGAATTTTTACTTTTATCTTTAAATGAAATATTTTGTTAACCTTTTTATATCAGTTAAAAAAGCTTTTTACACTTTGACTTTTATAGATTTCTTCTCAAAAAGTCTTCAGAAATCTCCCAGCGTAATATCACAGGGTGTCTGCAGGATCTTAAAAAGTATTAAAAGTTGATAAATAAATGTACAGAGAAATTCATATTATTTATGAATATATTATATATTTATATATTTATATTATATTATATATATATATATATATATGTGTGTGTGTGTGTGTGTGTGTGTGTGTGTGTGTGTGTGTGTGTGTGTGTATATATATATATATATATATATATAATTAAGCGTTTTTAAAAAGAACTCAAATCAGCAAAAATATAAATATATGCGACAATCAAAAAATAATTTCATGTTTAATAATAATTGTATTTATTTTGACACTTTTTCTTTTCAATGGAATAAAGTAAAAAAAAAGATATACTTAAAAATAAAAGAAATACTTTTATGTTATTCAGGCGCCATCTCTCTTTCAAGTTCAAAGTAAACTTGAATGCCAAAGCATATTAGATATGTATATAAAATAGCCTATGTAATATATTAACATCATCAAATGAATAAAATAATAAGCAAATGAGAAATATGAACAAAAAAATGACAGAAAAAAACAGACATTATTGCTTATATTATCATAATTGCAAGATTAAAACGAGTAGAGTTTTTTTAAATAAGGCAAATGCGTTGATTTCCCATTACTAATGGTCTACATATATTTTGCAGCCAGTTTAGATTCATTTCATGTTCTCTGAGTATATAGTAAATTTTTCGTTTAGATCAACAAATCTATTATTTGCTTTTTCTCTCTCTAAATAAACTCTTTAATAAAAGATTAATGCAAAAATGCATATACAGTACAAGCTTTAGAAAGTGAAATTTAGGACATTATAAGAGATTTAAAAACCGGGCCAGACGAGAAGGTCTCGCGGGCACAGAAAAAAAACTGGTAAACAAGAGATTTTCTTCTACTTAATTGATTGCTGATGTTTGGCTATATAGAGTGGATATATATGTATATGGCTAAAAAAAACAACTAGATCTCAGAACTAGTTTATCCACCCACACGCAACCTTACAATGCATCTGCACTCCTTTAGGAGATTCTTCCCACACTTTAAAAAGCACTGAGTTAATATTTGGGTTATGATTAGTGTAGAGTAATCTCATATTAACAGAAGTAATAAGTCTCTAGTTAGAGTGTGTGTGTGTGTGTGTGTGTGTTTGAGAAAGAGTGTGAGGGTCTGCTTGGCTGCAGTCATACAGTATGCTGATGCTGGGCTTTTAGCTGAATGTGAGTTATATTCTTGCACTGAAGGGCTATTCTTCTTTTGTTGTGCCTAGGGGGAGCTGGAAAGACAGTTACTGCAAGCAAACCCCATTCTTGAGGCCTTCGGCAACGCCAAGACTGTCAAAAACGATAACTCTTCCAGATTTGTAAGCCCTGAATCGCCACAGCTAACACACAGAGTTAGATCTTGAGTTTGTGATTTGCTCTGAACTGACATGTATTTTTTATTTGTTACAGGGCAAATTCATCAGAATCAATTTTGATGTTGCTGGATATATTGTTGGTGCTAATATTGAGACTTGTATCCTTCATAATCCCTAAAATTCATTTAAACAGCTGATAATTGCAGAAAAGTTGCAAAATAATGTAGTTGTGAGAAAAGTACTGGCATTTTTGTTGCAGGTACTGCTATAATTATTTTGCCCGTACTATGTTTGTTTACAGATGTTACTTTATATTTTTTGATAAAATACCAAAATGCTAAGAAAGAATTTAAGGCCATTCTGCTGTATTTTTAATGTAAATTATTAGTATTTTGCTAAAAATTAGTTTTATGAAAAGCTTTAGTTTTAGTTTCCATCATGCTTATTTGCAGATGCTACTTTATAATTTCTGCTCAGGCCAATTTTATTTGTGAGAAAACATCTTTGTTTATAGATACCACTGTTTGTTTTGTATAATTGAAGAATTAAATAAAAAAATATTGTTAGTTATGAGAAAAGCTGGGCATTTTGGTGGCGCAGTGGGTAGCACGTACGCCTCAGCACGAAGGTTCTCAGCTGGGTCAGATGCCATTTCTGTGTGAAGTTTGCATGTTTTCCCCGTGTTTGTCTAGGTTTGGGTAGGTTTTCCCCAGATACCCCTGATTAACAAAGGGACTAAGCCGAAAAGAACATGAATGAATGAATGAATGACAAATGTATAATAATTTAAACAGCGAACTAAACTGCCTGTGTTCATGTGGGTTTCCTATGGGTGCTCCAGTTTCCCCCACAGTCCAAAGTCATGCGGTATAGGTGAATTGGGTGAGCTGTTTGTTGCAAAACCGCTTAAATTTTTTATACCCGCCTATGTCATTTCATACCTGTACATTCATGTTCAAAATAAGCACTGCTTTTAATATTGAAATGTAAAAATTGTAAAATGTTTGCAATTTCAATAACGCATAAGTAAATGTTGAACTAGGATTGATAAATGCTGTACATGCACAGTATTGTTCATTGTGTGTTCCTGTTAGTAAATACATCAACTAACGTTAACTAATGAAGCCTTTTTGTAAAGCGTGACCAGAAAAGATACTACTAGGTGAGAGAAAAGCTATAGAATGTTTTTCTTTATCACCTCATAATTTTGTTATTCAAACTAAACTAAAAGAAAAAGGTTTTCCTCAGAAGGAAAAATACTGTGAAAATGACCTTGATCTGTTGAAAGTCACTTTGAATAGTTGAAAAAGAATAAAAAATAATAATTTTGACTTTAACTGTGTATACCTCATTTAATGAATTGTATAATGTAAATAGTTTTATTATTATATTATTATTATCTATTCATTCATTTTCTTTTCAGCTTACTCCCTTTATTAATCTGGGGTTGCCACAGCGGAATGAACCGCCTATATTATTACTATTATATTATATTTTATATATTTATCATCCCTACTGTGTTTATTGGCACATTTTTCATTAACCTGTGAGTGTATTAGATCTGCTAGAGAAGTCTCGAGCCATTCGTCAGGCTAAAGATGAGCGAACCTTCCATATCTTCTACCAGCTTCTCTCTGGTGCAACTGAGGCCATGAGAAGTCAGTAGTCCACACAAAAACATGCATGCTTCACAATACGTTTGTAATATCTTTAATGCAAACACTGCTGTTGTGATCCAATATCTGCTCTGTTTCTACAGAGGAGCTTTTGCTGGGAGGTGCAGATCAATATCGTTTCCTCTGTGGAGGTTCACTTCCTGTTCCGGGTCAAAGTGATTCAGAAAACTTCACTCAGACAATGGACTCGATGACCATCATGGGCTTCACCCAGGAAGAATCTACATGTAAGAGAGAAGAGGGGTCTCTAGAAGGGGTCAGAAATTATCCTCAAGTAACTGTACATATTCAGAATGCAAGTTTTGCTCTATTAAAAGCATCTGGGCAAAAATAAATTTGAGTTAAATTAAAAAGTTCAGCTTTTAGTTGTACTTGTAAAAGTAAAAGTACAGTAGCAAGAACAAAAATGAGATATGAAATTATTCATACATCATATCGACTCATCCACTAATGCATTAAATGAAAAGTATTATAGTAAATTATTATTAAAAGTAAAATGATAACTCATCACACATTTTCATCACTTGATGATATTTGCACTCATACAATATTGTTTATTCTGCCAATATACTAAAAAGACAGCTAATGCATATGCAGCTAAAGAGAAAAACAAAACCTTAAATTGTTTTTTTTTTTGGATGCTCTGGGTTTACTAGGTATATTTTTGAATAAAACAGATATATTTATTAAAATAATATTTTAGTGACCAAACATATTAAGAAATTAAAAGACAATAAAATTAAAATTCAAGCAAAATATTGCAAAACATATTACAACCTACAAAATTTCAACAATTTTTTTCTATTTTTTTTTGCTTCTCTTGATTTTTTCTTATTTTTTTTTAAATGTATTTTATATTTTATATCTTCTATAACATGTTAATTTGGGTTTAGTAGTTTTTGGATTATTATTGTAAGCTATTTTGTTGGATAGACTCCAGATTTGGCTTCAGTAGTGTTTAATCTAATGTATATAAACAAATATAATACTGTATAGATTCCTATTAACATATCATTTTAAAAGATAGATTTGTTAGGGGTGTACTTATACTGTTGAAATCAAAATTATTAGCCCCCCTAAATTATTAGCTCCTCTGTTTATTTTTTTCCTAATTTCCTTTTTTGTTTAACGGAGAGAATATGTTTTTCCAACACATTTCTAAACATAATAGTTTTAATTACTCAATTCTAATAACTGATTTATTTTATCTTTGCCATGATGACAGTAAATAATATTTGACTTGATATTTTTCAAGATACTTTATACAGTTTAAAGTGACATGTAAATGCTTAAAAGTGCAGTAGGTGATCTTCCACAATGCTAGCAGCTTAGCATAAATCTTTGAATCACAGTGCCTCCCCTGCCGTCCAGAGCCACGCCTCCTGAAACAGGAGCCACGCGCACCTTAAAGATGACTGCAGAACCCTCTTCTCATAGAATAAAAAGACTCAGCTATGAATAATAATGAGAAACCAACGTGTCATCTTTGCACTTGCAGTTTTGCGCTACGTCGCCAATTTTGATACTGCCCCAAAAATCATTTTAAACCCGATATCTAAACTTAGCTGACAAAAGCTCAAAATTATCCAGTTTTTTCCACAATTAAAGCTGACAGGTGCTAACATTGTCTTAACTGATGCTCAACACACACAAATCTGCTAAAATCTCCAAAAAAGTACTCAAGGGTTTCGTGAACCTTTAAAATGGATTTTTAAAAAAAAATTAAAGCTGCTTTTATTCTTGCCGAAATAAAACAAATAAGACTTTCTCCAGAAGAAAAAATATTATTAGACCTACTGTGAAAAAATATTAGGGTGGCTAATAATTCTGACTTCAACTGTATATGCTGAGCACTGTATAAATTCCTTTTTTACTTCTATGAAAATAAATACAAACAGATATGGAAATGTGATGTGAAAATTTACAAGATGATGTCATCTAGTGCTCTTTTAGGCAGATTTTCTTTATTTTATATCGAAAATAGATGGCAACAGTGTTCAGAGCTGTATTCAAGTTCAGGTAGTCAGTTTGAATCATAATCGAGTAAAGTACAGTAAAGTAATACTTAGGTACAGTATTCAAGGGTTTTACACCAGTGGTGTCTCTGTCTCTTCCTCATACTGTCTTTCTTTTCAGCCATGCTAAAGGTGATCTCTTCAGTGCTGCAGTTTGGGAACATCACATTTCACAAAGAGAAGAACACGGATCAGGCCTCAATGCCAGATGACACCGCAGCACAGAAACTCTGCCACCTGCTGGGCATCAGCGTGCTGGAGTTTAGCCGTGCCATTCTCACTCCTCGCATCAAAGTAGGCCGCGAATATGTCCAGAAGGCCCAGACCAAGCAGCAGGTGTGTGTGTGTGTGAGGGTGTGTGTTCATGTGGTGTTTTAAAGAGCCCCTATTATGCATTAAAAAAGGTCATATTTTGGTTTTGGGGGTCTCCAACAACAGGCTGATATGCATGCAAGGTCAAAAAACTTTTTCATTGTCTTATAATATGCATTTATTTTTACCTGATTATCCCATTGTCTCCCATATGATTCGTTCAGGGATTCATTTGTTCCCAAACCTTTTCTTAGCGCAATGGTAATCTACGCTGATTGGTCCGATGACCCAGTCTGTTGTGATTGGTCGACTGCGTTCAGCATGAGAGAGAGAAATGCTCAACATGGCTTATCAACAAGTTGTCAGAGTGCAGTGTATGTGTGAGCCCAATACAGGAGTGCACATAAGAAAAAAAGTGACGCACATTCGGTATTAAACGCTGAATAATAGCGATTAATAGCAAATAATAGTGGCAAAAGCAGGACCATTTTAAAGACTTGACTGCCGCACGTGTGTAGGAACAGCTGATGGTGGCCATAGCAACGACAAACGGCAATAGATTGCGAGCTCACAAACGCTTTTAAATCCGTAAACAAAGCAGCACACGTTATGTGGCTTTAGACGTGATATGAGAATAGAAAGAGTTAACCAGACATTGCACAAGCAGTTACAAGTAACAAAACACAATTAAATATATAATTTGCAAGCTAGAGAAAATAAGGAGGCAACCACTTTAATCACACTTAAGTTACTTACACTTGTGAAATGGAGGATCTATGAATTGTGTACTGTCAAACTTTGACAAAGTCTCATACATCAATAGTCTGTTCTGATCCTTCCTTTAACAAACATCAGATGAATCCCCCGTTGTAAGCGTGTAGATTACTGAAGCACTCATCGGAAAAATGACGGGAACACAGCACAAAGCTGTGGCTATAATGCTGAGGTATTTTTGCAAAAATAAACTTCAACCACTGACTCTTCACAGCCTCATCTTTGGGTAGGGAAAATAACATTAACTCTCCCTCACACTTCAGAGCACAGCGTCTACATGACATGATTCAACCGGGATCTGCAACAGTGTTTGTTGGCGGGGCCGGGGGGTTTCAATCTTCCAGGGTCTGTGCGCGCAACAAATGGATGGGGCTTGAGATCTGTATCGACATCATGTCGGCATGACTAAAGACTCGCTACTGCAGCAATTAATTCGAACCACTGAGTCGACTCTTTTATAGATAAATCAATAGTTTTAAACATAGTACACTTTCAAATTTAAGTCTTAAGGCTCCTACACATTGGGATGCTTTTCACTTGCTTTTATTGTGAGCGTTTTATGAGACGATTTTCAGGATTCAAACCCATGCGATTTTTTACTGGCGTCAAGCAGAAGAGTATACAAAATCACTCCTTGACGTTAGATGGCGCTACTAACTTTAAACTTCTGACACCTGCTGTTGTATTCAGACTTCTTATCAATTAGAAATGATCAGACGTAGAGGTTTTGAATATCAGAAAATAGATTTTATTCTCCATAATAAAGCCGAAAAAGAGCAGAGCAGACCTCAGAGTATTCTAAAGTCTCTCCTGGTAAATTCCTTTCTTTCTTTCCTACCTCTTTTCTCTTTCTAAGGTCTCTGTGTTTTCCACAATCTTTCTACAGATTGTTGAACACACCTAGTTGTCTCGGTTAAACACTTGACAAATTTTGGATAAGTTTTTACTCTAGGTGGTCCTGTTATTCTTGGCTCTCTGCCAGCTTGCTACGGTCAGCAGAGATGTCACAGGTCTATGTTAGCAACTGTTTTGAAACTAGAGCATAGATGCAAAAGAACTAAGTGTTTACATACTTTGTCATGATAGCATAATAACTTGATAATATGTTACTCACTCTAGCTTCTGACACATATTGCTTCGCATGAATGTTCAAAATATATAATCAGTGCTTTACATATTCAGTTATTTTACACAATCAGTCATTCTTCAGCATAGCCTTCTCCTAGTGTTGTTCCTGTGCAGGCATACTCATCTTTTCGTTGGTGTGCACAATCACATTGGCGCCCTTTATTTAGTCACAAATCGTTAAACGTCATTGGAAAATGCGAGCAAAAATCGCCCTGGTGTTCACAGGCCTTTAGCTGGATATTTTACTTCACTTAGAGCTGTGTTACACACTGCATGGAAGGTCATTTTCAAAAGCCCATAATAGGGGCTCTTTAAAATGCGACAGAACAGATGTAAAGTGCATGCTTCACAAAGAGACTCATTTGCACCTGAATTGAACCACTTTATATTATCAGCTAAGTATACAATGGAATTTTATTAGTCTAAATTTGTTCTCCATGACTGTATTTTAGAAGGAATGTTTTTAAAAATGTACTCCATTCTAATATACATTTCTGGTTCTATTCTGATCATAATGTAGAAAAAAGAATCTTTCTATTCACTGCAGTACAATCTAAAGTTTGGGGTCAGTATTTTTATTCATTGACCTATTATTTAACATGTTTTACCTAATAAAGTAATATTTGTTTATTTATGTTTTTTTTGTTTTTGTTTTTTTGCAAAAAAGCTCTAAATTTATCCAAAAGATTTTAATGAATTGTAATCTCTTTGTGTAATTTATTTAATAATTATATGTATTTTTAATAATAATAATAGATATGTTAAATGACCACTTAATTAGCTTATTACAATTTAAACTAAAATAAATCATTCATGTCAATAAAGTACATTTAAACTATATTAAAATAGAAAAGAAAATATTTGGTATATATTATTTTAGATTATTTTTAATATTATTGAAAAATATTACTGTCTTGTTCAAATAAAAGAACAAGGATATAATGAACGGAGAGACATTTTACAAATAAACTAATGACTTGCAGCATTCTTGTACCTGCGCCACTTGTCAAACCACTTTCTATTTTGTCTTTATTGAATTAATTAAATCTTCTGCTATATTCTGAAATAAGTCACATTAAAATAAGAATGAGTTGCATAAAGTTTGTTGCTATTTTCAGCGCAACCCTAATTTTTTATGTTGTGCGCCACGTTGTTTAAATAACAAATTCATTTGTGCTGCTTTGTGGACTCATGCGTGTTCTGGTCTATAAAAGAGGTGTGTTATGGCGCAATGTTGGCGGGGTGCTATTTTGAGGAACTAAAATAGTCTGCGCAATTGATCAGCTAAACGCTGCTTTAAAGACCAGTGCAGAGGGTGTTAGTTATGCTTAATACACACAGGATGTACAGCAAAAATAATAAAAAAATTATTATTTCCTACATAAATATAAAAAACACTACCTCCATGCCTTCTTCATCTTGGGGCTTTTTTTTCAGTTTATTCATGACAATTTGCTTTTGTGTAATGCTATTATTATAAGTGTTATTTATTATATGCATATGCATATGCATATTTGTTTTAATTAAAACAAGCTTAGATTTGTCCACCTGTCAGATTTTGGACTATATGGGTCATAAGAAAAGGACATGTGTTTGGATATAATTCAGTTTTTTGGCCACACTTTGTTATTATTGTTCATTTATTCATTTGCTAGAAATTAGAACTGAATTTAGAAATAGTTTTGAAACAAATCTTTGCACTCAACAAACAAAATTAAATATGTATGCTGATGGATGTCTTCAGTGGAGTGCGTACAACACAGTTTCCTTATCCACAAAAGTAAAAGAATAAAGTAAAGAGTAAAAGGCTGAATAGAGTAGCCTCATTCTTTATCTTCAGTTTTTTCACTTACAAAGTCTGCCATGACTTTTAAAGGGAATGGGAGATGAGACTCTGTTTGGTTTAATGCACGTTCTGCTCAAAACACACCCATAACTCATCAAGATAATAAGCACAACTCTGTTAGACCCTGCCCCACAGCGCAAATTGTATTTTTCTGTCCTTAAATTGCAAAAGTGGATTTGGACACGTCCTTAATGCATTTGCACCATGCACTTTAGACTTTGCGCCTAGATTGTTAAAATAGAGCCCTATGACTTAACAGAAATAACAATTTTTCTTGTTTAATCCATTTTCTATATGTGTTCAGGCTGATTTTGCCGTGGAAGCTTTAGCAAAGGCCACATATGAGCGTCTGTTTCGCTGGCTTGTGCATCGGATCAATAGAGCTCTAGACCGCAGACAACGTCAAGGAGCCTCGTTCATCGGCATTCTGGACATTGCTGGATTTGAGATCTTCCAGGTGAGGGAAATGCAGTTATCTTAATTACTGTCTTCGTTATCCTGTCAATAAACATTAATTGTCCTCTTTGTTTCGCCTCAACAGCTGAACTCATTCGAACAGTTGTGCATCAACTACACTAATGAGAAACTGCAGCAACTCTTTAATCACACCATGTTTGTGCTGGAGCAAGAAGAGTATCAGCGAGAGGGCATTGAGTGGAACTTTATCGACTTTGGTCTGGATCTTCAACCCTGTATCGACCTCATTGAAAGACCGGTAAGTGTGTGTATGTTTTTATTTGTGTAGATCGTAAAGGCCCCAATACTTTTAAAGATTAGTTAAAGAGTGTTGAACTTAGGGCTGCACAATTATGGGAAAAATCATAATTACTATTTTTTGGTCAGAATTGTAATCACAATTATTCAAAACGATTATTAGTTGAAGTCAAAATTATTTACCATCCTGTGATTTTTTTTTTTATATACATATTTCCCAACAGAGGAATTTTCACAGTATTTCCTATAATATTTTTTCTTCTGAAGAAAGGCTTATTTATTTTATTTTGGCTAGAATAAAAGCAGGTTTAAATATTTTGAAACCTATTTTTAATAGCTCAACATTATTAGCCCCCTTAAGCAATATATATTTTTGATTGTCTGCAGAAGAAACAACTGTTATACAATGACTTGCCTAATTACACTAATTAAGCCCTTAAATGTCACTTTAAGTTGAATACTAGTATTTTGAAAAATATTTAGTCAAATATAATTGTAACGAGGACCCTGACAAACTCTGTGCAAACTTACATCAAACGTAGTAATACTGGGTCGATAGGCTGGCGGCTGGCTGTCAAGGATCGTGATAGCAGGCATGGGTCAGTGGCAGGCGGGTGGATCAAAGGCGATATGCAAGGCAGGGTTCGAGGCAGGCGGCGTGGATCAAAGTCGAGGTACAAGGCAGGGTTCAAGGCAGGCGGCAGGCAAGGCATGGTCAAGGGACAGTCCAGGTAATAACGGGGAGATCAGGCAAGTATATGAACGCTAAAAAATGTTAGCAAGGGCAGAACAAGACTTCGCACTAGAGTGTTTGGGCTGCTTATATGTGTGCGCGCGGGTAATCAGTGAGATGTGCTGCAGGTGTGTAGCAATCAGTGTTTGAGGATGATGTAATGTTAGAAGTCCGGCGATGATGACCTCTGCTGGCCAGCGAGGGGAATGACTGGGACCGAGTCGGTGACAATAATGTAATGTCATCATAGCAAAGATAAAATAAATCAGTTATTAAAAATGAGTAATCAAAACTATTATGTTTAAAAATGTGTTGAAAAAAGTCTTTACATTAAACAGAAATTGGGGGGAAAGGGTTGCTAATAATTTAGAAGGGCTAATAATTGTGACTTTAACTGTATATATGCACAGTTATTTTTCTCCCTGTAAATAAGGAAAGGTAAAAAAAAACAATGAAATAAAAATACGAAACAAACTGCGCTTTAAGCATCTTCAGTGTAAGAAAAAGCTTTAGCCACAAAAGTCTTTCAGTCAAGAGCAGTGAGGGATTTTCTCCATTTGTTGTTTGATAATGATAATAATATAATGATAATACAGGAATCTTGCGCGCTGTCACTTTAAGAATAGTGCAGTTCAGATATGGTTTCTCTTTCACATGTCTTTTGATTCTCAACTTGTTTGTTAATTACACAAATGAGGGTCAATATAAATAATGACTAAACACTGCGTTCTGACACAAATGTGCATGTATTTGAAGATTAAAGCGCTGGCATTTAGATGGCTTTAGATGTGTGTGCTCTGCTTGTCTCTGAGGCTAAGCGTGCAAACACACAAAAGCATGCGCTCTCTGCGCGTTTAAAAACATGAATGATGCGCATCCCATGCTGCAAAAGTTACATTACAGTACATGCTGTGTCATTTTCACATGGAACTGAGCTTTGCAGAGCAACAAATGGACGCAACTTGAAAAGGGGCAGTATATGATAGAATAATTGTTTATATCGATTAATGTTTTTTCATAATCGTTAGAAGCCAAAATCGAAAACGAAACCGGACTTTTGATTAATTGCACAGCCGATGTAGTTTTGTAGATAATCAAGCCAAAGGGGTAAACATGAGAGGAGGAGGTATATAGTGAAACTAAACTGTATTATTCTATGTAATTGTACCTTTCCTCATCTAGGCCTTTTGTTGGAGAAGTGATACAACTAAATGGCACTTAATAATTACAATTTTTATTTTTTTTTTTAACTAAATTGATGGTGGAATAAACTGTTTGCTATATTTGATACGGCACTCGCATAAAACATTACTGCACAGTTTTCTGTTTTATTCACATTCTATGTTGCATTCTGTCAAAATGGTTAGAATGTTTTTTACTGAAAAATAATAAGATCACGCTCACAATATGGGCAACAAAAATCAGTTGATGGAAACGCCAAGATGCGCATACATTTATAAAATGCAAATAAAATACATATGCACATAACTGAGTAGGATAAACGTTTTTGTACGATAAGTTATGATGTGCATAAACTGCGATGGAAACACTTTTACCGAACCAATTCCAGTATGCGCATTACAAAAAGGTCATGTGATTTTGTTTTAAGAGATCATGTGATGATGAAAATGTTTGTGGATGGACAAACCAGCAGGCTGAGCACACTGTAAAACATCTGAAATGTTGTTTTGATCATTCTAAAACGCCTTAACCGTTTCAGTATTAGTGTTTTTACATTATTAATGACCTCCAGAACTGTCAAGAGTGTCTGTGCTCCACGTTTGACGCCTTCAAACGCCACCATGCGTTTATTGCATGTTGGCATCGTTTTCTGAGGCACAAGTCATTTAAATTTTTTTTTTTAAAGATTCACGCAGTTGCAACTCATATCAAACACACCTGCCTGTTATTAGCATGCACTGTGTAGGTCCTTTTTAATTAGTTTAGGTGTGTTTGGTCAGGGTGGTAGCTGAACTCTACAGGAAAGTAAATCTCCAGGAAAAGGGTTGAGCACCCCTATTTTACAACTACTCTTCTGCCTGCCTGAAATGCTAGATTGTTCCACAATCTGAAATAATGTGGCTTTTTATTCTCTTTTCCTCAGCTATGATAAGCTGCTTTGACACAATCTACATTGTAAAATGTGCTAGAGATATAAATTGACTTGACCCAACTTGACATTTGTTACCTTAAAGCAGGTGTGTCAAACTTCTACTCAGCCCTAAACAGTTTAGCTCCAACCCTGCTTCAACACACTTACCTGGAGGTTTCAAACAAGCCCAAATAAATCAATTAGTACAGGCAGATATGTCTAATTAGGGTTAAAACTAAAGCTGTGGTCACACTAGAGTTTGATAATGCGAAATTCTGTCGTTTGGCTCTGTGGAATGGATCAGGATTAAACAAGATGACTAGACATTTAAAAAGCGAGCGATTGGTCTATATTTTAAATTTCTGTCCAGAGAGGTCATGTTTTGATCCTCAATTGGTCTCACGCAGTCTAGTGATGCGATTTCGCAGGTCAGAGTTCACCAAGCTTGAACTTTGCACCGCAGCGACCTGCAAAACTTGATGCATGATCTTGCGTTTCGGGTCTGACGCATTTGCAGACGTAAAAATGGAAGTTTATGGGGAGAAAAGTCCAGTGTGACTGCAGCTTAGAGCTGTGCTGTGTCCCTCTAAGAACTGAGTTTGACACTTATGCCTTAAAGGACGTTTTTTTACAGTTCTGCAGCTTATAAAAGCTTGCATCTGTTTTCTTTTTAGCTTATTTGCTTTACACCATGTTACATAGCAGCTTTTGGGCACATGTTTGTTGTAAACAATAGATCAGGGGTGCTCAATCCTGTTTCTAGAGATGTAATTTCCTGCAGAGTTTAGCTGTGTTCCTTCAGATCCTAGGCTGTTTCTCAATTCCAAGAATGTACTTCACTCATTTTAGCATAATATTATTAAAAGATTACAGCTTTTTTTAATAACATGCACAGAAGTCTTACAAAGATACTTTACACACAACAAATAAAAGAAATTTTAATATGCATTTCAGCAAATAAATACCCTTAATGGGTTTATGCCTTTATTAAGCTTGAATGTTTACTTTCGCTGTCTCATTTAGGGAAACTCCTGAGATAAATAAGTTATATCTCTGATATTTAATAATAAATGGATTTTAAAATCTTTTATTTAGCCTCAATGACTATGTTTACATCGACATTAGTAATCTAATTATTTGCTTTAATCTGAATAAGACAATAACATGATTAAGATGTTTACATGAGTTGCTTTTTAAATGTTCCTTTCAAGATCCCGTTTTATATGCTATAACACATAATTCGATTAACGTCATTGCATCACCACACTATCCACATTTCCACTGGAGTTTCATATAATTTTGGGTGTTTCATTCTTAATCTGTCGACTTTAACTGTGGTGTGGCACTTTCACTTTCATTTTATGCATGGCGTCTATGACAAACAAGATATTGGATGTGGGTATGAACTACTGGAAGAGTGTTAGTAGAATCTGATACCGCACGCTCTATTGGAAAAAACTCTCTGCATTTTGTGATGCAGGTGTCTGTGGTTTTTCACTGATTTGGTTACTGTCTATGTAAACATAGTTAATGACTTATGGGACTTGAAAAGACTGCTGCGCTCATGAGTTTGCTTTTGATGTGTCCTGAATATCAAGAATGTCGTCTTGAGTTTTGGAACTGAACTTTGGTGGTTGATGAGGATTTTAGATGAGAACACAAGGACGCAGAATCGCTTAAGACTGCTTATAGACATTTTCACATATCCCTCTACCGCACACATTATGATAAACCTATAAAAAAATATTTGACTGTTTTTCTTTTCTTAAAATGGCTTAACTTGAAGTGCTGTAAAAAATTTGGAAAAAAATATTTTTTTAAGGTACTTTATGAAATGTTGCCATATGGCAACAACGTCCAACAGTGGATCTACCTAAGAAATTTCAAATTTAAAACTTTTCTTATAATTAAATTTTATTTTTGTTTGAAATATTTTAATTGTTGTAGCAGTATTATGAGCCTTAACACAGAACTTATAAATGACACCTTATACATACTTTACCACAACTCATATTCCAACAGCTTTCATTTATTCTATTCTTTTTTGCTGAATATTATTAAAAACAATAATAGTATTGTTTTATCATATATACAACATACAGTAAATATAAATATTTTCTCCAGTAAATATTATAACAAATAAATAACAAGTCTAGTATATCCAGATGCATCAGAATAATGTTGCTACTAGCTAAAAATGTTTATATTAAACTATATACTAGACTATGCCTTTCTTATCTGCATCTGAGCTAACTTACCTGAACTGTCTCTATCATTTATCCAGTCTGCATCCTTCTTATGATCACTAAAACCCATCTCACCCTCACTTTCATCTGCAGGAAGAGCCAGTACTGTCCTTTTTTCTTTAAATTAACATAGAACATGGTGGTGCTCGCTAATATACTGTTCCCTTTATTAATATCTATGCAAAAGTAGTATTGCCATTAAAACTAGATTGTATCCATAATGCAAATGTCATTAACATATGACTAATCAACATTATATAATAGCATTCATGTTGTTATTGTTACAACTTCAAAGTTCACAGCTGAGCTTGCTAGCTAGCTAAGCCATTGCAATATTGCATGTTTCACTATTGTACAGTGTTGCCATTTGGTAAAACACACATTTGATCGATTTACAAAAAAAAAAAATGTTGATTTTAAAACATTTGAGTTGTGAGTGTCATCATAACTTACTGGAGGTGATATTTCAAATTTTTTTGTGGATCTGACATAAATTGATCCTTTGTTTTTATTGATATTGATGTTTACATTTGCATTTAGCAACTACTCACAATAAACGCCAGTTTGTCAGAAATCGTGCTACAGAAAAACACTGCCTGTCATGTGATTTGACCAAAGCACATCATTGGCTACTTTAAGGTCTTCTCTTATCAACAAAAAAAATAATATGTTGGTCTTAAGAAAACAGTGGCAGAGAAATGAACATGAGTATCATGTTACCATATGGTTACGCCGTGCAGTAGAGGTATATCCGGGTTTTTCAGTTGCGGTACGTGTCATAGTTAGTAAACTTAGAGTGGAGTAAATGTCAGAGGTTAAACTTAGAGTGGAGTGAATGGGAGAGTACAATGAATATATTTTTTTTATTTTGCAATCCTAGTAGCGGAAGATAATGAAAGAAAAAAACTCCTCGAGAGTGTTATCAAGACTTTCATGAAAAGGAAAAAAAAATTGTGTGAGATTGATGACGGCAGTCAGAGGAGAGAATAACATTAGACTTACTCTCAGCCCCATAGATGCTTCATTACAAACACATTACATAAGCAGTAATTCGACGCAAAGATTATATGAGACATACAAGCCTATCAATGTTTGTATGTTTTTTAATCGAAATATTAAAATCTTTCTAGGATTTAAGATTATGATGACCGTTAAATGGATCATAACAGGCTTGTGAAAAGGATCCATTAAGAAACAGTCCTACTTATGTTGGTTTAGTTGTATTTGATTTGAGTTGAAGCTGAACTCTGCCCGACAATAGACCTTCAGGAACAGGATTGAGCACCTCTGGAATAGATAGTCAATGAAGCTGCTTGGATTATTTTCCCTATTGGTGTGGGCATGGCTAATGTACACTCTCTTTTTTTTTTTTTTTTTTTTTGCACTTCTAAGCAAACAATTAAAAACATAACACCACCAGATTTGACATGTGGTGCTTGACAGTGTTTGTGACTGGTTTGCTCTGTAGGCTCATCCTCCTGGTGTGTTGGCATTGTTGGACGAGGAGTGTTGGTTTCCAAGAGCAACTGATCGCTCATTTGTGGACAAGCTGTCAGCTGAGCAGGGTTCACATTCAAAGTTCATGCGGCCCCGGCAGCTGAAAGAAGAGGCAGACTTCTCTATTATACACTATGCTGGCAAGGTCAGTTTTATGCTCCTATACTCTCTATTTCTGCTATTTAGTCAACATACAGTCAAAATAAACAATGTTTATTTTTTATTACTCTGTCAGGTGGATTATAAAGCAAAAGAGTGGCTGGTGAAGAACATGGATCCCTTGAATGATAATGTTGCATCTCTCCTGCATCAGTCATCTGACCCCTTCATCTCTGAGCTCTGGAGGGAGGGTGAGCAATTGTTTGTGTGTGTATGTCTGTTTGCTGAATCTTACACTTATAGATGCTTAATTTACACTACAGTGTGCTGTGATTAAAAATATTTAGCAAAAGTTCAAGTTCAGTGAAAGGATGACAAAATAAACCTAAAATAAATGAAAATAAATTACAATAAAAAATTGTAATAAAATAAAAATTATTATATTTATAAACTCCCCAAAGCAGGAAAACAAGTATATGTATAAATATATATAGGGCTTGAAATCTACCTGCATTTGGCAGGCTGGCTGGTGTTAATATCAAGCCCTGTATATATATATAAATAATATTTTATTAATATTTTATTTCATATATATATATATATATATATATATATATATATATATATATATATATATATATATATATATATATATATATATATATATGAAATAAAATATTATTTATAACTATAAAATAATATATATCTATATAATAAATATAATATAATAAATGACTATATACTGTATAATGATAAAAATAAATAAAATAATAATAAAAATAATTCCCAGAAATTTTGGTTCACAATAAGGTATTTAATAATTGAAAAAATGAATATAATATTTTAATAATTGAAAAAAATGAACATAAGTTTATTGTTTTATATAATTACCTACTTGTTTAAACAATACAAATGACAAAAAGCCTGTTTACAATATTGATGTTATGAATTAATTAGTTAATAAATGTTTATTAATGCAACATTTGCATCATATTTTTACATTTACATATTATTATTTAGCATAATTTCCCAAAATATTAGAATTAGAAGCAGTAAAATAAATAATAATAATTTTAATACTACAGCTATTAATTATAATAGTGTCCGGTTCAAAATCAGCAAAACAAACAAACAAACAAACAAACAAACAAACAAACAAACAAACAAACAAACAAACAGTTACTTTATGCAACAATACAAACTGTATAACTGTATTAATTAATAAATTTTTAATAATGCAACATAAAATATTTATTTTGCTATTGCTAATATTTAACCCATGTAATCTACTACTGACTAACCCTCTTCTCTTCTCTTCTCTTCTCTTCTCTTCTCTTCTCTTCTCTTCTCTTCTCTTCTCTTCTCTTCTCTTCTCTTCTCTTCTCTTCTCTCCTCTTCTCTCAGATATTCAAACTCTTCCTCGCGTGTACTTTTTTGACTCTTATGCCACACTGCAAACGAATGGCTGTGACAGCAGTAGGTTTTTCTGCTTTTCCTCTTTTAACCTCTCCATCACTTCATCTAACCATTGATTTGTTCTTTACACTTTCTTTCATTTCTCTTTTTCTTTGCATCAGGTTGTGATGTGATGTGTGGGTGTTGCTGTTCTGGGCTGTAGTTTAGTAGAATGTGTAGTTTGTTTTTCATGGTTTGCTGTAGAACTCACTTTGGTTTAAGAGTAGATGGTTGTGATCTACCTGGCTGTAGTTTATTGTCAAGGTGTCAGTAATGTAGAGATGCACAGATTTCTTTCTGTTTGGACCATGTGAACATTTTTATGGTTGAGACAAACCAAATAAATGCCAAACAACCAATTTAGAAAAAAAATATACTTGTATACACATTTCAAATGAATTTTTTTGCTGGATTTTATACTAAAGAGACAGAACAATTCCAGTTCCAGTTGTCCAAATTACTGACTTATAAGGGGCTGTATGTGTTCATATATGTTGCATTTATGTATTTATTGTATATAATTGCAGACGTTACAGTAGGCTATTTCGCCTATTTATGATATCATTGATCTGCAGTTATAATCAAAACATGTTCATAGAAATGTGAGTAATGAACATTTATAGACGAGTATTTATGTGTTACAGCGTCTGTTTTGTGAGAAGTGTTTCTCATATATGTGAACGACCCGTACAGCTTTACTTTGACATTTCCTTGAGCAAGAATGATGTTGACTGAAATTTTACGTCGTACACCACGCCCACCATTGGTACCTTTTTGGCAGTGGAACGCAAGGCTGATAAAGACAACCCGTATCATACCATATTGTACCACTCAGTGGAAACGGGCCATAAAACTATGCCTAAACAATAGTGCTTTTAAAAGCAAATGTAGGAGAAAGATGCACCATGACCTCATTGTTTTGTTTTTGCATTGCTATGATCTCTTTTGTTGAATCGTGTTTTACCACAATTGGACTTAAGTGCTCTGCTTCACAAGTTAGCTTCATGAGGTGTGGTTTTGTATCAGGTTTGCTTTTGTTAGCACTTTTTTTAGGTTTGTGAATATGATTAAACATACAGTAGGTGAGATATACAGAAAACAATAACTTATGTGAGTGCAGAGAATTTTACCAGGAGCAACTTCTGCTGGTTTTGCAGAAATGTCAGCAGAAACACTCATTATGAATGAACCTGGGTTGCAAATAGGCATGGGATGATAACCGTTTCTAAGGTATACCGCAGTTTGGAAAAATCAAGGTTTTAAAACCAAAAGTTTTCTGTTGTACGTTCCTACAGTATATATAATATTTTTTGTTTGTTTGTTTTTTAGGACAACAGTATCTCTATCAGAAAAGATATCCAAAGATGCCATTTACATTGTACAGAATTCTGTTTTTGACACTAATGAAGACAGCAGGAGTCAATGATCCTTTTAGCCTGACATGTTGACTGCTCCAAAATATTTTAAATGTTTCTCAAAATAAAATATATTGTGTTCAAAAGGGAAAATTTTTTTTTTTTTTTTTTACCCAGACATTTAAAAAGAATATATTTTAGAGAAGTAATCACAAATTTGTGAAATCGTGATATATTTATCCAAGGATATATTGTGATATATTTATCCAATATTTATCATACCATCTCATGCCTAGTTGCAAGCAGTTAGAGCTGAGGCAAGCTGTGTTGGTGCAAAAACTAAAGATGCACTAGAACACGGGAAACTATATTTATCTGTACAATTCATTCTGATCTCATATGTAGACTTAGCTGAATTTGGGCTAAAGTTGCAAAACACACCAAAAACTAAAAGCCAGCTAAAGATCAAAGAATTCTTGACAGTTGACATTCAGCTTGCTGTGTTCCAGGCTTTAAATGGCTTCAACCCAAACAGAAATAAATCTTAATTTGTATGCTTTCAATAGCACTAATACTCTACATAGCCATAATCTTTTCTAAACATGAACATGTCTATGTAGAAAATAACATCCATGTTTTGTGCTTGTCAGTGGAGAGGATTGTAGGTCTGGATCAGGTGTCCTCAGGTGAGAACAGTGGACCGGTGAGTTTTGGGGCTGCTGGACTCAAGACGAAGAAGGGCATGTTCCGCACAGTGGGCCAACTCTACAAGGAGTCCCTCACTAAACTGATGGCCACCCTCCGCAACACCAATCCTAACTTCCTGCGCTGCATCATTCCCAACCATGAGAAAAGGGTAGGAAAATAGAGGCAGATAAGGATCAAAGTCTTAAAAGAAATGGGAAAATTGAAATTAAGGAGAACTGGATGGTTTAGGGTCAGCATAAAAGACTACAATACAACAATAATAACTATAATATTAATTCCTTACATTTTTATAGCACTTTTCTAGGCATTCAAAGCTCTTTACACATAGGGGGGAATCTCCTCATCTACCACCAGTGTGCAGCATCCACCTGGATGATGCGACAGCACCCATATTATGCCAGACTGCACACCACACACCAGCTGATTGGTGGAGAGGAGTCAAAGTGATGAAGCTAATTATGATATGGGGATGGTTAGGAGGCCATGATGGACAGAGGCTAGTGGGCAAATTTGGCCAGAATGCTGGGGTTATAACCTTATTTTTTTCAAAGGATATCCTGGGATTTTTAACGACAACAGAGAGACGTTACCTGAAAGACAGCGCTCACTTAGCAGTATAGAGTCCCCATCGTTAAACTGGGGCATTAGGACCCACATAAACCACAGGTTGGGCGCCCCCTGCTGGCCTCACTAACACCACTTCCGGCAGCAACCTAGCTTTCTCATGTGGTCTCCCATCCAGGTACTGACCGTGCACAGCCCCGCTTAGCTTCAGTGGGCAACCATGTGAGAGTTGCAGAGAGCCAGTTGCCGGCAATTTTCATTTTCATGTTTCTATGCCTCAAAGAATATAAAAATGTATATATTAAATAAATAAAATTCTATTTAATTATAAGAAGAAGCAAACAAGGGCGAAGCAGTGGCGCAATAGGTAGTGCTGCCTCACAGCAAGAAGGTCGCTGGTTCAAACCTCGGCTCAGTTGGCGTTTCTGTGTGGAGTTTGCATGTTCTCCCTGCATTCACGTGGGTTTCCTCCGGGTGCTCCGGTTTCCCTCACAGTCCAAAGACATGCGGTACAGGTGAATTGGGTAGGCTAAATTGTCCGTAGTGTTTGTGTGTGTTTATATGTATGTGTGGATGTTTCCCAGAGAAGGGTTGCGGCTGGAAGGACATCTGCAGCTTAAAAACGTGCTGGATAAGTTGGGGGTTTAATCCGCTGTGGCGACCTCAGATTAATAAAAGGAATAAGCTGGCAAGAAAATGAATGAATGAATGAAGAAGCAAACAAAGAATATGTATATATTATAAATATAATATAATATAATATATATTAAAATATCTCCCTAATGGAGAAATAAAAATAAATACGAAATGTATATTAAAAAATATTGAATTATGTCAGTATAACCATTTACATATCATTGGCCTGGTTTATATAACATTCAATTCCTCAAAACTTATTTTTTTTCACTGCAGTGGGCAGTATTTTCTCATTTATGGAGTGATTTTTAACATATTTTGTGTCAAACAATTCTACTATGTCAAGTCAACACAACAAAACAAAAATTTGGGGCAGATATTCTGACACATTTCTGTTTTGGAGATGTATACAAAATACATATTTTTAAATAATAAATTAAATAAATTTTCATTTGAAAATGTATCATGAAATACAAAACAATTGATATATTGAATACATATTTATAGCACTTAAAGTTTCACATAAAAAAAAATACCACAAAATTTCAAAATCACCATTCATAAAGAAGTCAGATCATAAAAAACAATTACAAGTATCTTTTAAGACGTTGTACAGAATGTGTTTAAAAGTACTCAGAGTCGGAAGTGTGTCAAGATAAAGCTGATTTTGCAGGTCATTCCAAGCCCTGGGAGCATAAAAGGAAAAAGTACGTTTGCAAAGTTCTGACAATACCCTCGGAACTGTTAAACAAATACAGGAACCAAATCTAGTGTGTTGGTTATATATTTGAAATGTTAACAAATTAGAACGATAGGATGGTAGTTTAACTAAGAGACATTTTAATGTAAATAAGTACAAATGTAATTTTCTCCTTTGATAAAGAAATAATCATTCTAAGGAATCGTACAAAATACAATGAAGTGTCTGGGAGTCTACACATGTGACAAAGCGTTCTGCATGATAAACAGAATACAGTTTTATAAGTAGCGGCTGCATGCATGTATAAAGATCAGCATAATCAATTATAGACGAAAATGTACTCTCTACTAATTACTTACGAGTCTTATAAAGAAAACATTATTTGATCGGTATAAGAAACCTAATTTTGGCCTAAGCTTTTTAATAACTTGTCAATGTGTATATCAAAGGCTTATCTCTCGTCAATCCAAATACCGAGAAATTTGTACAAGCTAAAGGTTTTAACTGTCGCACAAAATTTGGCCCAAGGGTTTTTACAGGATTATGAATATTTAATTCTGCTTGCTCATTTTAAAATTGAAAATTTATTTATTTAGGCAAATGGTGTCATATTTTATATTGGTCATTTATTTGTTGACATTTTGGTGATTTCCTGATTTTCTGTTATTGAAATGCTCGCAGGCTGGAAAGTTGAGTCCTCATTTGGTTCTGGATCAGCTAAGGTGTAACGGGGTGCTGGAGGGGATCAGGATCTGCAGGCAGGGCTTCCCGAACCGCATCCCTTTCCAGGAGTTTAGGCAAAGGTGTGTGTGTGTGTTGTTGGAATATTTTTCTGTTATTCCATGCGTGTTCAGTACAAACTCAGGAGGCGGAGATGAATGTCAAAAGTATCAATAATTTATTAAGCACAAATGGATAATTTGATGAGGGCCCTGGGTCAGATATGTTCTATCAGTTATACAATGCTATCCGAAAAAACATATTAGGCGGTCTGCATATGCTCCTCAGAACTAAAGACCTATTTTATAATCAGAGAAGATTATATATAATCTCTCTGTCAGCTTTTCTGCATCGTCTGTAGTTCCCCTTTTCTGCACAGAAGAACAGTTAAATGCACATGCTTTGAGGCTTCTATAGGCCCCAATATATTTTTCAAAAAGGGTAACTCATATAAGCATTCCACTCTCAGCAAGCATGTCTAAATTTCTTGTTACATGGGAAATAAGAAAGAGAGACACGCATCTTTTTTGTCCAAGATAGCTCCTTCTGCTAATGTCTTCATTAGTATGCAAAGCACATCTCACTCAAAGAAGACTTTCGGTTAACATATTATTTGGCAGAGCATACAAAACATATTTTAATAACGAATAAAGGATAACTCTAATGAGAAATGAAAAAAATTATTCTATTTTCTTACAGTGTCTGTGCACATATCTGTGTATTTTACTTAAACTGAGACAATTTTGTAATCAGAGTTAAATAAATCTGACCCAATGTCTATTTTTAAATATATTATAAAAATTAGGTAAGTTTTTTAGAGTGTAATAACAGTTGTGGGTTTTCAGTTATTTAGTTCTTTAAATAGCAGCTGTATTTAAAATCCATACTAAAAACAATACAAGTCTATGGAATGTCCCATTTAGAAGCGGTTTATAATAAAAGTAAATGTGTGGGCATGAATAGATGTGGAGGAAAGTCACTGCTTTCAATATCACTTTTACTTTGTAGGTTTAGCTTGTGTAATTAAGAATTGTCTTTTTTTTACTCTATGTTTCCAGGTATGAGATCCTGACTCCAAATGCTATTCCTCGAACCTTTATGGATGGCAAACATGCATCTGAGCTCATGGTAAGTGATATTATTACTCCAGAAACCTAGTATTGATTTGATACAGGATATTTGAGTTTTAAATCAATAAATAACAAAATTACATATGCTTATGTTTGAGTAATTAAACTTGGAAGGTCAGTAGTGTTGTAATGTTTTATACACATCTCTGATTTTGATGTTTAGCCAATACAGGTTGTTTATTTATTTTTTCCTGTACCTACAGATCAGTGCTTTAGAGTTGGACAAGAATCTTTTTCGGGTGGGACAGAGTAAGGTGTTCTTCAGGGCTGGAGTTTTAGCTCATCTGGAGGAAGAACGAGACTTGAAGATCACTGACACCATTATCCGCTTCCAGAGCGCAGCTCGTGGATACCTTGCTAGAAAGTAAATTCCTATGCATGTTTGGTAGATATGAGGGATGTATTATGTGTACATGTGTACAGTGCTCAGCATAATTGAGTACAGCCAATCTTGAAATTTTTTTATTCATTTTTCAGTGAATGTACACAATGCATTTTGATGCATTTAAACAAAACACATTTATTGAACAGATATACTTATTAACCTAATATTTTAGTCACCAAACATATTGAGAAATTAAAATTAAATTCAAGCAAAATCTTGCAAAAAAAAAAAGACTATTTTAACTAAATTATTACATTGTATGCTTCTCTTGATATCTCCTCGTTTTAAATTTGTATTTGATATTTTTCTATAACATTAATTTGGTTGTACTAGTTTTTTGACCGTTATCGTATTGTTAGATAAGATCCAGATTTGGCTTCAGTACTGCCTAATCTAATGTATATGCATAAATATAATATTGTATAGCTTCCTATTAAAATATGAATTTAAAAGGTTTGTGAGGGGTGTACTTATATATGCTGAGAACCGTATTTTAACGATTATGTTTTTCAGGGCATTCCATAAGAAGCAGCAGCAGCTTAGTGCTCTGCGGGTGATGCAGAGAAATTGTGCTGCATATCTGAAGCTCAGAAACTGGCAGTGGTGGAGACTCTTCACCAAGGTAACACAAATTACTACACAAGGTTATAAACATAAAATTAGTAATGGGCTTAGTAAAGAAATGTATCTTTATTAGTTAGAGTATATGACAGTAATTTTTTACATTGCAAAAATGCTTTTCGTATTTAAAGGTTTTGTCTTGTTTTTTAGTCCAAATATCTAACAATTCTTCAATCAAGAAGCATTTTTTAGATGATCAACAATATTGCTTACCCCATTGGCAGATTATTTTTCTTGTTTTAAGTAAAAACTAATTTAAATGTAAAAAAACTTAACTTTGACATTATGTTTATGAAAACAAGACAATAAAATGTTTCTTGATTTAAGACTTTTTTAGATATTAGGGCTAAAAAAAAACTAAGAAAGGCATTTTTTGCAGTGTATTTATTGTCTCATTGCATATTCAGAACTACATGTTTAAAACATTTGGGGTTTGCATTTTTGTGTTTGATAATAAAAATAGAGGTCTTGGCTAAAACAAGGCTAAATTTGAGTTGTCTGTGAAAATCTATTAGATGTCTAACTGTAGTCCAAAAAGAGACTAGTCAACAACTAGACAGGAAAGAAGGTCACACTTTATTTTGATGGTCTGTTTGTTGAATTTAAGTTACATTGCATCTGCATTCCAGCTAATTCTCATTAGATTATAAGTAGACTGTTAGGTTGGAATTATTGTTAGGGTTAGTTTAAGTTGACATGTACTTGCAAATTTCTTATAGTCAGTTAAATGTCTGTTTAAGGAGCAGTATCAACAGATATAAAGCAGACAGTCTACTAATACTCAAAAGAACCATCAAAATAAATTATTACCGGAATGAATGACTACACATCTGTCTAATTTGGTGATTTTTTTTGTTTTTGGACTTTGTTTAAACATCTATTAGATTTTCACTGACAGCACAAAACTGAACCTTGTATTAGCCAAGACATCTATATTTAGACATCTATAAGGTGTCTATTGAACACAATATTGGTCTTGCATAATCTTTCCAAAATCATTCTATTAAACTTATTTATTGCCCAGGGACAATTATCTGTTATTATCCATGTTGAACAGCTTTTTCTCATTATTATTTTTGTACAAACTATTATAGATTTTTTTATGTTTCTTTAAATTTTGAAGGATTTGAAATTAAATGTCTCAATGCATGCCTCCTGAATAAAAAATATAAAATATGTGGTCCATTGTTTTAACTAATTTAATTAAGCATAGTTTATCAAGCTGTTCTAATATGTCACAAATATTTCACCTAAAAGAAGTGTTCAAAAATATATTTGTAATATTATTTAAAAATAATTAAGTGGCATATTAAATGATTGCATAATACAGTATAATGTCAGGTGGAAATAGTACATTAATGTGATGTGGAGTGAATTCAACTGTGATCCCTCCTGCAGGTGAAGCCCTTGTTGCAGGTGACCCGTCAGGATGAAGAGATTCAAGCTCGGGAAGCACAGCTTCAGAAAGCCAAAGACAAGCTGAGTAAACTAGAGCTTGACTTTACTGAACTGGACAAGAAAAACCAACAGGTAACTTTCTTTCCGTGTTTCCTTGCGTGTTGGTTTATTTGCTTGATTTCCACACTGATCTTGATGTCCTCTTGACAGCTGATTGAGGAGAAGTCAGTCTTGACCGACCAGCTGCAGGCCGAGGCAGAGTTATTCGCGGAAGCAGAGGAAATGAGAGCACGGCTGGCCAATCGCAAACAGGAGCTTGAAGATGTGTTGGGGGAGCTTGAGAGCCGATTGGAGGAGGAAGAAGAGAGGACTGTTCAGCTGACCAATGAGAAGAAGAGGATCCAGCAACATGTGCAGGTTTGCAGGATGGTTCTGTTGCTGTCTAACTACAGATGTTCGATTTCAGTTTTTTTTTTTTTTTTTTTTTTGATAGTTTCTCTTTAGGGGTTGTTTTCAATCATGTAGGTCTAAAGGGGAATACCAAATTTCAAAGGAGATATAAATATTAAATAACTACATATGTTGGACATGATCCTAATATCATGAAGACCGCAGAGTTTTCTACTGAAATAAATTATACTTGCCTGTCATCGAGGAGGTAGATACTGTATAAGCTATTATGTTACATGAAAAAGTACTGTCGTAAATACTATAGTGTTTGGAAGCATACTATACCATACTTTTATTGTTGCTGTGGTACGACACAACTGTAGTAATAAACAAATTATTCAGGCTTCAGTTTTCTAAGCTAAAATTATACACCATCACAATGCACCACAGTTTACACCAACGTTACAGTATTTATTACCGTTTATCAGTTTACTATGGATGTTTACAGTTTAATTTGAACTTGAATTATTGCAAAACAAGACAGAGATTTCATTGCAGTGGTTACATGGCAGGGTACGTTATTTATATTCTCCTCGATTTTGCATAAGTGTGTTAGTGTTTGTATCTGATTATTATATAGCACATTGTTATACACATTGTTAGGCCTGCATAAAGACCATTTTGAGGGACGTAAACAATAACAATGGTCCTATTGTATTTTCTGGATTACATTTTTCAGTTTACATAGCTTCCAAGAATCCAAAATGATTCACAGATTGATAAAGAATGTTATGATTGCTGTAATAATGTTAAGATATGATTGAATTGCCTCTTGTTAAGGTTATGAAATTGTTTAACAACAAGCAGGAAGTGTTCATGAGCCAATGACATCTTCACATTGAAATGGTCTATAGTCTTTATTTTGATTGCTGTCAAACAAATTATCGCGTTTAAAAAAAGTTTGTATACATGGATGCATTAAATGAATGTTTATTACATGCCATCTTTTCTTCAGTTTTTCAGCCAGTTTCTTGAACTTTCCCCCCTTTATGAGCAAAAACCTTTGGAAGTCTTAAAAAGCTGTTCGGCATTTCTAATTATGCCCAATTTAAATGATTATAAACAACATAAACAGAAACATTTTGACGTTCTGATAACGATTCCTATGTAGAAGAATCGCTTCTTGCCCTCCATCTGAATTTCACGCGTCATCAATGACGTCATTTGAAAACAGCTTAAAAACTTTAAAACAACACATTTTAACTGCTTTAATTAGTCAGACTTTGCCATGGCATTATATTCAAATGACAAATAACTACTATATCAATGGAGTTACGCATTTCTTGTCTAATTTTACACCAAGACTATAGATACACAAAGACTGTTTACTCACATTACTACAAATGGGCAAAAGTGCGAAACTTGTTATGGCCACCACAACGAAAGAAGTCCCTCCTTGTCGAAACAGCCAATCTTTATACTCTGGCATGTCTTAAAGATTTGTTGATTCACTTGATTGTTATGGCACACCTTGACGTTTGGCAACTAATGTGTGCCTGATATGTTTTTTACAGCAGAAAGGACATAAAATCACAAAAGTGCATATTTTTTGTGCTTCCAGTGTCAGCCTCCAGTATTGGCTGCTAGTTTTGTAACTGCATCATCTGGTACAGCTTTAGAGCCGCTTTTTTTACATTTCATTCCCCATTCATTTAAGAAAAGCAATTAGCAGCCATAGTTGAATGGTATGCATAGTTTACTTTAAAGGGATAGTTCACACAAAAATAAAAATTTACTCACGATTTAGTCAAGTTTTTCTGTTCAACAAAAAATAAGTTATTTTGTAAAATGTTGGAAACCTGTAACCATTGATTTCAATAGTATTTGTGAATATTATGTAAAAACTTTTTTCAATGGTTACAGTTTTTAATTTTTTATTTTTTTAAATATCTTCTCTTTAGTAAAATATCCCTTTAAAAAAGATATGTATTCAGTAATAAATTACTCTAATTGTGATAGCACTATTGCTATTATTTTAAAAAAGCTGCTCGAACTGAAGTGTTAAAGATATTAAAAATAATATTCAGTACATACACTACCGGTCAAAGGTTTTTTTTTTCCATGTTTTTTTAAAGAAAATTATTCTGTTCCCAAAGACAGCATTTATTAAATGTAAAAAATATGTTACATTGTTAAATATATATTAAATGTGTATTAATTACTTATTGTATGTATTTTCAAATAAATGTATTAGTCCACTCATTATTGTTTTTATTACTATTACCATTATTAATAATAATAATAATAATAATAATAATAATATGAATAATAATAACAACAATAATTAATATTACAGTGATTTATGAAGGATCATGTGACTGAAGACTGGAGTTATGAAGCTGAAAATTCATCATTAAAATCAATGATTTAATTAAATTATAAACTAATTTTAAATAGTGCAATAACATTTCACAATTTTACAATTATTTTCGTGTTTTTGATTAAATAAATGCAGACTTGGTGAGCAGGATAAGTGTAATGTGAAGTGGGATGCTGAGAACATAGGTGAGAACAGATCGAAATGGAGGTTAATTAAACAGATTGTCAGGCAAAGGTCAACACAGAGGCAAGCGGAGTGAAACAAAGTCATTGTCAAAAAACAGGCGGTGGTCATTACAGGCAAGCAGCAGACAACGTAAACAAACAAGGCAAGATTCAAACACAGAAGTCAAGGAAAGGAAACTGCGTTGAAATGTTCACAAACCGTATAACAAGACTCAGCAATGAGTGTCTTAAAGTGAGCCGTATATATGTATGTGTAATCAGTACTTGAGCAGCATCAGCTGTGTAAGTGTAAACAGTGGAGACTTGGTGCAGGTGTGTGTGTGTGTTGCATGACAGGACATGTAATTCATATACAAGCAGATTTGTAGTTCTATGTGATCTGTGAGTTTAATCTTTACAGATAGCTCATGATTGTGACAATAAGCTTATTTTAAAACATTTAAGAAGTTTACTAACCCCAACCTCTTTATCGGTTGTGTATATAGAACTGTACATTTATGACTATTTAAATACTGTAAACACAAATAGGTTAATGGCAAACCAAATGTATATGTTATAATATCATAACATTAAATCAGTTAAAAGCAAAGCTGACACAGAGGTGTTTATATATATAATAATAAATAAAGTCATCATGACAGTTATTTATTTTGAAAGTATGCTGCATGTAGGACAAACTTAACTGCCATGCAATACATAAAGATAGAAAACTAACAAACAAGTATGCAGGTATGCACTAAGTTGGTACATTCCAAATGCTATATTTCACCCTCTGAAGGGCTCTTTTGAGTGACAAAAAAATAAATAAATCAGGTCTGCCATATTAACAAGTCATTCCAAACCAAAATGCTCAAAACTGGCCACTATGAAGGGCCATTTGGATTGAAGTATTTTGGAGGATAGAACTAATGGACACTTCGGTCCATAATCCTTTTTGCAGGGAAGTTGTTTGAGGTCACACACTTGAGGACTCCTCTTTGAGACCCTCGAAATGGTTTAGGGCATAGGGATGAACCCTACCGAATGGAACCCAGCAAGAGTTTTGTCAACAACACTGTTTCTTTCTCTCAGGATCTTGAAGAACAGCTAGAGGAGGAAGAAGGGACACGTCAGCGCCTCCAGCTGGAGAAAGTTACCCTGGAAAGCAAAGTGAAGAGTCTGGAAGCAGAGACCTTGACTTTGGCTGAGCAGAGGGACAGATTAAGCAAGGTAAGCAAGAGAAGAGTGTTAGCCTAAATAAACAAGTCAGAATTATGAGCCCCCCTAAATTATTAGCACCCCTGTTTATTTTTTTTCCCAATTGCTGTTTAACCAAGAGAAGATTATTTTCAACACATTTCTAAACATAAAAGTTTTAATAACTCATCACTAATAACTCATTTATTTTAGCTTTGCCATGATGACAGTACATAATATTTTGAGTTTTCAAAACACTTCTCTACAGCTTAAAATGACATTTAAATGCTTAACTAGGTTAATTAGGTTAACTAGGCAGGTAAGGGTAATTAGGCAAGTTATTGTATAATGATGGTTTGTCGAAAAAATATATAGCTTAAAGGGACTAATGATGTTGACCTTAAAATGGTGTTTAAAAATTTTTAAACTGCTTCCATTCTAGTTGAAATAAAACAAATAAGACTTTTTCCAGAAGAAAAAAATATTATCTGACATACTGTGAAAATTTCCTTGCTCTGTTAAGCACAATTTGGTAAATATTTAATAAAGAAAAACAAATTTAAATGGGGGGCTAATAATTCTTACTTCAACTGTATGCAGCTGCAGTTTTACTGTGGCTCGTCATGAATCTCTTTGATTTTCCCTTTTTCAGGAGAAGAAACAGCTGGAAGAAAGACTGAATGAAGTGACAGATCAGCTCACAGAGGAAGAGGAGAAGGTGAAGAGTCTCAACAAGCTGAAAAACAAGCAGGAAGCTGTCATCGCTGATATAGAAGGTAACAGCTGTCTCTTTAAGTATTCATTAAATGAATAGTGTGTTTGTGATTCATTGTATTTTTATACGTGTGCTTTGTGTTTGACCACAATTCAGAATCCTGATATTCTGTATTTGTATTATTGTTTGGCATTATCAGTCACTTTATTCAGCAGACACATTGAATTTACCATAATTGATTAGAAAGACATTGAAGATAATATTAGTCCACCTGTGAATTTGAATTCTTTTTTCAAATATTTACAATTTTAAACATAATAATTTTTAGAACTTAATTTTAAAACGGTGCAGCACGGTGGTGCAGTGGTTAGCATGATCACCTCACAGGAAGAAGGTCGCTGGTTTGAGCCTCGGCTGGGTCAGTTGGCGTTTCTTTATGGAGTTTGCATGTTCTCTCATGTTCGTGTAGGTTTCCTCCAGGTGCTACATGCGCTATAGGTGAATTGGGTGAGCTAAATTGGCAGTGTATGTATGTGAATGAGTGTGTATGGGTGTTTCCCAGTGATGGGTTGCAGCTGGAAGGGCATCCGTTGTGTCGACCCCAGATTAATAAAGTAACTAAGCTGAAAAGAAAATGAATGAATGAATTATCTTAAGATAACAATTTTTTCCCATATTTTACTACTTAATTTGCAATATACTATTTAGCTTAAAGGGTAATAAGGCTCAATTAAGTTAATAATGTTAACTAGTAAGGTTAATTAGGCAATTCATTTTTGTTATAATACAGGTATATATATAAACAGGTCGTGAGTGCTAAGGGGAGGTAGCCATGCGTAGAGAGAGTACACCCTAATAGGGTTTGTATTTTGTCGGACATGATCTGTATGAACCATCACAGCATGGAAAAGAATGAAGTCCATCTTTTGCTTTTCACATGATGTAATAAGTACACCAAATAACATTTTCATTGTTAAGTGGACTCTTATAAACATAACATAAAATAACATTTTCTTCTTTAGAGCGTCTGAAAAGGGAAGAGCAGGGTCGTCTGGAACAGGAGAAGTGGAAGCGGCGAATGGAAGGAGAAGCAGTGGAGGCTCAAGAGCAGCTATCTGACATGAGCTTACTCGTCACTGAGCTGAGAGGAAGCCTGAGCCAGAGAGAAAAAGAGATCACCACATTACAGACAAGGTATTCACAAAGTCAATAATAAATCTGGGTTAATTAATCATGGTTTCCATAAGTCATGGATTTTCTTGAATACTAGGGAACTTTAAAAGGTGCATTCCAGAAAGTCATCCCATTTATATCAGGGATTTAAAATTCCTATTTACCAAAATTTCTAATTATTGCGACCAAAAATTAAAAAAATGGTGCCAAATTTTATCAAAATAAAAAATTAGAAATAACATTTGTGGCAGTATTTGTAGCATTTCTTGTGTTGTTTTGAAAGGAAAAATACACAAATGTACATATCTTAGTTCATTACATTTTTGATCTGAAGAATTAGTCCATGTAATGTATATAAAGAGAATAAGACAAAAAGAGAATTTTCTTACCTCTTAACATAATAAAACTGACTCTATCATATCAGATAAGCGACTTTAAATTATGAAATTAACAACTGTTAAAATCTCTTTAATAACAGCATTAAAGAAATCATGTTTAATTTTAAATGATAAATTGTGCTGGGTATAGCACAACAGACGAGCTCTTTCTATATGCAGATATGTTATTTAATATAAAACAATGCAGATGGAAAAGAATTTAAACAGCGTTCTTGATAGAAAAGGATACATGTTCCTTAGTAAATGTCAATATAACTACTCTAAATATTGCACCCTGCTTAATTTACCGTTAAATTCAGCTGTCGCAGAATGGTTAAGATATGACAGCTCAAGTCATGGAAAATCTGCTCTTAAGTCACTGAAAGTCAGGAAATAGAACATCTAAATACCAACCACTGCACTCCCAACTAAATGGTAAAGGCTTTTGATCTAATTAATACATATTAAACCTCTTTAGCTCTATTATTAGACTACTGCACTACTAAAGTTGTTGGTTTGCACTAAATCATGGGTCTGACATTTATTTTCAAACTGGCGTCTGCTAGTGATTTTATTTTTAAGATCTGAGGTGAACTATGCTGCTGCTTTCAGTAGTATCCCTAAAAATGTCACGTAAAATTGGATGTAAACTCACGTTGGGAGCATTTAACATGGAATAAAGTACTTAATCTGTACCTGAGGTGAGTCATAGTAGTATATGCTGATGTTCTGCCGCAACATCATGGAAATAAAAAGCATTTCTAAAATAGAAAATGTTGTGCGCTGCCATCACAGATTTTTTAACATGGAAAAGATATCATTTATCACATCGCAGGGCAATTCCTCACATTTTTAGGACACAGTGAGAGCAGGAACCTTGAGTAATACAACTTAAACATCACATGCATTCACTTGAATACTCTCTCCCTAAGGCTGGAAGAAGAGGGGGCACGTCGGACAGAAGCTCAGAGAGCCCTGAGAGAGGCCATGTCTCAGGTCTCTGAGCTCAAAGAGGAGGTGGAGAATGAACGAGGGATGAGGGAAAGAGCTGAAAAACAGAGAAGAGATCTTGGAGAGGAGTTAGAAGCTTTGAGGACTGAGCTGGAAGATACTTTGGACACTACTGCTGCTCAGCAAGAACTCAGGTGTGTACGGTCTTTAACAGTATTTAGCAAGAATGTTTACATTCCGCTATTATTAAACATCAAATATCAGATCACCTACTCACCCTTGCAGAAAAGGGTACATTTTAGGATACTTACAGTATTACAGAAAACTACATTCTAAAAAAAAATACAGTAATTAAAATTGATATATTTAAATGTAAACTGAATATAATTTTAAATATAAATAAATGAACATGTGTTATAGCTCAATTTAGTAAATAATTATTAAATATTACAATTTATATTACTAATTATTAAATATTAATATAATATTATTTAATATAATTAGCTGACAATAAATCAAATTTATCTAATTTAAGGTGGTTCCCTATGCGTTACCATTCTTTTGTGAATAAAGCACGTTACAAGCTATTTCACAGTTATTTCAATTGTGCATGAAATATGATTTAAATTTCTGTCAATTTTTTATTTAAATGGAATAAATTAAATATTCTAATCATGTAAATTCTGTAATTTATTTACCCTTTTGTCATAAAATAAATAAAATAAAAGCCTAAATTAATCGTATTTAGAATATGGAAATACTGAAATAATAATAATTTTTCTCTATTAAAGCTTTTGTAAAAACATTTTGCTAAGTAAATTCTGTCATTTGTTTACAAATAAAAATAAAATAAAGGCCCCAATTAACCAGTTAAGTACATCAAAATATTTCTTTAAAGCCTGACAAAGAATTATTACAATATAATTATTTAAGCTGTACTTTTTATAGATTAAAAAATTTAGAATACACTAGGAGAACACCTTCAATACAATTTGGCATGCTTGCTTTTCAGAAGGGTAGAGTTACCACAGATTAAGTGTGTTTGTGAACGTTAAGGTCTCGTCGTGAGGCTGAGTTAGGAGAGCTTCAGAGATGTTTAGAGGAAGAAACTCGTCGTCATGAAGCCCAGCTGTCAGAGCTCCGCATCAAACACACCGCTGCTATAGACTCACTTCAGGAGCAACTCGACAACGCCAAAAGAGTGAGTCTCAGGGTTTACACCAAATGAATCTTGTTTACAAATGGTTGTTACTCTGGGAAGCCAGGTTTATACTGGTATGTTGCCAACCTTTGATGTGTGTATATGTCTGCAGTCCCGTCAGTCACTGGAGAAGGCAAAAGCTGTTCTGGAGGAGGAGCGCTTGAATCTGAGTGCTGAACTGAAGACATTACAAGGAGGGAAGATGGAGAGCGAAAGGGGCAGAAAAAGAGCGGAAGGACAGTTGCAAGAACTCAACGCACGCCTCTCGCAGGCAGAGAGAGAAAGAGAAGAGCGAGAGGAACGTCTTGGTAAACTCCAGGTAAAATGGAAAACATAGGGTATCCGCAGGGTCTTAAAATGTCTTAAAATGTTTTACATCTCAAAAACAAAATTTTAGGCCTTAAAGTCTTAAATCTACTAAAATATTGTGTTGTAGGTCTTAACTCTTTTTTAATTATAATTAATTTTGAATTTCTTTGTTCATCTAGAGGCCTTTTTCTTAGAACGCAAAATTACCCATTATGCTTTGCGCGTATGCCCTGGGAAAATGCTAAGAACTTCTGGTCTGCAGCTGATGCGTATAAACATTACGTCACATTTAGACAGCCTCAAAATGATAGTTTTAATCTATTTTACCTGCTATTAACATCTTTGAACTAATACTGCTGTTGATCAGCACCACCTCCTGGACTGATAATTTAAAAATTGCGTCTAATAGGATAGAATGGAAAACAGCTGCGGTGAAGCAATTTCCCCTCGTTTTCAGATGGCATCAACCCTTTTCATCGCTAAAGTCAACATTTTCTCTTTCTTTAAAACACTTAACCAGCCCAAACAAATGTTATTCACCAAAATGTTTGACAAACACATGTAGTGCTGTCCCACTTAACACACAGATTTAATAAGTGTCACAAAGTGAAAATAAGTGAAAAAAACATACCTTGGTGAATACTACACACAAACTAACCACATGAAACATAAACAGTTCCCAATTAGAATCAACATGCAAATCCACCAAGCAGAGTATCAGTAACAGACTTTTATTGGTCATTTTTATAAATTGCATCATTTACATACCTGTTAAGTTTCATGCCAGTAATCTGGTTTGCTCTATAATGCAGTGAAGTATTGCCTGTGTGTGTGTGTATTGAAGAGCTGCTGAGCTAACAGCTGACAGGCCGGGGAAACACACACACACTGTATTTCTGACGGCAGACACGTGAACTAGGAGAATGATTTTCTCTCGCGCTTGAACCACATCTGACAGATTATAACAGCTTTAACACACACCTTTCAAAGTTGTGTGTCATAAAAACACTCCATAATCTACTCATAACGTTATTGAAACCCATTTTCGGAGCGGAAATTACCTATTGTAAACGCTGTAAATGGAAGCTCTTATCATTCTACTGGAAAACGCTGGTCTCTATGGCACCCTCCATGCTGCAGCCAAGAAAAGGTCTATAGCTACCCAATATGGCCATTAACAGCCATACAATCACCAATTATCCCAATTTCAATAAAACTTTTAACTTTTATTTTAAAATAGCATTTATTACTTTACTTACAGTAACATTTGCCTAAAAGTCCTCCATTTATTTACTTCTGATGATACTGACCTGACTTAAATTTTTTTATTATTAAATTATTTTCATTATAGACTGAACTCATTGACAGCTATCTTTTGTTCTATTCTTGGTAAGGGTTATAGGTATGGCCAGACAAAATCTGCTGACATTTTTTGCTTTTTCTGCGCAGAATTTAGTAAAAATCTGCAGGTTTATGCAGGATGATTTGGGGAGTATCATATATAAAAACTTAATGTATAAAATAAAAAATATATTTTTACATTATTTATTTAATTGTTTATAATGCAACTCAAGTAGATTCACTTATTTGTTAAGCAAAGCAAGTCTTTCATGTAATATATCTGCTAAAGGCTTAATATTACTTAAGATAATGTTACTAAACTGTGATGTAAATAAATCATGTGAACATTTTCATATTAGACAATAATGTTACTGAAATTAATTTAAAAACTGAATAAATATAACTTTACACACATTTTAAAAAAATAGACTCGATGATCTAAAAATGTATGTGTGCGCAGATTCTGTGTGGCCCTAGATATAGGGTTTGTGAATAGATATTTTTTTAAAAAAGTTCTAAATAAATATTCAAACAAAAATATTATTATTAAAAAAATCCTTAGCATTCAACCCTGTATAAGTCCAAAATTTCATTCATAATAGTCTTAAAATTTCTTAAAAAGTCTTAAATTTTACTTGGTGAAACCTGCAGAAACCCTGAAACGAGATTTTTGATTAATAACAATAATTAATAATTAGATTTTATTATTTTCAAAAAGGCAAACTTGGCATGAGTTCATATAAATACAGATGTAGATACCTTAATCAAACTATTACCTTTTAGTAGTAGTTTTTGTTACATCTTATGACAGGATGCACACACAGCAGATGAACAAAAGAGGTACCACATTTTTAGTGCGAGCTGGAAACGATGACTATGCTCACATCCACCTTTATCATATTATTGTGTTATTCTGGTTAAGACAAATAATTAGTAGTTACTGTGAATTTCACATTTGTGTATAAGACTTTTCATAGTTTTTCTTTTCATAAATCGAGGTCAAGGTGGTCAAGTAGAAATAAATTGAACACAATGTAGCTGCTATGAGCTGAGCATTCAGTACATTGCTACATCATTGTCAATATCACCACACATTTGGACTTATGCAACATTTTGAAATCATAATCCTAAAAGGATTTCAGGAAATCGCTAATTATGTAGCCAGAAGTAGGTATGGCTGCATTTCATTTTTAAAATAAAAGCGGTATGACGCCGTTCCTTTACGTGCTTACCAGCTGACCATGTGCCTCTGTATGGACGACTTTCCGACTGTTACCAGTTTGTCCTGTTAGCTCGCCATGTATGTCGGTGGACTTGAGACACAGAGAGGAGTTGACCACAACGATGGGTTTCAAGTCCGGTTAGGAACGATTCAGAAAGCAGGACAAAAGCAGAATCCAAAAAAATAAAATACAAAAAACAAGTAAATAACGGTAAGAATGTAGTAAAATCTAAAAAAAAAAACATGTTAAAATTGTTGGTTGGGTTTAGGGAGGTGGTGGGCGGGTCATTCGGTTCTTTTGAAAACATTGTTGGTTGGGTTTAGGGAAGGAGGAGGGTGGGTAAGTCGATTAATCAGTCAGTCGACAGTGTCCTCTGGTGGATTCACTCAAGAACAGCAGCCGGGAATGGCACTCTTGAGAGAAATTTGAGATCTCAAAAAATAAACACAGCAGCCTCTAGTGGATTCACGGAAACAAAAACTGCAAAAATAACGTACCTTCTGGGATGTATTTCTCCAGAAATGCATATAGAGGTACGTCTTCTGAATGAGCCTGGGTTGGACTTATAGTAGATGTTCTGCATCTGGAATAACCATGTAAAGCCAATAGTGTTTTCGGTACATGATCGCCAGGTCAAAACTGATAGTTTGTTGATCCAAGCTAGCAATTGGTTTCCAATGTTTCAAACAAGAACTTAACAATTCCAGTGAATCATGAAAACATCCTAACTTTCAAGTCTCTCCCTTTCAGTCAGAGCTTGAGTCTCTGTCCAGCTCCCTCTCCTCATCTGACTCCAAATCTCACCGCCTTCATAAAGAGGTCAGCAGCCTGGAGAGCCAACTGCATGATGTGCAGGTAACTTGTGTGTTTTAATTTGCTCTTTTCCACTACGTTTGAATAGGCTCATGGGACTTACCTTCTTTGGATGAAACACTTTTATAACATTGCATTAGATGAATGAACAGGATTTAAATCATCTAGAGAGGTTCTCAGGTCTCTCTGATTGTTGTTCTATTTTAAAGCTTTACTTAGAGACTGTAAAATTAAAGGCCTCTTAAGCATGCCTATTTTATGAGTGTGTTTGTGTGTTTTATCTATTAGGAGCTACTACAGGAAGAGACACGGCAGAAGTTGGCACTTGGTTCACGTGTACGTGCTCTTGAGGAGGAGAAAGCTGGACTGATGGAGAGATTAGAGGAGGAGGAGGAGAAGACTAGGGAACTTACACGCCAGATTCAGAACCATACACAACAGGTATGCAATCATTTTATGTACACAACAGGAAAACACCTTTGCTGTTTAAACAGTCTTTAACGCACTGCATGATGCATTATGGTTATGTCTCCTTGTAGCTGGCTGATCTGAAGAGGCAGACAGAGGAGGTCAATTCAGCAGTGGAGGCTGGGGAGGAGACCAGGAGAAAGATGCAGAGAGATTTGGAGAATGCCGTACAGAGGGAGAAATCCAAAGAAGAGGAGAAAGAGCGCATAGAGAGACAGAAAGAACGGCTGAGAGAGGAGATAGAGGACATGACCATCGCTCTGCAGAGAGAGAGACAGAACTGCACTGCTCTGGAGAAGAGACAGAAGAAATTTGATCAGGTATGTAACAAAATAAATGGACGAAGGAATGAATGTATTACTGCAGAGACTGACTTGTAGATAGATGGACAAATTCACTCAATGTATGGCTGGATAAACCGACTTGGTTTATGCATGGATTAAATGGATTTAATGGATGGATGATGGAATGACAAACTGGTGGGTGTATGAATGAATGAGTGAATGAATGAATGAATGAATGAATGAATGAATGAATGAATGAATGAATGAATGAATGAATGAATGAATGAATGAATGAATGGTTGTAAGTACAGATAATCTGGTGGATGATGAACTCACTGGATTGATGGACAAATGGATTGACAGTTTGGTGAGTGTATGGATGGATTGATTGATTGTACAGATGGTTGGAGGTATAAATAGATTGACTGGTGGATGGATGGAATAGATGTAAAGACAATCGACTATGGCTGTACTGAATCAAATCAAATCAAATCACTTTTATTGTCACATCATTAGCAGTGCGTGCACTATGATGAGTAAAAAGCTTAGGTCCTGGGTCCAGACAGTGCAAAATACAGAAAAAACAATATACAATTGGCAGTGTTGACGGTAATATGAAAAGACAATAAACAGATGTAAACAAAGTCTGACTGTTGGTGGTAAATTATAGAAGGATATAGGACCAAAGAGATGATTACATTGAAAAATGGATGCTGGGTGAATGGATAGATGGATACTAGTTGATGATTCACTGAAAAAAAGTTACACTAAGTACATTTTTGTATTTGTATTTTGTAACCTGTTTTAATCAACTTACCTTAAAGCAAAAAAAAAAAAAACTAAAAAAATTAAAGCCTTAGTTTTTCTCAAAGTAGTATTTTTAAAACCAGCAGTCATGTGACCACATGAAAAAGTATTGCTATTCAGGTTTTATGTATTTCTAATGTAATTTTAATTAATATCTTGCATGACATTTATTGCTATACAGATTAGGAAATGAAACTAAAATTACTAAAATAGCATAACATTAGTTTGATTTATATATATATATATATATATATATATATATATATAAATCCTTGGCCAGAATAAATATTTTGATTAATATTAAACAACATTTTCAAATTTATGATTTTTTTCAACATTTTAAATTTAATTTGAGGAAAGTTTATCATTTTAGCTGTAACAAATTACAATATTTTTTAGGTTGGTTCAAAGCAAAACTATACTTTGTTGTAAAATATGTGGAGTGTATTTTTTTTTATTTACCACAATAATTATCATTAATTTAGGATAAAGTACATTTTAAAGTTTAAAACAACAATAAATAATTCTTACAAATTTTAGCTTTACAAAATTATGGATTTTTAAAAAAAGTTTAAGTTATATAAGTACATATAGTGTAGATCAGGGGTTTCCAAACTTCTCAGCCCGTGACCCCTAAAAAAACAATGCCAGTGACTCGCGATCCCCAAATTCCTCGGAGGTCCTGCTGCAGCTGACACTATTGCTGTGTTGTTAATCTAACGTAAACACACCAATGCTATCAAAAATAATATTTAAAGGCTGATGGCTTTTTATTTGCATGTCGTTGTTTTTATTACTAAAAAACTATTATTTTATCTTTTGTGGGTTATGGTTAAAATATAGTAATTCTAATGATTTAATAAAATGTATTTGACTTTTAGATATCACCAAGTAAGCCCCTGTCATTATCCCAAGCCCAGGAGGTCCCAACCCCCACTTTATGAACCACTGGTGTAGATGAATGTATAAATTGCCTGGTGTATGGGTGGATAGATAGTTGATAGACTAGTTGATAGATTAACTGGTGAATAGATAGTTATGCTGAACGAGTGTATGCTGAGTGTATGCACAGGTGAATAGAGGGATTAACGAGTAGGTTTGAATGAAGAAATGGACATATTGACAGGAAGGATGGATGGACTGACTTGTGGAGTAATGGGTTGATTGACTGAATGGACGAATCAACTGTTGTATGGAAGAGTGGATAGATGAATGGATGGAGTGTTTCTCAACCATGTTTCAGGAGGACCACCAGCTCTGCACATTTTCCATGTGACCTTAAGCAAGCACACCTGATTTAGATCATCAGCTCATTAGCAGAGACTAAAAGACTTCTAATTGGTGTGACAACGGAGACATCCAAAACATGCAGTGCTGGTGGTCCTCCTGGAACGTGATTGAGAAACACCATATTAAAGAATAGTTAAACTAATATTTGTATGTTTAATAGTGAAGCAGTGCATCTCTGAATATTACTCACCCTTTAACCTTCAGTGTTTGGCCGAAGAGAAGGCAGTGAGTGCCCGGCTGCAGGAGGAACGTGACCGTGCTGAAGCAGAAAGTCGAGAGAAAGAGACGCGCTTCCTGTCTCTCTCTAGAGCATTGCAGGAAGCAACAGAGCAGAGAGATGAACTGGAAAGAACCAATAAGCAGCTTCGCCTGGAGATGGAGCAGCTAGTCAATGCCCAAGATGATGTCGGCAAAAATGTACAAGTTGCTTTTTTTATCATACTGCTTGCATAGTTCATGAACATGTCCTCTACTGTTTGACTAAAATAGTTGATTGATTCATCAGTATGTACATTCAAGCCCAAAATTATTCATACCCCTGACAAATTCTGACATAGTTACTTTTATTCAACCATTAAGATTTTTTTTGATCGAAAATTACATAGGCGTTTCCCAAAAGATAGTAAGATGATGTACAAGAGGCATCATTGTGGGAAAAAATGTAAAATAAAAATATTGAATGATTGAATTATTAGCCCCCCTGAATGAATAGCCCTCCTGTTTATTTTTGTCCCAAATTCTGTTTCAGGGGAAAAAAATTTCAACACATTTCTAATAATAATAGTTTTAATAACTCATCTCTAATAACTGATTTATTTTATCTTTGCCATGATGACAGTAAATAATATTTAAATAGATATTTTTCAAGACACTTTTATACAGCTTAAAATGACATTTAAAGGCTTAACTAGGTTAATTAGGTTAATTAGGCATGTTAGGGTAATTAGGCAAGTTTTTGTATAATAATGGTTTGCTCTGTAGACTAAAAAATACTGTGTGTGTATATATATATATATATATATATATATATATATATATATATATATATATATATATATATATATATATATATATATATATATAGCTTATTATTTACATTTGAAAAAAGACTTTAAGTCAGAATTTTCTTAAGAATATGATTGTTTTGACTGTATATAATTTTTTTCTACCATTTTTGCCTATATTATTTGGCCTTCTTAGGTTCATGAGCTGGAGCGTTCTCGGCGGGCTTTGGAAACAGAAGCACAGTCTTTAAAAGAACAAACGCAGGAGTTAGAAGATGAGTTGGGAGAGGCAGAGAACGCTCGCCTCAGATTGGAGGTCACACTTCAGGCTCTTAGAGCTCAGTTTGAAAGAGAGATCAGCACTAAGGAGGAGAAAGGAGAAGAAAAGAGGAGGGCACTCAACAAGCAGGTAAATATCTCCAGCAGAATGAAGGAGTTATGGGTTGAAATAATGCACTGTAAAATCCAATAAGTTAAGGTAACTGAAACCATTTGAGAAAACCGATAGCAACAAACCATTTAAGTGAAAAAAATTGAGCACAGTAAAACCCAATAAATGAAGAGAACTCAAACCAACTGATCACTGTAAAACCCAGTAAGTTAAGGCAACTCAAACCATTTGAGGAAACCGATTGCTACAAACCATTTGAGTTAAAAAAAAAACTCATCTATATGAGTAATGTGAACTTAATCCATTTAAGTTGAAGTAATGATGCATTTAATTAACTCATTACCTTCAACACTGGGTTCAAAACTCTTTTCAAATGAGTAGAATTAACTTTCAGTCAATTTTGAGTTAACTACACTCATTTCATTTGATAAAGGTAACTGTTGGGTTTTAGAGTGTGTTTTAAGAATTTCAGATCTCCTTTCTCTCCTACTCTACACTGTAAAAAATGCAGGGTTTCACACAATTCCTTCATGCTGTTCCAACACAAAGTTAACTTAATCAGTGTTTACAAATTTAAGTGGATTGAACATAAAACAAATAAGTTGTCATCCAAAATCCTTAAGAATTGTGTTGTTTCAACTTATTTTAAATAAGCAGTTTAAACAAGCAGCAAAAGTATTGTATTCAGTGTATATTTGATTCCTTACATTTCTTCATTTGTTTGTTCAGGTACGAGAGCTTGAAACAATGCTTGAGGAGGAGAAGACTCAAAGAGCTCAGGCTTTGACTGTTAAGAAACAACTGGAGACAGAGCTGCAGGAGGCAGAGGCTCAGGTGGAAGCAGCCAATCGGGGCAGAGAGGAAGCATTTCGCCAGATGAAACGTCTCCAGGTTTTTCAGTTTAAATAATCGTTATATAATCATGCATATAATATAAAAAGGTGAACCCCTAAACCAACTATAAAAAGTACTTCAACTTTCTACACCTAATAAAATAATTTTAACTTGATTTAATACAGTTTTCAGTAATACGATAAGGTAAAAAAACAAACTTGCAGCATTACAGCTGGAATTCATGTGTTACACATACATTGTTGATTTGTACATACACTGTTAAAAATTGTCCCGTTAAAAAACAATAAAATACTGGCAGCTGCAGTTGCCAGCAACGTACTGTTATTTTACAGTATGTTGCTGTAAAAATACATGGACTACATTGATTTACACAATACTCAAGTGAACTCATTTTGTTCACTGAAAGCAACTGCCTCAACTTGGTCAACTGCTGAATGAGTTTATGAAGTAATGTGCTATATATGCTTACAAGCATACTTATAACGATAACTTATTTTAGTTAATTAGAAAAGATCGGTTTAACTCTAATGTCTTATTTTTCACAACAGCACACATACATGTAAATCTGGAATCACCAGAGAGATTCTGACTGCATCAGCAACTAAACAGCCGCTGTCTTTAAATAAAGAAACATGCAGAATAACATCAGCAGTTCATTGTTCATCTTTAACTCATACACTGGCTCTACTCTCCTCCACAACGGTGACAGACAGAAGAAATTAGCTTCAGGTTTTACAGTAAAATACTGTTTTTTCCTTGATTTAACAGTAATCTACTGGCAGCTGTGGTTGCCAGCAATCTACTGTTTTTTTACAGTCTATTTCCGTAGTTTAAATTAACAGTATATTACTGTTAAAATACATTTTTACACTGTGTTTTTACCTCTCACACCTTTAACCCTTTAAACCCCAGAGCATATACTTCAGTTTTTATTGAAGTGTCCACACTACTGAGTGTTCAAGAAACATGTAGCAAAGCTAAAGTAAATTCATTAATTAACTGACTAATTAAATGATGATTTAGGATTAACAATGAACAAATGAAGAAATACTGAAGGGAAAAAACAAGAACAGAACATACAAAACTTTTGTCAAAGCTTTATAATGAAATAACCTGAAGAACAACAAATGATTAAATCATTTAAATGATCAGTGGATGATTGAACAACTCTACAAACATCATCACCAGCTACACTTATTACTTAATACATGTATTTTTGTATAACATCTACTAAAGTTCTTCTTGAGAAAAAGTTAAAGTTTTACGTCACCATCATGGAGAACAGAGTTTGCTTTAGTTGGGCTCTTAGCCCTGTCATTTTGAACATTTATATATCTTGGCTGCTGCAATTGTTAAGAACTTTGTTTAAAAAGCTCCTTTGTTGTGGCAAGCCAGCCAAAAACCTAAATAAGATCTGGTGATGTTCATGTTGCCATTAAATGGCAGAGTCTGTTCTCATTTAGTATAATAAAATTTACTGCTCCTATTCAATGTTAAATCTATTGTTTTACATTATATGTCTATATATGGCAATGATTTCTGGAAGTTTTTAAGAATATATTGGACAATAACACTGCTCTATGGTGTAAATCGCACTCAAACAGACATCAATAATCAGCATATGAACCTCAATAATGGTGACAACTAACAAAATTAACAGTTTAACTCACAAACAGGCAACTGAAAGTCTAAACATAAACAAAAGCAGAATCAGACACAAATAAAGAAAACTGTTAGACCATTATACAACATTTATTTATACCGCAATGCATGCTGGGATATTTGTACCGTGCCACTCCCAGCATACATTGCAGCATGAAACATTTGAGATGTTACCATTGTTGAGATACAAGGTCAGATTCATGAGGTCTGAGTGTGTATTTGTCATAACTGAGCTGTTTGGTATGCTATTTCTTAACTGCTAAGTAATTACGGAGGTATCTTTTCTGTTTCCACTTCTCATTAATTAAATTAATACCTTCAACTAAGCATAAAATCTATTGCATGAGGCCTTTCTTCCAGATTTATAACAAAACATTTATCAGAACCAATTTCAGACAAATAGATTTCTCTATTTATTGACTTTCCAACTTGACTGCTATAATACAAGCATTTTGTTAACTCTTTATTATAGTAATTGGAGAGTCTGAATTAATAAGTTCAAGGGTGAAGAGCCCAACTAAATCAGCCCCTCACTCCATTACGGGGACACAAAAAACACCTTAATTTCTGTTGGATCTCAATGAGAATAGTATGGAAGTCAAATCAGTCAGTAATAAGTGCTGTTGTTTGTGGAGTTGTTTAATGATCCTCTGCTGAGACTGAAGCTGTTTTATTTTATTTGATTTTATTTAATGTTGTAACTCAAGTCACTGTTTTTGTTTCTTGTTTGTATTCTTCAGTAATTGTAATTATTAACAGCAGGTGTTCATCAGTGTCTGAATTCACTCATTAGTGTTCATTAAAACTGTCAGGTGAACTATATTAGTTAACTAGTGTATGAAATAGTGAACAAGGACACAAAGTGTGATTTCAAACACAGACTTCAAAACATCGAATCTGAACTCTGTTAGCTCACAGTTTTCTGCAGTTGGTTTCTTTCTCGAAAACAAAAATGTTACCCAGAAAGCACTGTTTTTAACAGAATATTACTGTTTTAGTGAAAAAACATTATTTTACCGTAGAATCTGACCGTTTTTTAACAGCAATTTTTTACAGTGTATAATTTATTCAGGAACCTGATTTTGCTAACAGGCTGACAGTTGAAAATCCCTGATGTGAACATTTTGATGTGTTCCTGTGTGTTTTTTAAGACTCAGATGAAGGAGCTTATTCGTGAGCTTGACGAAACCAAGTTGGCTCGAGATGAGATTGTTGCCCAATCAAAGGACAGCGAAAAGCGTCTGCAGACATTGGAGGCAGAACTATTGCAGCTGACAGAGGTGAGTTAATCTGTCATTGCAACCCAATATAACTGTGAGCTTCTTCCTCATTTTTATCTTTCCATTCTCTGTTGTTTTTTCAGGATCTATCTGTTTCTGAGAGGCAGAAGAGGCAAGCCCAGCAGGAAAGAGATGAAATGGCAGATGAAATCATCAACAATGCAACTGGAAAGTCAGTATCTGTTTAAGATAATTGTTTTTCTTTTACACAGAAAAATAAATCATTAAGCAACTCCGAGAAAAAAAACACAACTATACTAATCAGCACAATTGTTTGTGGGCCAATATTGATAATACAATATTATTTAAGTAAGAAATCAGAACTACAGTTATTTCTAAAGTATCCTTTTCTCACAACTATTTTTATTGAACATGTTAGAGATGAAACATGCTGTACTAATAGCTTTTTTTACCTTTTCTTTTTTTCACACCAAAAAAAACTGTCGCACATGTATACATTTAGGTTCTATAAAAATATATGTATAACATTAAAATAAAATACAAATAAATAAGAATATTAAGTAAAACATATTTTACTCTTATATATAAAAGAAAAGAAAAGAAAAGGAAAAAGAAAATAATAAAAAAATAACATAGAAAGGTTTCAACTCTTCTAAAATAACTGAGGGATCCATCTTCTTTGTGATCTAAAACAGGTTGCCAGGTGAGAAAAAAAACACATATTTGTACAACCTTTTACAGTATAGCCTATTTTTTGTAAAGTCAGGTGGTGTAGAAGTTCCATGAGCCGTTGCTTAATGGTTGGAGGAAATAACCTTCTAGCTAAAAGCATAGCAAAGGCAATCACATTTATCTTAGTTTTATTAAAAACATAAGAACTGTGGTGTGATACCAAATATTGAAATTATGGCCTCAGGTTCTATATAGGTATCATTCGAGGGCACATGTCATGATGCCATATAGGTATAGCTATATAGGCACTGAAGATTGCAATTAATAATGTCTGTAAACTTAATTTGCCATCACAGGAATAAAGTGAAATATCTTAAAATAAAATAAAATATAATAAAAAAGGCGTCGCAGTGGCGCAGTAGGTAGTGCTGTCGCCTCACAGCAAGAAGGTTGCTGGTTCAAGCCTCGGCTGGGTCAGTTGGCATCTCTCTCTGGAGTTCTCCCTGCATTCACGTTTCCCCACAGTCCAAAGACACGCGCTACAGGTGAATTGGGGGGGCTAAATTGCCCGTAGTGTATGAGTGTGAATGAGTGTGTTTGGATGTTTCCTAGAGATGGGTTGCAGCTGGAAGGGCATCCGCTAAAAAAAAAATATATATATATATATATATATATATATATACCATATATATATATATATATATATATATATATATATATATATATATATATATATATATATAAAAAATAATGAATAAGTTGGCGGTTCATTCCGCTGTGGCAACCCCAGATTAATAAAGGGACTAAGCCGAAAAGAAAATGAATAAATGAAAATAAAATAAAATAAAATACAATAAAAATGTAATTAAATTAATTAAATAGTTACTGCAACAACAGCTTATAAAACTTTAAAAACATTTAAAAAGACATCGCTTACAATCTTTGTAATGCATATAATATCCACATTTTAGAATGAAGAGCTACCTTTACATCCTGTCAATTTCCAAAAAAAATCAAATATATAAATGCCAGTATTATTCCTAATGTTTACTTTTATTGTGAACTTTTAATGTTGTTTTTCATTTAGATCTGCTCTATTTGATGAGAAGCGGCGCCTTGAAACTAGAATCACTCAGATGGAGGAAGAATTAGAAGAGGCACAGAGTAATGCTGAACTATTAGCCGAGAGGCAGAGGAAGAGCACCCTACAGGTGTACAAAGAAACACACACACACAAACACAAACACACACACACATTATCTGTTTTTAAATAAACCTTGACTATCATAACTATCTCATGTAATCACAAAGAGGGAGCCCTCTAAATCAGTTTTGTTTTGTTAGATTGAAACACTTACAGTCCAGTTATCTGGAGAGAGGACACTAGCGCAGAAGAGTGAAAGTGCACGAGAGACTCTGGAGAGGCAGAATAAAGAGTTAAAGACTCGCCTTAGTGAGATGGAAGGAGCTGTGAAGGGGAAACATCGCCTCAGCGTCGCCGCCCTGGAGGCTAAGATTGAATCCATGGAGGAACAAGTGGAGCAAGAAAGACAGTAAGGAACAAATGCTATGATCAAATGAACAAACCCTGCTGTTTTTTAAATTACAAGTCAGTAACACTTTTATTTATATACCACTTATTTGTACATGTAGATCAGTTCTACAAAGATAATAGAGGCTCAATTTACTTCCAATTGTCATTATTATCAGTTTGTTCATCAATTATTAAAAATTATTGATTAGTCATTGTTCAGTTTTTCATATTAATGACAGTGTCAGTGTTTCGAAGTGCCATTCTGTCAATTCCTATTATTATAGAGTCAGTAATATGTATTACTAAATTTTAATTGTCTGGTGAACCACACAATCACACATGTATAATGCATGTACAACTATCTTTATAGGGACTTCCCATAGATTTTTGTTTTATACTGTACTAATAGTGTGGATGAACTATGACGTCACCTTGTAGGCTAATCGGCTGCTAGCGTTAAACTGTTCCCTCAATAAAATCCTTATAGAATTTTTCCATAAGCTTTTCGAATAATGCAAACAATAAGCTCTGTTTTCAAACACTGTTATTCACACTTAAACGTTTTGTCCAGCCGGATGATCCTCACACAAAATACAACTTTTAGCACTTTTGAATCTTAAATGCAAATGCAAGAATTTAAAAGCTAACAAAAGACTATAAACGGACTAAAGTGTCTTCGGGGCACTCGACTGTGACGTCAGCACCACCCTGCTACAGACAATTTTCAAGCTTATTTTTAGAAATATGGTCCACGACAAAGAGTTACTTTCTCCATATATAGTATAAATAAATAAATAAATAAATAAATAAATAAATAAATAAATAAATAAATAAATAAATATGCAAAAACACATAGACCTACGTCCCTTTTGGATAGTTTTCATGTGGGAAATACATTTGTTTTGCTTTACGGTTGTAAAAGTTTTAAAACTTTATGTATAAACGTGCCTACATACAGTAGTATTATCATAAGACATATTTAAATAAGTGTATTGCGTGCATGCACACAGCTCCCTTACCTTAGTAAAAGACGATAAAAATGAGGCGTGAGTCTATATGCCTGCAAGTTACATCATGCACACACAACAGTCAATATTCTTTTTTGTCACGAAGTAAAAAAAAAAAAAATGAGAAAAAAACAAACTAACAAAAAATCAATTGATCTTGTTAAAATGACAGTTAAGATGCATGTATTTTAACACATTTATTCAAACGTTTGCATTATTGAGAGCAGGAAAGAGATAAGCAGTATCTATGGTAAGCGGTATCTTCATAATAACATTTAATTAAAATAAAGGAGCAACAACTGAATCTGTCTTGACAGTCTTTACAAGTGAAGGCATTATCTACACACAATATGAGTTCCCAATTAGAAAAATACTACAAATTATAAAACGCTATTTATGAAAATTACTTAGATAACAGACGCAAGTAGGCTGTGTTCCAGACAGATCAGCTCGATGACGTTTAATGTCTCCGACACTGTCTGTAGTCCCATTTAGCAACTTGATAGCAACCGTCTTTTTAAAGACCAATTAAATAAATCAAGAAGGTGATTTAACTGATGTGTTTTATGTCGTAGAATAAAACGTAAAAGTATCTTGAGTTTGTGTCAGCAATGAACCTTATTTGAGCGATTTAACCGAAATCCAATTTTAAAAAACCCATTGACTTTGGTACGAGGGAACCGGAACTTCTAAAATGCTAACTCGCTTCCGGGTTTTTTGCATACAAATTGATGTCATAGTTCCTCCACTCTATTGTACTCTATTATACTCAATCCAAAGCCTCAGAGGAAACAATCAGCAGTATTACATTTCAAAATGCTTCATTCTGAGTTATCTATAAGACATTTTTCCTATAAAGACCAAAAAAGTCCCCACAAGGTCAGAATTTGCTGGTATTGTTGACATTTGGTCCACACAATTAATACAAGGTGCACACACAGTCACACACTTACAAAACTGCTATTCTTTTTTTCACATAATTAAAATGGATCTAGGAATGTCACCCTCTAAAAAGACAAGTAATTATAAAAATTTGTAAAATAAGTGTACACTGTGACTTGGTAAGATATCGCCCAACTCTTTGGCAGTTTATGTCATGAATAAACTGAAAATAAAGCTTGACAGCCATTGTTACCATTACATTTCATTGGACTGTATGGTCAAGTGCATACCGCTGAAAAAGCAAAAAAACGATGACTGAATGTTGAAATCAACTAATCTTTTAATAACCTACAATCCTTAAGCACTTGAAAGCACACCATGACTGTTGTGCATTTTGTGTTCCTTTCTGTAGAGAGCGAGCCATGGCCAATAAGCTGGTGAGGAAAACAGAGAAGAAACTGAAAGAAGTTTTGATGCAAGTGGAGGATGAAAGAAGGCATGCAGATCAATACAGAGAGCAGGTACTCCTTAAAAACTTCATCTCCAAACCTTCACAACCTGACTTGAAAAATGGCTGAAAAATGAGGCCATTATCAGCTGTTTTCATTTACTCAGTCCATGTTGTTACTACCTATTTATTTACTTCTGTAGAACATAATAAAGGACATTTATTTAGAATTTATTGGTTCCCACCAACTGTTTTGGTTCCCAATTATCCATGACAACATATTAAACAAAACCAAAACAGTTTAATTAGTAACATGTAAACTAACATTCGTCTTTTGTCTGACATGTAAATTTAAATTTTTTAAAACCAATTAATAATATAATATAATATAATATAATATAATATAATATAATATAATATAATATAATATAATATAATATAATATAACAGTGCTTCCCAAACATAGACACATATTATTGGCCGCCCAAGTGTATTTAGTAGCACAATTTATTACTGTCATTATCATCCTTTTACACTTTTTTTCTCAAAATAACTAAACATCCGCGAGCGATTAAGCTCATTCTGTGTGTGCAAGAACTCTCAACACTCAGATGCTCTGCGGACCCACAGAGACCTGCACATTTTTGCATCCCGCTGACGTTGCTAAATCTACTAAAATGTTCGGGATTTGGTTCGTGCTTTCGTTTTTTAAGCTGTCATTAATTTTATGCGCACAGTTGCAAGAACGAGAGAGACATTAAATATAAAAATTCATTCTTGTTTGGTTTGTCACATATAATTAACTATTTTTGCGCTATGGGTATAAGGTGTGTTTCAGTCGAGCTACCACCACAAGTACATTTCAAACCTGTGGGAAACACTGTATAATATAATATAATATAATATAATAAAATATAATATAATATAATATAATATAATATAATATAATATAATATAATATAAAAATATAAAAATTTATATATTATAATATAATATAATATAATATGTTATAATATAATATGTTATAATATAATATAATATAATATAATATAATATAATATAATATAATATAATATAATATAATATAATATAATATAATATAATATAATATAATATTATAAAGGACATCCGCTGCATAAAACATGTGCTGGATAAGTTGGCGGTTTATTCCGCAGTGGCGACCCCAGATTATTAAAGGAACTTAGCCGAAAAGAAAACGAATTAATGAATATTAAGTTTGTTTGTTTGAATAAATTTGACCAAGTCATCTAGTTTGAGTTCAATCGCATTAAAATAATCAACTCAAATTAACAGATTATAACTTCTTAAAAAAAATGGACTCATTCCACAATCCCTTACAAATGATTTCTTTGCTATGTACCTAATCTTATATAGTCAACTTGGCTGTGGTTACACTTGGAGCATTTTTACATTATAAAATCTCTCTATTTTTGTAGTTGGATAAGTCTATGGGGCGCCTCCGTCAACTGAAGAGGCAGCTAGAGGAGGTAGAAGAAGAGAACTCTCGCTCCAATGCCCAGCGCAGGAAACTACAGCGAGAGCTGGAGGAAATGAGCGACAGCATGCAGAGCATGAACCGCGAGCTCAACACTCTCCGCTCCCAACTCAGGTAAGGACAATGACAGTTATGACTGTGTGTTCGCCGTTTTGTGTATGGAGCAAAAACAAACAACAACTAGCTAGCTTTTTTTAGCTGACTCAGGCTCATAATTTCCTGATATACAAGGGAATATATTGTGTATATGATGTTTAATAGTATTTAAAAATATAAATAAATATCTATATATATATATATATATATATATATATATATATTTATATAGTTAAATTTTTTCAGATTCGTCAAACGGCTATAAAAACAAACATACCTACTTTTCAGAGTCTACTGTATATGATAAATCTTATCAGATCTAGATCATCACTAGATCCAAAATTGCTTGCCGCTGGAATTTGATACATTAAATGTTTTCGTGTGAAACTTTTGTTGTTGTTTTAAATAAATTTACTATTAGTGAATTTCATGTTTTACTGCATGTTTATTCACTCACTTACTCATTTAATGTGTCTGATTGTGTGTCCATCTATATTTGTGCGTTTGTCTCCTACACCCACACAGCATCACAGAACGCCAGAAGTCAGAACAGTAGGTTTTCATGTGTGCATAGATAAAGTGTCAGTCTGTTTGTTTTCCTTCATGGGCATTTCCCTGTCTCCTCCTGACTCCACTGTTGTTTCCAGGTTCCCTGCTAAGATTTTAATTTGTCAGTCTTTTGTAACTGATTGAATTTACAATCACATCAAGATGGTGTACAGTAGTCTACCTTGGGTTCTGGGATACTTCCTGGTTATAGATGGGGATAAATCAGATTCTTCATTTCACCAATCATAGAACCTTCAATCTTTTTCCCTCTTTCTGTCTTCAGGTTATAAACAGTGACCCCAAAAACTATTTGGACAATAAGGTCACAGTTCAAAATCCATTCATGTCCTAGTTTTAAACAACAATGAAAAAAAATAGCTTTTTTTATAATGTATTGTTTTGAAGCCATGAACCACGTGATGAAAGAAAGAAAGCTTGGTAGTGGAGAAAAAAAATAAAAAAATTATTTTGTCCTAAATAACTCATTATTTCAAGATATGACCTCTTTATTTCAACATAGTAACTTATTTAATGATATTAACTCATCATTTTGACATATTAAGTTATTTCAAGGTATTAACTTGTTTTGTTTTTTTTACATAATAAGTTATGTCAAGATATTAACTTGATATTTTTGACATGCTGTAATAACTAGCTGTTTAGTTATTTTGAGTTTCTAAGATCTTTAGGTATTTTGATATCACTTGTAATTTCAACATAAGAGTTATATTAAGGTTTGTGTTCATTTCAATAAAAAAAACTCAATTTTGATTTAAACCTGGATATATGATAAAGACTGAGACTTCAGTTATTGATTCAACAGTATGTCAACATTGCTACAATGCATTCTTTAGTTTAAGTTAAATGACAAGTTAAAATGTTGAAATAACAACTTAATATCTTAAATCAAAACCCCTCTCTGCCTTCTCCCCCGTATGAATATGCTAATGACTCTACTTTTGACAAAACTCAACGAAAAAGCAATGGCAAAAGCAAGCCAAAAGAGAAACTTTAAACAGAATGTGAACTGGAGGTGCTGCTTTCGGAGGTAGATCGGAGAAAAACGGTTTTATTTGCAAGTTTGTCCTCCAAAATTAACAACAAAAGAAAAAAAATAGAGTGGGAGAGTTTAGCTGATGCAGTTAACACAGTTGGGTTTGAACATTGCACTGAGTGGATTTAAAAAAAGAAATAGTGCGATGTAAAGGTGTAAAATTTTGTAGTGTATTTATCATCCTAAGTGGCGCAGCTCGCTAAATGCATGGCAATATGTTTTCACACGTTCAAGCATGAATTCTCTTTTTTTTTTCCCGCTACATATCAGATTTTGCCTATACTCTTCATCATCATGAGGAAGACAAGTAGTAATCATTAATAAGTCTGTGCATCATATTTTATTTGCACATTTATTGCATGGAAATGTTTCTGATTCACTTATGCAAATTCATCCTCAGATGGTGCCTTTATATTAATGTGCGTGCGGTAGATTGCTCCGATTACATTGGGGAAACCGGGGATCACTGCAAATTGCGCTTTAATGTTTGGATGGTCAACTGTATGGTACGGAAACCTTATATACTAGACATGCGGATGAACCCTTCTCATACAGCTGAGAAGACACTTTGTAGAGTGCATTTTAACACAACTGCCTCTAGGAGTCGCCAATGGAAATAAAACAGACACGCACAAGAAATGTGCGTACGCCAGCCATGAAGCTGGCGTGGAGCTGCGCACATTCCCACGATCATTTCATTTTTAGTAAATCCAAACGTGAGCGATTCTGAGCGTGAAACCTGGCGTACGCAAAGTTTTTGTGCATACGCAGCGTTGATACATGAGGCCCAGGAGTGTCAAAATATAACATAAAATTGGAAAAAACAACAACAATATAATTATTGAACAATATAACATGATGCAACATTTCAGTGTTATTTAGCGATGTTTAAACTGCACAGTCATTTTATTTTAGTCAAGCTTGCAAAAATGTATTTTTCATTTAAAGTACAGTTTCATTTGTGTATCTTCAAATAAATGGAAATTAAATTTTCTTTTTTTCCTGTTTAGAATATAACTGACCCTTTAATTCCCATTTACAAGGGATTTATAAAGCATAAATAGTTACTTTAGATTAGGTCACAAAACTGGATAAAATTGTGTTAATAAAGCATTTATTAACATACATACTGTAGTAACCATTCATATATGCCTGAATAATAAGATATATAAATGTTAATTTGAATAGTCTACTAATCATTAACTTATGCATTCTGAATAATCTATAAAAACCTCCAACTTCTCTCAAAAAACTGGTTTGCAAATGATGCAGTACCTCATTTAGCAATGAAAAAAAAAAACAATTAACAAAGTATGACAACACAATCATTATTATCATATAAGTTCTTAAAGGGTCATGAATCCCCCCCACTTTCGGTTCAGGTTTACCTCAGAATTTTTAAAAAAAAGATGCATCATAATGGGCGTGGAGCTCCGCGAGCAAAAGGCTCAGCAGGGGACCTAGAGGGTAGTGAAAAACTGTTGTCAGTTAGCTCACAAAATGAGACATAAACCATGAGGAGATGCGTGATTTTATAGTTTATTAAGTTAAAATGCAAATAAATAAACAGTAATTTAATGCTTACTACATTTGTCATTTGTAATTTCATATACACACAACTACAATTTATATCATTATAAAGATAATCATGTTCATCTAAACACTATAAATCAGGACTTCTCCCTCAATCCCCGGGTCTGAATCATAGCTCTAAATGCAGTCTTAGTGCAGCAGGTCTCTTGCCCTGTCGGTTTTAACCATTAGCCCTGTTGGTAATTTGGAGGATTTAGGCAAACACAGCAGCACGGCGATGTGTATAAATGTGAATGAACTCCTGATAAAAGACAACAACCACCATTCTCAAATTCTCGTACTGCTCTCCCGATAAAAAAGCTTGCTGCACACAAACAGCTTGATGTATCGGCCCTGACAGCATCGCAGGAAAAGCAGGCAACAAACCCCATGGATCATAGAAGCAAACACACACGAGCCTTCATGAATAGCTAAATACTGTGTGGCGTGGGTCCATGTCTCACAGCTTGGCACTGGCAGGTCTGCCTTGCCTTTGGAAAGCATGTGCAGTCATGAAGAATTAAGAAGCTGGCTCTTCTCATAGGATAAGAAAACTATGCTATGAATAATAATGAGAATTCGCCGCGTCATCTTTGCGCTTGCAGTTTTGCGCTACGTCGCTGATTTTGATCCCGCCCCAAAAATTATTTTAAACCCAGAAGATGAAATTAGTTGACAAAAGCTCAAAATTATCAGTTATTTTTTCCTAAAATTAAAGCTGGCAGATGCTAACATTGTCTTAACTGATGCTCAACACACACTAATCTGTTAAAATCTTAAAAGAAGTACACGGGGGTTTCGTGAACCTTTAAAATTCAAAAACAGAGCATTTGTACCTGCAGTTATAAACTGCTTCCTAATGTGTATTAATGTAGAGTTTAGTATTTGCTAATGCTCAATAAATTATTCATAGTGTATATAGTTATTATAAAGTGTTACCGATATTTTTTTTTTTCCCCCACAACCTAGCTTTTTCATTATGTGGTCATACTAAGTAATTGCTACACAAACAAGTAGCTTCCTTGTCCAAATATGCTTTGGGGACATTGTGTATATTAAATTATGTATATGAATCGCATGTCAATATATTCTGTGTTTGTGTGTCTGCCTCAGGAGAGCTCCGCTCCCTCTGTCCATGCGTGCTGGTCGCAGAGCTCTAGTTGATGACCTTTCTCAGGAGAACTCTGATTCTGAAGATCCAGGTGCTTCTCCCACACCGTCCAGCGGCCCACCGGGTACCCCCACACCCTCAGACAACGCCCTGGGCCCCCCTCCCCCGTACAGCCTTACAGATGCTGAATAAGAAGGGGCGAGATGGACAATTTTACTGGTTTAACTCGCATAGCTTTTGCAATCGTACCCATAACAGAACATCAGTGCAGTCACACATAACTTGAAACTAGTTGATGTGATTTATCGATTTTAAATGAACTGACAAATTAGCATGCAAGATGGAGAAAGATTATTGTACTATAGAAATCAAGTAAGCAGTGAGTAAGGACTGCAGAAGTGAAAATCACATTTCCCAGCATTCCTCGGGAAATGAAGTACTGTATATCGATGCAGTATATCAGGCTTGTTGTGGCAGAATTGTGATGGCCACCTCAAGCTCGATTTCAATCAATTTAAAGCCATGTGTTTAGGTGAAATTTGCATGTGGGTGGCAATCAGAAGCCATCCGGGTTTACACAGATGATCCACAATCAGGCTAGAATGTGTCATCTGTGCTCGCACAAGCCATCAAATCCTCAAAGCACTGAGAAACTTTCTCTCACTCCTGAAACAATATCATGCTTAAAGACATTGAGAACTGAACAAGAATATCTCTTTGGTATTTTAAAATATCAGTGTTTTAACATTTTAGAGGTGGTAGTGTGACTTAATACATAGAAAATAATGCTTTTTGCTAAACGTGATTTGGCAGAGATGATGTTTACGGAAGCCCATTTTTCCCCTAGAGTAATAGAATAACAAAAGTAATTGGGGATTTATATCACAAATTTGCGTTATTATATCATCAGTGTTGTGATTTTACAACTCTCAGTTGTAAGAAACAAACTTTATATCTTTATCGTTCTCAATATCGTGACTGTATGTCACAAGTTTATTTCAGTTGTGACTTTAAGTCTCACCATTACAGCTTTTGCAGTATTGTAACTTTACATCTCAGAATTTTAATCATGCTAATTGCAACTTCACAATTGCGACAGTCCCAAAATTGTGATTTTATTACTTGAAATGCAAGTTTGCTTTTTGCAATTGTGACTTTATTACTGAGGGTGTGACTTTATATCTCACAGTTGCATATTTCCTTTTCAAAATTTTAATATTTACATCTCGTAGATATAGACTTGTTTGTCTTAAATGTGACTTTAGAACTCACAATTGTGACTTTCTCAGTAACCTCATTTTACAACTGCAAGTTTGTTTCTTGCAACTGTGACTTTATATCTCACTGTGTGAGTTTTTATATCGGAATTACTCTTTCTCTAAATGGTGATTTTAACTCTTGCAATTGGATGTTTGTTTCTCGCAATTGTGACTTTATAACATACAGTGTGACTATATCTCACAATCACACCTTTCTAAGTGTAGTAATTTGACACGTTCCAATTTAAGGGTTTGTTCTTGCTATTTGCGGCTCAGAGTGTGACTTTATATCTCACAGTTGTGACATTCTCAATATTGTAATTTTACATCTTTGAATCTCTTGCAGTAATAGCTCTAACTTGTAGTGTAACTTTATATCTCATCATTGCCACCTTGCTTTTCAATATTGTGATTTTCCATCTAACAAATATAAGGAAGCATTTACACTAGTGCATTTTTGTTTTTAAAATTGCATTTTAGATCCAGACTGGTGTTTTCATTGCAATTTTAATCTCCATCCATGCTATATATATACAAATATATATATTGCTGCTTGTTCAAACTACTTATTTAAAATGATCTGAAACAAAACAGTTATTTAGATTATTTGCAACAATTAAAAGTGTTTTCACACTAGTTTTGGTCCGCACCCGGATTAATTTGACATAAGAGTATGGTACTTTTAGCTAGTGTGAACGCTGTTTTCTGAATGTACGTACTTTTTTAACGGCTGAGTAGTATGTTTAAATTCAAATACAGTTCCTACTGGGTAGTAGGCAGTTTCGGACCAAGTCAATTTGAACACAAACCAGGCAAGGAGGAACAATCGAACTTGGGTTCAGACCAGGCAGTGTGAAAGCGCTTTTAATTGTTTTTTGTTGCTTAAAATGTTAAATCCACTTACATTTATCAAGTTAATTTAGGGCGCTTTTACACCAGTGGATCGATTCTTTTGTTCCAAAACGGGGATTAAAATTGTTACAATGTTGCTCTTTGTTCTTGGTGTGGTGCGGTTCGCTTTCACACATTGAAGTTTCTAAACGAACCACAAGAGCTAAAACAAGTCACGTGCGAGTAAACGTTATAGGCTTTTACATGAAACGCTCATTTACCGGTAGGAATGACCTCCCGCCCTACTCATAATTCTCTCTCCATATAGCTGTATATACGCCTATGACATACCCATGATACACTGTGATAAAGCTGAGCTCAGATCGTATCGCTTTCTCACTACAATCGATCTGCTCCAGAGTTTGTTTCAATCGAGCCGAGATCATCTTATTCATGGACTGATTGATTTGGTGTGGATCCGAGCACGATTGCTGGATTCACATATGTCAAACAAGCCTCACTTACTGGGCAAATGAGACAAAAAAGCACCCTTAATTGATATGTGTTGGGACAACATGAATCAAATGTGTTGAACCCTATATTTATTACAATGTATGTTATGTGATAAAAGCTTGACCAATGAGAGAATGATATGCAATCAGGAAGCGATTGTTGGTAGCCACACCTCCATTTTCAAAGTTGTGCATTTCAGTCTGTCTATCCGCTTAAGTCTTGACGTGTGGAATACTGTTTCCAGGTTCAAGCGGCTACTCATTTGAATTGAAAAAATTTTTGCTTATTACCACTTTTTAGTCATATTACACATTAACGTGAATTTTATATAAAACACAGACACCAATATTTTAACAATTTATTAAAAAAATAATCACTATCTGGCCAGAAGATATTAGACATGGTAAAATTGCGATCGTGATTTTCAAAAGTATTACAGTCCTTGTAAACATTTATTATTACCATTTGTTAAGTCTCCCCTTGATATAGTGCTTGGACCCGGATGCCCCTTTGCATGACGTCACACTTAACAAGCAGATACTGAAATGAAACACCAGATTTTCAAATAAAAATCTTTAGAAAAATCCCTTTTTAATCTTTAGTTTTTTTTTTAAATGCTTAATTTTCAACGATGTCAAGAGTAGTGTGGATGAAACAATGGCATAACTAACGAAACATACGCGTTTTAAAATGAAAACGCACTAGTGTAAATGGCACCAAAGTTTGTTCCTTGGATTTGTAACTTTATACATGAAAGTGTGAATAATATCTCTCTATTACAACGTTCTCAGTTTTGTGACTATACACTCACTGGCTATTTTATTAGGTACAGCTTACCGGGTTGGACCCCCTTTTGCCTTCAGAACTGCCCTAATCCTTTGTGGCATAGACTCAACAAGATACTGGAAATATTCTTCAGAGACTTTGGTCCATATTGACATAATAGTATCACGCTGTTGCTGCAGATTTGTCAGCTGCACATGCATAATACGAATCTCCCGTTCCAACACATCCCAAAGGTGCTCTACTGGATTGAGCTCTGGTGACTGGGGAGCCATTTGAGTACAGTGAACACATTGTCATGTTTAAAAAACCAGTCTGAGATGATTCAGACTTTATGACATGGCACGTTATCTTGCTGGAAGTAGCCATCATGATGGGTACACTGTGGTCATAAAGGGATGGACATGGTCAGCAACAATACTCAGGTAGGCTGTGGTGTTGACACGATGCTCAATTGGTACTAATGGGCCCAAAGTGTGCCAAGGAAATACCTCGGTTGTAACGAGTGGTTATTTGAGTTACTGTTTGCCTTTCTAACCAATCTGGCCATTCTCCTCTGACCTCTGGCATCAACAAGGCATTAACGCCCACAGAACTGCAGCTCACTGCCATTCTCTGTAAACCCTGGAGATGGTTGTGCGTGAAAATCCTAGTAGATCAGCAGTTTCTAAAATACTCAGACCAGCCTGTCTTGCACCATTGTTCAAAGTCACTTAAATCACCTTTCATCCCCATTCTGACGCTCGGTTTAAACAGCAGCAGATAGTTTTGACCATGTCTGGATGCCTAAATGCATTGAGTTGTTGCCATGCAATTGACTGATTAGAAACTTGCGTTAACAAGCAGTTGGACAGGTATACCTAATAAAGTGGCCAGTGAGTGTACATGCAGCAACCGCAGGTTTGTTTCAGCTAATATTAGACAGTTTAACTATCTCACAATTGCAACTTTCTTTCCCGATATTGTGACTGTTTCTGTGACTTTATAATTCACTATGTGACCTTATATGTTAAAACAAGACCTATATCGTGCAGTGTGACTTAACATCTCAGCTTTATATCACACAGTGCAACTTTTAAACTTTCATCTCACAGTTACTTTTAATTTTTTTTACTCTGAGGTAAAAAGCGGGCTTCCATATGACAGGCGACACGCACAAAGCTATGATTGTATCAAATGAAAAGTGAGAAAGAGAAAATAGCTTTTGTATTAAATTAATATATGCTACAAATTTGAGCTGTCCATTTACATCTTAGCCATAACTTGACCATAAGAAAAGAATGGGGATACAGAAAATAAATGATTAAAAAGCAGCCAAAGCTGACAGATTTCACCTCCATATAGATTTAGCAGTAACAATTCTTAGAAATTTGATATATATACCTGCTTCGATCTCATTCGGACTTTAGTATTCAGTTCAACTCCCTATTAAGTTTGGGGTATCTGTGCCGCAGATCGCATACCCTTTTAGATACTGTGCGTAGATAGATAGTTGGCTTTAAAGGGATGCTTTGGTTGGTAGTGATATACAGTAGGTAGTTAGGATTTCTTAATTTACGTCTTAACACGACAGCTCCAGTTTCAGACTACTGACTTGTTATTTTTATCAAGTAAGACAATTCCAGTGTGCAGTCTTTATTTATTTTGTTTTTTTATTGTTTGTGTCAGCACATAGAGATGTCATGGTTATTTGTATAGTTTGAAATGTAAGTACAAACAAGGCAAAATTTTGAGGGTAAGGATGGCTTTATATGTTATCAGTAACACCGGATATCATCATTTTATCTTTTAAGCTACAATGGGGCTCAGATATTCATATATTAAACACATTTTACACAAATAACACATCTGCAAGTGTATTTGAGATGGTTTTAACACCAAACAAGTCTGAAATCAGTTTTATGACGTGTTTCAAAGATGTGAACGTATGATATTTTGCCTGTTTTGGTTCCCGAGGGGTTGAAGGCTGCTAGTTACTCTTTAATTATCTCATTTTATCAATGTATTTTTTTGTATCAAAGAAACATACTGTATTTTTGTTTGTTTGTTTGTTCATTTTTGAATGTGGTAAATATTTATGGATCCAAGCTTTTATGTTGAAACACAATCTGGGGCATATGGATGACTTAAAGGGACATTATTCTAACTGTATGCATGTCAACAGTGCCTGCAGTATCTGCCGAATATACAAAATGGACACCATTGGAAAAATCAGGCTAAATAATAAGAGCGAGGTCTGGAATTTGATAAATAAATTGCAATATTAGGTCTCCCTGAACAGCAATCCTTCTCAAAGATGCTTTTTCGTTTGTTTTGCACACAGAAAGTTGATAGGATGATTTTTGGGGACTTTTGAAAGGTACTTCACCAAGTCAAATGAAAGCGATCTGGGTGTGTGTATCTATCTTGTTAATTGAAAGATATTGTGTGGTCATGCACATTTTGATACGCTGCATCAGGCTTACACACACTTGTTTTAATCTAACAGTGTTGAACTGTGAATAATAATCGTTTGTCACCATTAAGTATTAGAACATGTTTAAGATCTGTTCTGTCTGTGAACTTGCAGTTGATTCACTGAAGGCTGTTATTACTACACAATACCTATAAATCGGGAAGCAGGGTTTTCGTGTCAGATTCCATTGTACGTAAAATGTGTGTAATAGATTGTGTAATCACATTTTTTATTCTGTGTTATAATTCAAAAATTAAGTACGTTTTAATTGCTGATCTTTAGAATCAATATGGAATTGTATGTAGTTGCTGACTGAAAGCGAGGAAACCTTGCTGTTAAAGACTAAAGGATCAGACACAAAAGCCAAAAGACTCAAGCCTTGAACAACATATACTGTTATTCTACTCATTTGTCCATGTTAGATCATATTCCTGATATTTGTAAATTATTATAAATTGTAATAATTTATCATTTCTTTCTAAAGTCTTTCAAGCAACTCAGAATTGCTGTTTTGTCACTTATAAATATACACAATAATTTGTACAATTAACAGATTTGGAGAGCTGTTCAAACTTAAAAAAACTCAATTGGAAGTGGATTTGCATTAAAAAAACAATCCAAATAGTTTAGCTTAATAAATGGGAATTTAATGGTACTAAATCTGTGTTGTATAACGCAGTTTTAAATCAGTGTGAAATGAATACACAATAGTACAGAATGTGTATGGAAGAGGACTGAAAGCTCTTGGAGAGATACATGTTTGTATCTGAAGTGTTTCTGAACAGGATTGTGTGCTTTTTTTTGCATTTGTGGAACTTGAATTTTTAACCATGTTGTTTATTTAATATTTTGCTTTATTTTGCTATAATGACAAAATGAGACTGGGGTGACTTTTAATATACCATTGGTTTTAAAATCAGTGTGGTTTATTTTTACACTAACACACCATCACTAATGAACCATCATCCACATAAAAGTGATCAGATTATTTACCAAATATTAGCATAAAATGGATATATAAACTGAATTTGAAATAAGAGTTTACATTTGAAATAAGTGTTTTACAGTTCTCAAGGTATAAGAGCTGTCACTTTTCAAAAGGTATATTTGTACTTACTGGTACCTCAAAGGTATATATTAGTATCTAAAACTTTCAAGTGGAACACATTCGTACTTTTTAGGTACTGAAATGAGAGGTATTAAATTAAGGTATTAGGTAAATCCCATGTGCTTTATTCAGTGTTAAATGCTAACAATGTGAGTTACATGACATTTATTGTCACACTACTGAAAGAAGCAGCAGATAGTTCAACTGAGATCTTGAAAATAAAATAAACCATTTGAAATTGAACTTTAAAATTTAATACCAACTCAGGGATTCAGCATGTACATTTATTAATGATAAAGAGGTTTGATATGTATGAATTAGATTATAAACCTTACCATTTCGTGAGTGGGTGCATATTCTGTGCTACTGAATGGCTGTATTTAAATGGCATGTTTTGTCTGGTGCAAACAGCCAGGGTAGATGTCAGCTGTGGCAGGTTAGACAGACACTCCCACTAGCCACTTTGGAGATCACCTTAAAGCTGCGGTCACACTAGAGTTTGTGTGTGCGAAATTCTGTCGTGCGGAGCTGCGAAAAGGGGCAGGATTAAACAAGATTATTAGACATTAAATAAAGGGAGTGATTGCTCCATGTTTTAAATTTCTGTCCAAAGAGGTCATGTTTTGATCCTCGATTGGTCTCACACAGTCAAGTGATGCGATTTCACAGGTTAGAGTTCACCTAGCTTGAACTTTGCAATGCAACAACCTGTGAAATTTGACGCATGACCCTGCGTTTCCGGTCACTTGACTGCGACCAATCGAGGATCAAAACATGACCTCTCTGGACAGAAATTTAAAACATGGAGCAATCTCTAGCTTTTAAAAATGTCTAATAAGCTTGTTTAATCCCATCCCTTTTCGCAGCACCACACGACAGAATTTCACACACACAAACTCTAGTGTGATCGCAGCTGAAAGCTGCGGTCACACTGGGCTTTTCCTCCCATAGACTTCCTTTCATATGCACGTGAATGCGTCAGACCAGAAACGCAGGGTCATGCATCACTTGACTGTTTGACACCAATCGAGGATCAAAACATGACATCTCTGGACAGAAATTTAAAACATGGAGCAATCGCTCGCTTTTTTAAGCATCTAATAATCTTGTTTAATCCCGCCGCTTTTTCTGAAGAGCGCTTGGGCCATGTGCGTGTGATGTACCTGAAGAGCGGTAGGAGTGAGTTGCGCGTGACGTACCTATAGAGCGGTGGGGGCGTTTGATGTACCTGAAGAGCGGTGGGAGTGAGTTGCGCACAACGTACCTGAAGAGTGGTAGGGGTGAGTTGCGTGCGACGTACCTTAAGAGCCGTGGGGTTGAGTTGTGCCCGATGGAGACTTGGGAGACTTGGGATGTCTTTTAATGTCAAGCCCTGCAAATAGCCCAATTGCTTATTACTGCAAATCATGTAGTGTGTTGTTTAAGACACACGGTTGCAACATAACCTACTCACCTAATGTTTATGTTCATAATATTTAAATTATTTGCTTCCGGGTTCAAAATGTAACCCGGTAAGCCGGTTCCACCAAGGTAACCCGGGGGACTTTTTTATTTAAACAAGAATGTTCATTTGGCATGTTTCTTAAATATCTGCAAACATTATCAACACAGGCTCATTCTCTAAACGTAGTCCCGCAGACAATTCCGAAAAATTCCGGGAGCTACGTATTTTTGCAATTTTTGTTTTCGCGAGTCCGCGAGAGGTTGCTGTGTGTGCTTTTTCACATCTCAAATGTCTCTCGCCGAGTGCCGTTCGCGTCCGCGCTGTTCTCGCGTAAACCCACCAGAGGCCGCTGTCGAACGACCATGTGTCTGTCTGACTGACTGAATGATTGATTGACTGGGCGACTGGCCAATCGGCTGACCCACCTTCCCTAAACCCAACCGGTTTTACTGATTGATCCGCCCACCCGCTTGCTTCCCTAAACCAAACCAACAATTTACAAAAGCCATATAGAAGGTAAGCAGTCAGTCGGTAAGCGTGAACAGAAGCGGCGTCACACCACCACGTAGCGTTCACTTAAAAATAAAAGACAGCCAAAAGTACCTCCGTCTACATAATTCAAAGTCTCCAGAAATGTCCCCGGGGCTATATTTTCAGAATGAGCCTGGGTTGCATATTATGGTATTTTTATGCTTTAGAAGAGTCAAAAACTTACATACAACACCTTTAATAAGAACCCTTTAGTTACAAATGTACACCTTTTGAAAAGGTATCAGCCCAGTGACAGCTCTCATACCTTTATTTCTGAGTGTAGTCTACATTTAAGAACAAAAAAATAAACTAAAAAACACTTCAAATCAAATTTAATAGATATTTTGCATTTTATACCACTTAAAGCTTGCTTGATTATAACAAAATGTATGTACAGCATTAAATGCCTAAAATAGTTCTAAGAAACTTTGAAATTGCATTGGGCAGTTGCACTATTTGTCTTTTATTTGCCGATTTAAAATGTAAATTAATACATTCACATTTGTACATTTGATAACACAATAATAACAGACTTTTTTTAATGGCACTCAAATGCATATGTTACAGTACGCATACACTCTTTACATGACTTCATTATTTGTGATTATTCATTTTACAACACGGACAAGAACATTTCACAGAAATGATCATTTTAATAATCAAACATACATGCATCAAAATTCATGAATAATGATCAGTAATTTCCAAATGTTTTACTCATATTTACTTCTTCTGCCACAATGTCATTGAACAACCAGTCATCATCTAGAGGCGGAGTCAGAATTGGAGTGGGCTGGATCTTATTGGACGTAGCAGGGAAAGATCTAGCCACCCCCTCAAAGTTTTCGAATTTTGAGTAAAAACACGTCTCTTCTTTATGATAACAAAAGCCTTCAGGGGAACAGACTGTGGGACACTGGACACTTAATCCACTCTGATTCTGTGCCACATTTTGATCTCTGACATCATCATCATCTTGAATTAAAATATACAGATCTTTTTCTGGTCTTGAATAGTTCTTATATGTGCCCTCTTGAGGCTGTTGTTCCCAGTTTTCACTAAGAATCCTTTTCGATTGAGAGCCCAGCTGATTCTCAAGTGTTGAGAACACGTGGGGGTTTAAAACAATATCATCCATGATGGACAAATCTGTAATCGAGTAGCTATCATCCTTTTCATTCATCTTTAAGCACGTTTCAACACAACCCAAATGGCTGTCTAGAGTTTTATTAAGGTTCATGGAGTAGATCATTTGATTGTGATGGAAACCATGTCCTTTTGGCTCTCCGTTGCATAGACTATCAGCATCAAATTCCTGGCCCAAACTGGCTGTGAAGTTGTTGGTTTCACTGCCAGAACCTGTTGTGTTCTCAAGGTCATATCCTGAATCCAGAGGATTTGGTATTAAGCTGGTCTCCTCTAAATCTTCTTCATTGTCAGCCAACCACTCAGCAATTTTATATTTAGGATTACCATTGTTGATCTGCAGAGCTTCATGATGGTTTGAACTAACCAGTAAGTCGAGCTCTTCCATAATATCCATTTGTAGATTGCCTACAATGGTTCCCTCTTGGGTTTGAACATCGTGTTCGGCGTCTATGAGCATCTGAACTTCCAAATCGCATGAGTCCAAAGACAACAGAGAAATCACTGGAGAAGGAGGGCACAGGTCAGGAACTTCAACCCCTGTGGGGAGCAGCTTCATGTCAGAGTATTTGGAGAGACATGGTTTTGAATACACTCTTGTTCTTTCAATACTTTCAATCCAGGAGGACACGCTGTCATCTAAGCTTGTTAAATCAGTAGATTCTGTCTGCTCTTCAAAGTCGTTGTCTTTCTCTATTAAGCTTCCAGTGTGGTTTTTCAAAGTGTTCTCAAAGCTATTGTTAAAGGACTTGTACTGGGAGAAACATTTATCAACCACACGGGTCTCCATTAGACTGTCCAATGTCCAGAGGTCACACGCATCCTTTCGTTGATCAGGAGGCCCTTCAGATTTGTCAGCATTCGTGAATGTTTCAGTTGCTGAAGAAAACAGAACAAGGAGTCATCAAACTTGTATCAGACCAGAACAAACCAGTTCTGAAACTTAAAAGTAAGACATTTTACCTCTTTTTGATGGTTTGGGCGATTGGTCTGTGACTTGTGTTGCAATGTGAGATGGTCTGGATGTCAAATGACTTGGGGGGTTTTCAATAGAAAATAAAGCAGAAGCCAGCTGATGGTTCGCTGCCTCTATTTCCGCGAATTTCCTGCATAGAAACAGATATTCATTGTAATCTTTTCAGGCAGTTGGTTCTATGACATTTATTAAAAATGTGAAGTGTCGATGAGCTTCCTTTGGTGGACTAGATCTGCTCCATGACTAAAGGCTACTGCTGTAACAAACATTGAGCAAAAGACAAATACACACAGAGTTAGAGATTCTGTAGAGTCTCAAAAATTTGACTCTGGGTAAAGTGCTCATCATTGTCCAGCTGTCCAATTACAGTGAGGGGTGGCAGGAAAAATACCACAGTACATCAAAAAGAGCAAAAAATAAAGGAGAATTTTATATTGTCATCGGTGGTGGTCAGCCTGGGGCCTTGGATTGAGAAGCACTGCTCATACATGGGTCTCAAACTCGATTCCTGAAGGGCCACAGCTCTGCACAGTTTAGCTCCAACCCTAATCAAACAAAGCTGATTCAACTGATCAAGATGTTCAAGACTACGAGACACTACTAGATTAGCTATGTTTGATTAGGGTTAGAGCAAAACTGTGCAGAGCTGCGGCCCTCCAGGAATTGAGTTGGAGACATATGCTACAGATATACAGAGACTACAGAAATGATCTGTAAAGTCAGGTAACAGTACTGCAAATATTGTGTCTCATCCCTGCAGGCACAGGACGTTGACATAATGTCATATTGATGTTGTACCCCTACATTCCCCAACGTCATGGGGACGTTGGACTTAGTAAAATGAAAATAAAAATCGGGTTGAAGTCAGGGCTGACGTCAATGTCCAACCTAAAATCAACTAAATATCAAGAATCAAGTCTAAATCTCCTTGATTTGATTGGCAATTGTTATGTGAACATACAATGGCCATGATTCAAGCATGCTCAATGGTTGTCAAAAATGGTCTTTGGTCAAAAATGACCATATGAAGAAATGAATGGGAAATATGCAAAAATATTGAACATTCAGAAAAGATTTAGTTTCCAAAAATATAAATCCACCATGATGCTGAAAAAAAGTGCTCAGCAGTAAAGAGATGACACACTTGAACACTGAGACACACTCATCAACTTATACCCACACACCTATGAATCAGAAAAAAGTCTGACAATTTCATTCATTCATTTTATTTTATTTTTGGCTCAGTCCCTTTATTAATCAGGGGTCGCCACTGTAGAATGAACCGCCAACTTATCCAGCATATGTTTTACGAAGCGGATGCCCTTCACCAGGCAACACCCATACAGTTTGATAACTTGTGCAAGAAAATGTTAGAATTCAGTCATAACTGAAAAATCAGCACATAGTCTTGATAGACACACACAACCACACACACTTGTGGTCATCGAGGTCAAAAATTAACATTGAGAGAATGTTTTGTTTACGCAATCAACAAATCTACCATGATGCTGAAAAAAAGTGCACAGGAGTGAAGGGGTGACACTCTATAGAGGTGCAAAATACACACACACAAAGATTAACATACAGCATATTATACAATTTTAAGGCTTTTGTGTAGTCTCTAAAGCAATATATACAGTTTCTGTAATATAAAAATTAAAAGACTTCCAATCACCTTTTCAAACAAAAAATGGCTAAAACTTTTCAAAGAGAAGTTATTTAGATTGTCTACATGCCCGTAGCCAGGGGAGTTTGGGGTGGTTTCAAAGACTCACCCCTCAATGACAAAGGTCAAGAATTTGTCCCATGCATGCTCATTTGTCCTATTTTGACTATTCATAAATAGTGAAAAATAACCCATCAAAAAAGGTATTAGGACCAAGTGGAATCCGCTGCTGGCTGTCGCTTCAGCTAATCAGTTTTGGCCAATGCACACAATTTATTTTCATGAGTCCATCATCCAGCTGTGCAAGAAAACATAGCATACAATCTGATGTAAGTGAAGTTATGTTCTGCTACTGTATTGTTTTTAAATAAAGAAAATATTTTACAAGTAACTTTTATTCTAAATCTTGGACCTTATTCTTAAAACAAAAAGTTACCAATAAAAAAGTGTGAAGCACCAAAAGCGACCGATAATAAAATTATTTTCAATACTATTTTGCCGATTATTGTGATCTTTGATTTTTTAAATGAACCTTTTTTGGTTATGATGACTATACATTCGGCGAGGCAGTGGCGCAGTAGGTAGTGCTGTCGCCTCACAGCAAGAAGGTCACTGGGTCACTGGTTCGAACCTCGGCTCAGTTGGCGTTTCTGTGTGGTACAGGTGAATTGGGTAGGCTAAATTGTCTGTAGTGTATGTGTATGTGTGTGTGTGTGGATGTTTCCCAGAGATAGGTTGCGGCTGGAAGGGCATCCGCTGTGTGAAAACTTGCTGGATAAGTTGGCGGTTCATTCCGCTGTGGCGACCCTGGATTAATAACTAAGCCGACAAGAAAATGAATGAATGAATGAATGACCATGCATTCTATTTCAGATAAAATAGTGCTTATGCCTCTAAAATGCGTTATTTAAAGCTCATAATTAAATAGTCTTAATGAGGTAAAAAGGTCAACTTTTTTGGGAAAAAAGGCTACAGGTCTATTCTAAATTTATTTTCCAAATTCACAATTTCTTAGTAATGACTAAACAAATGAGTAATCTCCAAGCAGCTTTGTAGAAATATTATTATCAGAACCCAGTGGTTACACCATGTCATTACATGTTTTTATGATTTATATTTTTATAACCAGGTGGTACTAAACTGCTAAATTACAAATATTGCATAGATTTTGATAGGGAGTAAATGGATGTTAATAAGCCCTTTCACACATACAGACCTTTCTGGAAAATTACCGGCAATTTTCCGGAAAGGCCTGTATGTGTGAACAGGCCCTTTTCGAAAATACCGGTAAATTCGTTCAGGCTATTTTCCGGAAAGAGAAGTTGTAACATTATCTGTAACTTGCCGGAATGGAGCATGTGCACGTCTAGAACGAGCTGACGTGAGACTTCTACTTTAACCAATTAGAACAGACAGACGCATTCATGTTTGCATGGTTAATGAAAATAAATGCCTTTGGATATTTTCCGAGACACATTTAGCAGCTAGATGTTAGTCAGATAAAGTTTATATGTTCCTTCCTAATGCCAACTGTGTAAATAATTATCGATAAGATTCTTATGATAAGCTGTTGTTTGTTTACCCTCAAGCTCTGCTTCCTACAGTTGCAGAAGCAGCCCGTGAGCGCCAGCACACACACACAAATCACGTTGATCTTGACATGCGAAAGTGTTTCTCTATATTTTCATCGAAGTTGTTCACAATACTGATCCATTCACAGAGTTTGTAATGTAGTCAAATGTTTACAAATACAAGCCCATCCTTTAAGAGCTAATTTCTGGTTAATGATGACAGAATTTGCCGGTATTTTGGAATGGATGTGTGAACGGTCTTTTCCAAAAAAAAAATTAGTAACGTCCTTGCCTGTGTGAACACCGTTTTTTTTAATTTACTGGTAAAGTCGTTCCGGAAATTTTCCGGGTATTTACCGGTATCACTGTGTGAAAGGGACTAATGATTGCATAAATATTAATTACTACAACAAAACTCTCTCAGAATTAAAAATTAAATAGAAAAAAACACACATTAATTCTTCACTAGTTGCTTCAAGTTATTTAAAAGCTCCTAACAGACAATTGCTGAAGATTTAGCACAAAACCCACACAGATGCTGACAAAACCAATAAACACAATTTATTACACATTGTTACACACAATTTTTTATTACACAATTGGTTAAAAAAGACACCTTATTTTGTGTATAGGTATTGAGGTCTCCATTTAGAATCTCTTTACTTCTGTTCTGTTATGTTTTATAGATATTAACCAGAACTCTACGGTGCGTTATTTATTTATATGTTTTAGGTAAAGCATATATTTAAAAAGTATAGCTTATTTCAGAACTGTTTAAATACATTTATTCATTTTCGTTTCGGCTTAGTCCCTTTATTAATCTGGAGTCGCCACAGCGAAAAAAAACGCCAACTTATCCAGCATATATTTGATGCAGCGAATGCCCTTCCGCCTGCAACCCATCACTGGGAAACATCCATACACACTCTTTCACATACACACACATACACATGGTCAATTTAGCCTACTCAATTCACCTATACCGCATGTCTTTGGACTGTGGGGGAAACGGAGCACACGGAGGAAACCCACGGGAACACTCAAACCAGCAACCGTCTTGGTGTCAGGCAATTGTGCTACTCACTGCACCACTGTGACGCCTTGTATAAATACATTTTCTCAATATTTAAGCAAATTTTCCTTAATTGTACAAATCAAACACTCAGTGTAGACACAGAAAAGCACAAAACATGTTGCCCTGCAACTTTGAATACAATTATTTTTTATATTTGTTTTTAAAATATCACACATCTGTTATTAAGATTATTAATAAGAAACCATTTTGAGCACCAAAGCAGCATTACAATGCATTCTGAGGGATCATGTAAGAATAAAGTCTGCTATAAATTTGTAGTATGACCTGTTTTGTTATAAAAAAAGGGAAATCTTTATATAAAAATGTAATAATGTTTTACTCTATTCCTGTAATTATATGACCAATAAGGTTTACAATAAGGTTTCATTAGTTAATATATTTTACTAACAATACGTGTACAGCGTTTATTAATCATAGTTCAACATTTACCAATGCATTATTAAAATCCAAATTCATGCATGCTAACATTAATGCACCGTGCGTTAACATGAACTAACAGCTTTATTTCCATTAACTAAGATTAATAAACATTCACAAATACTGTAATAAATGTATTGTGCATTGTTTGTTCATGTTAGTAAAGGCATTATAACTTTATTGTAAAGTGTTACCATTTTTTTAAATTAATGATTTTAAAAACTGGGTTAATAAGCATCACCCAGTACTTTCTTTAATAAGTAATACTGTCAAATAAAGTGCAGCCAAAAACCTTTTTAACCACACCAAACTTTATATCTGCAGTAGAGTACAAATAACATACCTCTGTATCATGTTGTGTAGAAACCTGCGATGATTGACTTGTCGTTTTGAGGGTTTATTTTTTCGTGGTCTTTGTAAAGTTCTCATCATGTGACCTGCTGCTGAGGTCACAAAAGTAAAAAGATCTCGTCCCCATGGAACTCCATGCTCCAGCCCCGGTTCAAAGGTCAAAATACTGGATGGTCGCATTGCTCTGGGGGTAAAATGAGATAAAAATTCATGAGAATGAGTGAAAGACAAAAAAGCTAATTTGCTTAGATTTGCTTTTTATTTTAATTAGAAAAATTATACACGAAACAATTCATGGTTAAAATGGAGCAGGATGAAGCACATGCTTATTATTTCCCCCAGCCCATTATTCATTCATTCATTTATTCATTCATTCATTTATTTTCTTGTCGGCCTAGTTATTAATCCAAGGGTCGCCACAGCAAAATGAACCGTCATTTTATCCAGCACGTTTTTACGCAGTGGATGCCCTTCCAGCCGCAACTCTTTTCTGGGAAACATCCACACACACATTCACACACACTCACACACTAGAGACAATTTAGCCTACCCAATTCACCTGTCTTTGCACTGTGGGGGAAACTGGAGCACCCGGAGGAAACCCACGCGAATGCAGGGAGAACATGCAAACTCCACACTGAAACGCCAACTGAGCCGAGGCTCGAACCAGCGACCCAGTGACCTTCTTGCTGTGAGGTGACAGCTCTACCTACTGCGCCACTGCGTTGCCCCAGCCCTTTATCACACACATAATTGAATGAGAAGTTCACTTAATGGTGCTGTATTTAAGTGTTTGACTCCTCTAAAGCATACAAATACCATATTATGTTTGCAGATATTTAAGAAACATGCCAAGTGAACATTCTTGTTTATCTGAAAAATAAATGTTGAAGTCAGGTATTCTGCTTTGAAAATGGGCAAATAGGGCAGTCTGTTTTTATTTTTTTTTTATTTTTATTTATTTATTTTTAACCTGCCCAATCCCAGCTTACCAAATTAAAATTCAGCAATCTGAGTTGCCTTGTTGGAAAAACCCACTTTTCAGTCATTCAGTCAGGAACACTCTCAAAGCATGTGTCCGTGACCAAAATGCGACCTCCAGTGGACAGTGGCACACTCCAAAATGAAAAGCAGATTTCCACATAAGGGTTATTATTAGCAAATAATATAAATATTATGAACATAAGCATTAGGTGAGCATGTTACTTTGTAACTGCATGTCCTAACAACACACTATGTGACGAGATTTGCAGTGAAAAGCAATTTGGCTGCACCAGACGAAACCCGACAGGAATTTAAATACAGCCATTCAAAAATACAGAATATGCACTCACTCACAAAATGGTAAGAATAATAATCTAATTAATACATACCTCTTTAACATTATTAAATATATATTCTGAATTGCTGAGTGTGTAACAGCTCTAAAGTTCAATTTCAAATTATTTATTTTCAAGATCTGAGGTGAACTATCTGCTGCTGCTTTCAGTAGTATGCCAATAAATGTGATGTAAAATGGCATTCAATCTCACATTGTTAGCATTTAACGCTGGATAAAGCACATGAGGTGTACCTGAGGTGATCACAGTTTATCCTGTTGTTCCCCTGTGAGAAATAGAAGCTGTTTCTACTATATCAATTCGTTTATGGTTAGAACAAAAATGTATTTTAATATGGAAATTGTTCCTTCTATTGCGTGCTGTTGCTTTTATTTAGAAACACGGTTTAAATCAGCCATTAGGCTTGAGACTTGCTGTTGGTCCTCAATGTGGCAAGAATGCAATACCTAGTTCAACCCTTGGGTGTTAAACTTACATACTGCACCTTTAACACTTGTGCACTGCTTAAATTTGCTATCCTTTTGTCATGTTAGGGATGATAACATCCACTGAATTAAACTGCTGTAAAAATGCATTAGATAAAAAAAAAAATCTGTTTTGTTTTGCATAAATCTGTTAATAAACCTCAGCCCTGATCAAAACTACAATTATTTTTTTTTTTTTAGAAAATTACAGGATTTTAACTCTTTAATTGCCAAGTTCACAAACAATGTCAATGATTTGGTGAAAAATATAAAAAAGTAATTTTGAACTAGATATTTTTTTATCACAGCCTTGGACATGTATAGTATTAGTAACAGCATTGGCTTCGATGCATTGTTAAATTTTCATATTTTCTCACTAATTTACCATTGTTAGCTGTTTTTGGCCTGGAAATGGGCCTGGGCACGGTTCAGATAGCATATACTGTAGTGCAAGTAGGCCCTAAGTAAAAAAACAGCCACCAACAGTAAATTTTTTTTTTTTTTTTTTTAACGCATCAAAGGCAACGTTATATAATGTCTTTGATAAAAGGTAAAATAATCCAGCTCTTAATAATTTTTTAGATTGAAAATATATCATCTTGTGTGTGGGTGTTTTTCTTTTTTTTTTTTTTTTTTTTGTTTACCAAATTAGTGACATCATTTATTGAATTTTTCTGAGCAATTTGAAAGTTTTAATCAGGACTGAGGTTGATTAATAAAGTTTTATGCAAATAAAAAGTAGAAAGAAAAAAAATCTAATACATTTTTACAGCAGTTTAATTTAGTGGATGTTTTCATCCCTAACATAACCAAAGGGTAAATTTGGCCAGAGTTTATCCTTGAATCCTTTTTTAAACAAAGCATTTTCTCAAAATATATCAAAATATGATTTGTCTCCAAAAATCATTCTGCTACCGGTCACATGGAAAAAGTTATGGCCAAGTCAAGACACAAAATCACCCCAGAGTGGATGAAAACATCCTCAACAGTACATAAGGGGTAAATGTCAAAATAACAGAGTTGACATGTGATTACTTTATATTATATTTTGCATAAAATAATGAGAGAAGAATAATGATATGCCTCAATGTCTTTCTCAAGTTTTCTGCCAGAGGAAGTGATAACATATGGAGCAGGTCACATGCTTTTTCTATCAGTGCTTTACAAATTGTTATGCCTTTTTATCCACAATATAACAGAGATGACCAGATTGCAGGGACAGAATAATATCTACTTTTTCATAAATATTAAACCTAAATGTAAGATTCAAGGATCAGAGACAGCCCAAAATAGGTTAATATTTAATAAGTTAAATAATATAAGTTAATAACTTATTAATAAGTTAATATTTTCAAGACCAATGTCCCTAAATACATATGAAAACATTCATTCATTCATTCATTCATTCATTCATTCATTCATTCATTCATTCATTCATTCATTTATTCAATCATTCCTTTTCTTTTCGGCTTAGTCCCTTTATTAATCAGTGGTTACCACAGCAGAATGAATCGTCAACTTATACTGGCATATGTTTTACGCAGCGAATGCCCTTCCAGCTGCAACCCATCACTGGGAAACACCCATACACTCTCATTCACACACATACACTACGGACAATTTAGCTTACTCAATTCACCTATAGCCGCATCAAGGTGGTGTAGTGGGTAGCACAATCGTCTCTAAGCAAGAAGGTTGCTGGTTCGAGCCCTGGCTGCATCAGTTGGCATTTCTGTGTGGTGTTTGTGTGTTCGCGTGGGGTTTCCCTCAGGTGTTTCGCTTTCCCCCCAGTTCAGAGACAGGCGGGTATAGGTGAATCAAATGAGCTAAACTGGCAATAGTGTATGTCTGTGAATGAGTGTGTATGGGCTTGGTTGGGGCCGGAAGGGCATCTTCAGCGTAAAACATAAGTTGGATAAGTTGGCGGTTCATTCCGCTGTATGAATGAATTCACCTATTGCGCTTGTCTTTGAACTTATGAGGGAAACTGGAGCACTGGGAGAAAGCCTACACGAACATGGGAGGAACATGCAAACTCCACACAGAAATGCCATATGAGCTATCCAAGGCTCGAACCAGCGACCTTCTTGCTGTGAGGCGAGAGCACTACCCACTTCTCCACTGTGCCGCCCATATAAATTAGACTTTTTTTTTTTTTTTTTTGATGTTATTTGTTTATTATTTAAAACTATTTCATTACAATGTTTTGGTTTTAAAAATTAGTACATTTATGTTGGAGACACAAAATGCTACTGTACATGTAGAAACACTCTCATGAATAACTGTTCCTCTAATTATCTTTTTGTTTAGTTGAAAAATGGTTTAAAAAAACAACATTAAAATACATTGTATTTCCTGAACATAATGTGATTATCAACCTTTTTGCCCCCCAAGACCTCCGATAATCAAATATTCCAAGACCCCAAAGAAGAATTCTAATTCTAAAAAACACAAAAGTGACTAACAGGTTTTGCCACCATAGTAAATTCTCATTTATAGCAAAACAGTGGAGAATAAGATGGCTTATTTGAAACCAAATGGAAAGTACAAAGCATCAATTGGTACTGTATATATTTTAAAGTAGTTCCCTTATTATTACGAGCCAGTGAATCATTTTTAATCCACTGTATAACCCCAAAAGTTAAGGTAACTCAAACCATTTAAAGAAACAGATTACAACAAACCATTTAAGTTACAAAAACTAATCCTAATGAGTACTATGAACTTAATCCATTTGAGTAAACGAAGCAATCTGAGCACAGTAAAATCCAAGAAATGAAGAGAACTCAAAACAAATGAGTACAGTAAAACTCAATAAGTTAAGGCAACTCAAATTGTTTGAGGAAACCGATTACTATAAACCATTTGAGTTAAAAAAAAAAACTTATCTATATGTATACTGTGAACTAAATCCATTTAAGTTGAAGTAATGATGTACTTAATTAACTCATTACCTTCAACACTGAGTTCAAAACTTTTTTTAAATAAGTAGAATTAACTTTCAGTCAATTTTGAGTTAACTACTCTCATGTCATTTGATAAAGTTGACTGTTGGGTTTTACAGTGTGGTATTTAACAACATTTGTATCGCATAAAACTAAAAGGGAAAATCTACTACAACATACACTATTGCCATATACAGTACATTCAAACAATATTCAGTTATTATCTGAATATAAGATCTACAAAAACCTGATAATCATAACTAAATGAAATATTGTAATATAAAGCATCACTTACCTTCTGTTATTCAGTAAGAATCCCCTTTCAAACGAGGCTCTGCACGGGAGATGCAGTCATGCAGCCTGACTGACCAAGAGACACTGGGAGAGAGAATGAATGATTATTAAATGAAGGGAAGCGTGGCATTGGTTGGT